AAAAAGGTAATAAAGTTTAATAATTTTTCTGCTTAAAAAATCCTACACAAAAAGGTAAGAACATTTTTTTTTTGTGACTCCAAAATCATTGGGTAGCTTATATTTTCGTCGCGTGCTGTCTTCCCGTCGTCGTGCGTACATAGCCACGCTCATGTGGACACGATTGCCTGTTTGCTTTTGGCCAATTCATAAAGACTACTTGAGATCAGCCTCCCCCTTTCGGAAGTTCAAGGTCCGTTCATAAAATCTGTGAGACAACGCAGTGTATTTACATTGGCAGAATGGACCAAAGAATTTCTGAACAAGAATTGATATTCAATGTTTGAATCTGGCGTTTGACATTCCAAGCAAATCCCGTCGAAGCTCCGAAAGTTGTTTGCCAAATCGAAGTTTTTTTCGGTTTCGGACGCAGATTGATGGGGGGAACTGAATGGCAAACTAGTCTCTGAATTTGCATAAACTTAATTGTACACTTATGGCTAAGGCTGCGCCCACATCTTAAGATCCCATCTCCATGGGAAAGTAAAGCAAAACTGGGATTATCTGCGATTCGGAACCCGGAAATGGACGAAGCACCGAGGCGTGGTAAAAAAAAAACAAAATAGACGAGTCATCGATCAATAAATCAGTTCCTCGAATATAGTTCAAATAGCGATCGGTGGAGTGAAACGCCAGACTCGCCCATTAGTTCTTCCTATTCACCTGACATTATACTATATAGTGCCGAGTCATTCTAAGTGGGTAATAAGGGGGTCTGTGTGTCTACGAGGCTGGCCAACATTTACCCAAGTCATTGACACGTCTATTTTGGGGCCAATGAATTCAGACTGAATTGATTTCGAAGCGTTTTCAGTTTTCAGTTTGATCCAATCTGCATAAAGAGAGTAGTTTTAATGCGGCTGTTTTGATTCTTTTGAATATTACCATATACTATATAGAAATTTGTTCTTATACAGACTAGAATTTTAAATTAGGATTAGAATAGATAACAATCCTCATTCATGAATGCATTCTTCTTAACTACCGAAAATTACTGCTTTTAGTTAGTTTTTCAAACGCAACAATATAGAACTTGGTTCTTAAAAGGTCTCGAAATTGTAATTACATAGAATTTGCTTAATTACTTATAGAAATTTATGAATGAACTACACAAATTTAAGCATAAGGTAGTAAAAATTTCCTAAAATGTAACTTTTTTATTTCAAACAATTTTCATTCATGTATTCATTTTTTACTGCCGGAAATTACTGGTTTTAGTTACAAATTAACTTTATTTAAACAAGCCTTAGCAATTGTTAGTTCGCGGAAAGCAATAAATAATTAGTTAAACAATCACTTAATCAATTAAAATCGTTGACAGGGAAGTACCGATTCCCATTGAGAGAACTATGTTCCTCTATCCACTTTCTGTTTCTACTTGTTCAATTATCATCGCGCGTTAGCGGATTCTTATTTAAATAAGACATTGAACAGTCCTAAAATTCAAGTATGGGTAGTCAAATCGACAAATATGTGAAATTTATGCATAAATAATGATTCAGCAGATAGCTTATAGATATGCTAATCACACCGGTACGTATTTCTATTTCTGGACTCCATCGCCGATTAAGGGTCGGTCGGTCCAGAATATTCTTAACTCAAAACCGGCTAAGATTTATTCTCAACGATCTATTTTTCTGCTGACCCATCTGAGGTATGGGATGATGGTTTCAATTTTTGTAATTGTTGTTTTTTCTGTTTTGATTATCTTGGATTGTGCAGTCTTCAGCAAGTTCGGTGGCATGCCAAGGCTATATATACACACTTGGCTATATATCGTATCGGGGCTTGGCTCTTGCTGACAATCGGTTTATTTGGCAATCGGTTTTTGCTGAATTCTGTTAACTGCTTTTAATTGTGGCGAAGACAGCTATAACAACAACAATACCGAATTGGCAACCGGTTCAGGGTGATCTAATCTAAGGGTTTTGCTGCTGGGTTTTTGGATGTCTGCCCGTGTTTTTTTTCTATTTCATTTTCGATTCCCATTTGGCCAACACCTGTCGGCACGTGCGAGTGCGAAATCCACATCGATGGCTCACCTGGATTTTCGCCTTGGCTACTTTGCTTACTTACTTGCTTACTTACTTGCTTACTTATTGGCCAACTGGGCGCCCGACTCGTAGTCCAGTGCGACCTTGACCCACCCGATAAGACCATGTTGTGGCTGGGTTTTCGCTTGTTTCTGCCAAGTAAACACATTCGACAGGGGCATTGGGAATGTGCCCATGCCACAAAAACATACACTTGTTGGGCCTGCCTACAGATTCGCATTTTAAATTAGGCTTAAACGTTCGTAGTTCTTTATTTTCAAAAGCTTATTTTTGTAAAATTTGGCCAAATATAGATTTTTAGTTCATTTAAAGATTTATAAAAAGTTTTTTTTATCATAAATAAATAATATATAATAATTTTCTTGTTAATCAACTATCAGTATTTTATTATTTATTGAATAAGTAAACAATTATTGTTTTGCATTAACTTAAACTTAAGATATCTTACTAATCTCACAGCCTAAAAGTATTCTTATGAATTCAAAAAATATGAGCTTTTTTTAATGCGTCAATATAGAAAAAAGCTTGTGTTGTGTAGAAATTGATTGTACTATAACAAACATAAATAATATTAAGTTTTGGTCATTAATTTTAGGTCAAGATGCCATATAAAAAATACACTTGGAATAAACCTAGAAAATAATAGAGTTGTAAACAAAGTAACGTAATCAGTAGATTAAACTATCTCCCTGTAATCAGTCAACCTCAAATGTGAACTTTAAAATTGATTTTATTGCAATTATCAATGGTGATTAGCCAGGTGTGGTCTTTGATAACTTCAGTAACTGAGGCGGAATGTAATTTGCTGAACTTTGAGTTATATACAGGCAGGCTCCGGTTTTCACTTTTTTTTTTCGTTTTCGTTTTTGGGCGAAAACGTACGTTTTCGTTTTAGGTGCTCCGGTTTTCACAAACTTTTTGTCATCGTTTCGTTATCGGAATGGTTCAAACAGCTGACTTTTTTTTGGTCAAAAGTAAACAAAGCGAAAAAATGACTTTTATATTTTCAATTGCCTGTTTTGAAGCCAAAAGAAGGCAGAAATTGATTGATTTAAGAAAATCGAGACATCTTAGATGCAACACATGTGTTTTTAATATGTCTGACGATCGGTAAATTAAGTTGTCTTACTTACATTTTTAAAAGTTCAAATAAGCCCCCATCAGAAATCAGCTGTTTCCCACAATAAGGGGCTGCCACCTTTTTTGCAGCTTTCATTCCACTATTCTCAACCACTTTTTTACTGCACTTTTGCCATTTAAGAAACTAAATTAATCATATTTATTTATAAAAAGCTTATTTAACTTTTCTTTACAAATATTTTTTTCTTCGTTTTCATTTTAAAAGTATTTTTAAGTGGTTGTTTTGTTCCATTACAAGTACGGCAGCATTGACGATAACTTTTGGCAATAGATTTATCGGCCCCTTAGCAAAACGAAATTTGTTGTTGCCGACGGCAAATATTTTATGTATGAAATCAAGGTGGGGTCAGAAAATAATTATTTAAAAAATAAATACGAATTAGATTGATCTACTGATGATGTGAAATGAACACCAATAGACCAAGGAGTCAACTATTTTTTTCCTTTTGCAATTAAGAACCGATTTAATGTAGAAAAAGGCATTTACTTTTCATTTCGACAAAAAAAACTTGCCCGTTTTTGAAAACGAAAAAGTCTTGTGAAAGTGAAAACGGGAGCACCAATTTTCGTTTTTGAAAACGAAAACGAGAGAATCTTGTGAAAGTGAAAACCGGAGCCTGCCTGATAGACTTAAAAAACCCATTTTTTATTTCCCTGCAAGATAAGATAGATTTCAAACAACGATTAAATGGAGAAATTAAATAACATGCAAAATAAAGATAGTTGTTGTTTACCTAGGCGATAAGAATAAATCACCACCCCTTTTTTATATGCTGTCATCTATTCCATAAAACGATATAATATGAAAAGAACCAGTTCTAGCAGTAGTTATATTTTAATGTAGGTACTTATACTTCTAAGTGGGTCAACGTCAAGCTCGCCGTTGATGTTCGTACATGATGTCGTTGTAATAGAACCCGTTTTTGGGCCTGCCACTGCAATGACTTAATGACAGCCCCCAACACGTTTCGTCGGCCACCTCCATGGGATCCTCAATTTGGCGAGCGTTTCGCTACACCTGTTCGACCGTATCAGTTATCAATAAATAGCAACATGTAGTTCAAATACTTTATGGGAATTTAAAAGGTATAAACTCACACGAACTGAAATTTTAATATTGTCATAATTAAGGACTTAACTTGTTTACTTACTTTTTATATATTTTTTTTATACAACCACTTTCTTTAATTTGTAGATAGCACATAATTAAGGGCTGTCAGCTTATGTTTCTAGTTTCTTTTCGACCTAATCTACTTTCCAAGACTTGTTTTTTTTTGTTTATGACCCAAGTGGCTTTTTTTCGGTCCGCCTATGGACTTTCAACAATTAATCAGATTTCCTACGCAATAACTTTTCTGTTTGTAGGTCAAAAAGTGGTGTGATCCAAAATAAAAAGTTGCGAAATTTTATTTGAAAAATTGTGTTTAATGTAATAAACATAATATTTCAATTTATATTCTTAAAATAATTTTTTTGTGAATAAATGTATGTTTCAGATGGTTATTCTATCTTTATAATATCTATCAATTTAATTTTGTTTGGAAAAATAAAAAATTGTAATAATTAAATGGCAAAGGACCCCATTTTGCTGCCGTTAACTTGCTTATCAAACGGTGGAGGGCATCCAGAGTGTCCCATCTTGGCGATCAGCTATCTGGCGAGACCCAGAGCTCTCGGACCATATTGCATAGAGCAGAGACCCCAGAACAAAACCCAATTCAGACCGCAGCGATCCGAGTGCGAATTAGTTGCAAACGAGCAGCGACGTCGAGCGGTTCGCCAACTTAAAGTTCGCCAACTAGACTTTTAGTATCGCAAGATCACTCGACGCCGATCGGTGTCAGTTCAGCTGCCTTTGCTCTTGATTTATATAGCCACCGTTTTGGGGGTCGTTCAGTCAGTAGAACTCTGGAATCGGTGGTGAAATGAGCACCCTAGCCCTGATCGCATTCGTCCTTTGGGCATTTTTCCTGCGCCACATTCCGCAGATCCTGAGTTTCCTGCGACTTCAGAGATTCGCTAAAACGCTGCCGGGTCCAACAATTGGCGAGCTGATTGCCAATGTCAAGAAAGGGGGTGAGTTAAAGTGGAAATCTTGTACAAGACGACCTTGGAAATGTGCATAGAATACTCATGAAATAGGTTCCACATTTTATCACGCATACGCAGCGTTGCCCTTGTGGTTTGTGTGTTCGATTTGCAAGCTGCTGGCCTAATTTATCGTGCAGCTGTTTATGCTAAAAGAAAACTATTGCAATGCCTAAGAATAAAATAAATAGTATATAAAAAATAATGTTACATAAAAAACAAAACTTCCTTAAGAAATTTCTTGCTTATATTAATATTTTATTTTACATTATAATGCAGAAATCCTCAACTGGCTAAAGGAACTTCGGGAAAAGCATGGTTCGGTCTTCCGAATTTGGTTCGGTAAGGATCTGATGGTGATGTTCACGGATCCCGAGGACATAAAGCAAGTCCTGGGAAATAACCAACTGCTCACCAAATCGCGGAACTACGAATTACTGGAACCCTGGCTGGGAAAAGGTCTTCTTACAAATGGAGGCGAATCCTGGCACAGCAGGCGAAAGCTCTTGACTCCGGGTTTTCACTTCCGCATCCTTGGAGAGTTCAAGGAGCCCATGGAGGAGAACTGCCGCATCCTGGTGCGCAGACTGCAGACCAGGGCCAATGGCGAATCCTTCGATATCTATCCGTATATTACTTTATTCGCATTGGATGCGATTTGCGAAACGGCAATGGGAATTAAAAAGCACGCCCAACTGCAAAGCGATTCGGATTATGTGCAGGCTGTTCAATCGTAAGTAAAGCACAGTAAAAAAAAATTTAACATTTTAAATTAGGAAAACATTTTAGCCATCTAACAAGATCAAAAAACAGGTTTCTTAACCAAAAATAAACAACAAATTACAAGTATTATATTAGGGCTTTTAAAAACTCATCAAAAGCAATTTTGGTACACATTTTATATGACATTAAAAATTTGTGTTTTTGTTTGCTTAAATATTGATTATTAATGATTATTTCAAAATATTTATTTCCTTGTTTTTATTTAAATCTCAAATGTATTTCTTTAATATTTGTTCGTATAAGTTGCTTGAAAATGTTTTAATCTTTAATCTAAGCACATAAATCTATTTAATCTTATGTACTAATCCATATATGCTTTATTTTTGACTTAAGTATCTGCCGGGTGATGCACAAGCAGAGCTTCTCCTTTTGGCAGCGCCTCAATGTGTTCTTCAAGCACACGAAACTGGGAAAGGAGCGCGATGCTGCTCTGAAGGTGCTGCACGACGAGACCAACCGGGTGATCCGACTGCGGCGGGAACAGCTGATCCAGGAGCGAAGTGAATCCCGTCCGGAGGCGGAACAGGATGACATTGGCAGCAAGAGGCGACTGGCCTTTCTGGACATGCTGCTCCTCACCCAAATGGAGGGGGGAGCGGAGCTCAGTGACACGGACATTCGCGAGGAGGTGGACACCTTCATGTTCGAGGGACACGACACCACCAGCTCGGCAATCGCCTTCGCTCTCAGCCTGATTTCCAAGCATCCGGAGGTGCAACAGCGTGCCTTTGAGGAGGTCAGCGAACTGGAGGGCAGGGAGAAGGAATCGATGCCCTATTTGGAGGCCGTGATCAAGGAGACACTGCGCATTTATCCCTCGGTGCCGTTCTTTTCGAGAAAGGTCTTGGAGGATCTGCAGGTGGGCAAGTTGACGGTGCCCAAAGGCGCCTCCGTCAGCTGCCTCATCTACATGCTGCACCGCGATCCAAAGAACTTTCCCGATCCCGAGCGATTCGATCCCGATCGCTTCCTGCTCAACGAGAAGCAAATGCATCCGTTTGCCTTCGCCGCATTTAGCGCCGGTCCCAGGAATTGCATAGGTAAGTTCTATCCTAAAAACTTTAGAAATCCTTTAAAAACTGTCCCAGAAAGTTTGAAATTAAAAAAAAGGTCTTTATACAAAAAAGATAATTTATAGGCTAAAAGTTATAACAGAAATCAAAGAGAGGTTTTGATTTGTTTTGAATTTTGTCTAAATAAGTACCATTCAAATTTAGCCATATTATTATATAATAATCTACTACAGATTAGGGAAATGAAAGTTTTTTGCGTACATTTCTAATTGTCATAATTATGCAGATAAGGCATTTTTATAGTCAAAAACAAGACTGTAGATAATCTTTTTATGCTATTTATACATAATTTCGCATCAAAACATTTCTAAATTTAAACTTTTGATAAGAACGGGAAGCTGGATGTCTGGAATCTCAATGAGCAGATGATCAGCTTGAACTGCAATTAATATTTGAATACTGATAAGTGTCTGGTGATAAGCCTTAAAACCCTGTTATTTGAATTTCATCAATGGTCATTAAACGCATTCATTCAAAAGTACATTTTCCCCGAAAAAGGAATGATTATATTGACTTGAAAAGGTTAAGCTATTTTTGATTTATACTGTATAAACAATTCAACTGACCATTGAATCGTTACAAAGTAAAGTTCAATTAAACGGAATTTCAGTTTTAAAATAACACTTTTCAGTTTAAGATCCTTAAGAACCTTACCTAATAATTGTTTTTGTATTGTTCTTACGACTTAGGCCAAAAGTTTGCCATGCTGGAGTTGAAGACCTCCTTATCGATGTTGCTGAGGAGCTATCGCTTTTTACCCGATGAAGATCATCGGCCAAAGCCATTGGCAGAATTGGTGACTAAGAGTGGCAACGGAATTAGACTTCGGATCCTGCCGCGTGACCAGAACGGAACCTCAACATAACACCATTATACCCACATTGTTTCATAGCTTCAAGACCCCATTATAAGTTAATTAGGTTAGGCTAACAAAAACATACATATTTTGTGTAAAATGAGAATCATTGTGACGCACTTGAGAGGCGCAGCTGGTGGTCTTTTTTTTTCGTTATCATCGCTGACAACCTTGCCATATAGATTAGAAAAAAACTTGGATTATCATTTGTTTTTTTTTTTTTTTTTTACGCTTTGTTTATTTTTCGCTTTGAACTTTGAAAAATACAATCGATCATATACATATATACACGGTTAGAGAGGTATATATATAATATATGTGCATGTATATGGGGGCTGGGCTTTATTTTGTGGTTTACATCCAGAACCAGCGAACAAAAAAATAGTTTTATGTATATGTATGTATATATATTTTTTTTTTTGTGTACGCCAATAACTCTGCCTATAAACTACATACACAGACAAACTTATTGCTCTCCAGAGTCCTCGAAAAAAACCCAAAACTCTCTATATTCCATGCTCCGTGTTCCCTGACAATTCCTTAATCTTAATCGATCCCATCCGATTTTGGATTACGACCTCCTTCCTCGTCCCTTTCTTGATTTCGTGTACAACTAGTTAAATTCCTTTACCATAAATATATATTTATTTACTTTTGTTAGATGTATGATCGTAGTTTTCTGATAGATATTCACATATATGTTTGTTTTTTCTTGTTATTTAATTTATTCTTGTTTTTTTGTTGTTTTGGTTTAGTTGGTATAGTATACTATATCCCTAACTAGATTGCCTTCAATTTCTGTTTGTGTTTCGTTTGTTGTGCCCTTTCAGTGGGCCCACATGAAGTCAAGTCCCGATCTGTGTATATATATATAGTATATATAATATTTGTTTTTAACTATAGGTTTGTGTAAGCGAGTTTTTTGTTTTTGTTTGGCGCTGTCTGCCTTAAAGCTTAGCAGGAAACAATTTGTCTATGGGCTTAGTTAGAGGCGGCTAATGATATGATTTGGCTAGAATAAGGTTAAGTACATACAGCTCATACATATGTATATATCAACAATATATATATATATAGCATAACTGGTTGGATACGGGGCTTTCGGGGTCCTTGCAGATGATTAGGAAGAATGGGAAATACTGCATATTTGGCTATAATGGCTTATTAACAACGTTTATACGCAGGCTTAACTATTTGGTCTGCTTATTTAACTGATTATTATTTACAAACAGGCAGCAAAACTTCAATATTCTTTGCTCACAATTTTTGAACCTAACAGGCTATATATATATTTCGATATTTATTTGTTACTAGATACAGACGAATTTCTTTTTGTGATTTTTTTAAATATTTATGTTTTGATATCTGATAATGAAGTTTAATTTTTATTGTCTATAACAAAGAAGTGTAGATAGTAACACAATTTATAAAAGCTTTAAATTTCCAAAGTCTAAATGAGTTATAGGCTTATACTTTCCTTTCAAGACTTTTTAAGGTGATTTTATTTAAAGATTTCCATTGTTTGTTTAATAAATTTAATAAAAAATTTAAAAATGAATTAACCGCTTTATTTAAAAGATACCCTTTTTGAGGTTTATATTGTATTAAAAACAAGGTTTCAAATGTTTGTGCGCATAAACGAAATAACATAATCTATATTTTATCTAGTTCTTAAATTTTCTTTTTTCGTAACCACAAGGATCCAGAAAACCCCGATCTAAAGGTAAACCGCTTTATTTGGGCGATCGACGGGATCACAGCCACGGGATGCAGATGGTGCGGCAGACGTCCCGTCGATGTGGATGTGGGTGTGGCTCCTCGCCCATTTGTCCACCGCCGCCGCCGCCGCCGCCGACTCCTGGATTTGCCCCGCCCCCAGATCCACCGCCTCCGCCGCCGCCACCACCGCCTCCTCCTCCTCCTCCGAACTTGAAGAAGGAACTCCTTCGTCAGTGTTTGCGATGGGCCTGCGGCGAAGCGCTGGCAATGGAGCCCGATGCCGAACCGGAACCGGAACTGGAACCGGATATCGAACCGGAACCGGAACCGGAACCGTATCCGGGCTCCGACTCCGGCATTGATTGCAGCACAGCGGCGGCAACACAGCTGCCATGGCTGGCCCGCTGCTGCGACTGCGAATGCCCGGGATGATTCGATACCGATGACGATCCCATCGATAATCCGGCCGATGATCCCGATGACGATGACGATGATGACATGGTGGACGCCCTGGCCAGCCCGCTGTGCCGCTTGGGTATCACAAACGGCGGCGGCGGTTGCGGTGTATACTGCGGCGGTGTCGAGTTCGCCGATGCCTGGCGCACAAACGATCGGGCGGCGGGCACCGAACCGCTCCGGGCAATCGCCCCCGTACGCGGCGGTATCGCCGGCGGCGGTCCCGGCGGAGCGGTCATCGGCGTCCGGATTTTCGGCGGCGGCGATGAGATCGAGGCCAGACTTTCCGTTGATGGTTGCGAGGGAACGCGCGGCGGCAACTGCGGCAGCTTGCCGGGATTGGGAAGGGAAGTGGTGGAAGCAGGTGCAGCGGATGCGGATGCGGATGCGGGTGCCGGAGTAACGGTTGTGGTGGTGGTGGTTGCAACCTGAGCGGGCAAACGCGCCTGCGGTTGCACCGTGGACATGGTGATAGTGGGTTTCTGCATGGGCACCGTGTGTCGAATGGTTATGCTTCCCGGCTGGGATTTGCCACCTGACGACAACCGATTGGGATTCACCTGGGCTGGTGGAGCTTCCTTGGATGACGAAGAAGGGGCTGTTGCGGCTGCCACAGAAGAATGTTGCTGCTGGTTTGCTTGGTGTTGCTGCTGCTGCTGCTGCGGCGGATGTTGCTGCTGCTGCTGGTGCTTCTGCTTTTGCTGGGCATGAATGTCCTGGATTTGCGGTGTAATAACCACTGGGTTCTTCTTCTGATCCTGACCGGCGGCCACGTAGGAGAAAACGCACAGCACCGAGTAGCAAATCTGATCGGACTACGGAGCGTATACGTAATTTTAAAGAGCTGCTACTTTCGGGCACTTTCTTGTTGTTTGTTTGTTTGTTTCGTTATTTTTTTTGTTTTGTTTTTTTTTTTTCAAAATGGACAAGTGTTCTTTTTGGAGTGAAGTGGGTGGACTGTTGGGTGTTTGGTGCTCGCACAACACAACAAGGCAAAAGGGCAGTAAAAGAAAAGCATGCAACTTGCAACATTAGAACCGGAAGACAACAACCAAAACTCAAGTTAAAATCGAAGAAAAAAGAGAAAAGGAAAAAATTGTGTTTAAAAAATATCACAAAAAGCCAGAACGAAAAACTATTTTTGTTGTTTATGTTCTGATTGTGGTTGTGGTGTTTCTTCTTTTTTTCTGTTTTAAAATGTTGCAGGAAGTACATACAGACATAGGATTTACATAAAAAGGATTCTTGGATTTTATTTACATAGACTTCATTTTAGGCACATTATTTATTCGCTCGCCAGCGGTGGTTCCATCGTTTCCAACGTTTCCTTTGGATTGGGCACCACTGCCGATTCCATCGTTCCAGCTGCTCTTTTGTCGGTGACTGTACCTCGGACGCTATTCAGATGGCAGATGTAGGCAAACTGCACGGATGTCACGCGATGAAAGCTCAGGACAATTTCCGACGCCTTAGGTTTCAATTACACATTTTGGTGTTTCAATTTCGTTTTCAAGTTCAATTTTTATGGTAATTATTTGGTGTATGATTGTTTATTATTTTTATTATTTGTTTTTTTTTTTTAATGATGTATGAGTGGTGTTTGGTTGTGTTTTGTGTGTTGTTGTTGGCAGGCATTGTTTGTTGTTGAGTAGTTGAGTTGTCGTTGACATAGAAATATATTCACAAAGAAACGAATGCAAAGAACCAAATGGAAAACAAAAACGGAAAGAAAAGAACAAAATTCGAAAATCAAAGATTATCTCAATATAGTATATACAAACTGTCGGTGCAATTGAATGTGCCATATCATACAGTGGTAAAAACGTTCTGTAATCTCCATGTATAAATATAGAGATGGTTTTTTGGGGGTCACAATTGATTTGTACAAAAATTTGCGTAAATCGGCAGGCTTAAGCAAGTTTATGTACAGGTAATCGATAAACGATAGCTCCGTCAACGGAACGGGATGCAACTCGGAACAAGTAGTGAAAAGTGCTTGATGTCTGTGGTGGCGAAGAGTAGTGTACATCTTGTGTAACCGCAGTACTCACCATGCTCGACTGATACTTCCGCTGGATGAGATTGCGTGTCTTGGGATCTGTGAAAAGTACGAAAGCGTTAATTAAGTTTAAGAATTATTCGGTTGTTGCTAGTTATACAGTACTTACTGTACTCCTCCAGGACAAATATGCCGCCCTTCTGGGTGAAGCACTTCCGAATGTGATCCAATCGCACGAAGAACTGAAATTACGGGCGGAGAAAAGAGTCAGTTAAGCTTCAATGCCAGTCGACTCGCATTTCTTCTTTGGCTTCAAGGTTCCGTCACGGAACGGAACCCAAGAATGAAACATAACGGAAAGGGGGAAACGGAACGAAACGAAATCAAGCGAAACCGAACACAACTAAAAGGAACGATAACGGAATGCAACTCATAAAGCGGTCCAAACCAAAAAGCTTTCACACAAAACGTTGTTCAACAGAGAAAAAGACTGGTTGATAGGCAGAGCAGGAGTTAGAGAGAGATAGTTGAAGAGCGTTGGAAAGAGATAGCGTACACGCGTGGGCAGCAAAATGTAAAAAATTATATCAGTGGGGGTTTTTTTCGGACTCTTTAAATAGTTTGGTTTGTTTTTTTTTAGGTGTGTGGTCAAAAGTACAGTTACCAACCCAACAGAAACAAAACGAAAAGTTACGGAACTGGAACAGAAGCAGGCAGGCGGCAGGCAAACAAAAGCTAAATGCTACGCAGGCGCTTGGTTAAAATTTGTTCATCTATTTTTGGTCGGGCAGCAAGACAAGGACACCAAGTACAGTTAACGACATTCATTTATGTACAGGACACGCATATAGTGCTTTCGGCAGTAAACAGTGCTCAGGACTAGTAACGGAACCAAACCCAAATAGGAACACAATATGAAATGAAACGAAATGGCAAGTAAAACTTAATTTAAACGAAGTGAACAGATCGATATAGTTAGGGAGAAAAGAATGCAGCAAAATCAAATGAAAGTTTGGTAATTGGTTTAGTTTACTTGATCTTATTTTTGGAAAATTCATTTCTTTTCCACAATTCATTTTGAATATAGGAAATTATTTAGTTTTTTTGGGGGAAAGAAGGATTCTAATTAGCACTTGTGAGATGGTCGTATACTATGTAGCTTGGATTTTAGATACGAATGTGTTTGGTAAATATTTAGGAGAGTTGTTCACCTGAGCAACCCAAATTCGCACTAAACAAACGCAAAATAGTTTAATCAAGCTACAGTGTTCGGTGTCTGAGTGTGTTAACTTCTCTAAAGAAGTTGTAAGTATACAAAAAAAATTAAAACACTTAAGAAAATTATATAAACTAAATAATTTGTTCGTTTCTAATGGGACTCTAGAAAAGGATGCCTTGATAGGGAACAAGTTGAAAACACTTGGCAATGGAACTGCATTAAGGTCACCCCCTCGTTCCTTAAAAAGCAGTTCGTTAGGTCACAAGTCATTGTTTTTAAAGATATTTTATGTTTTCAAAGAGATAAATTGGGCGGTTGGGGAAATGGGTTTTACGGGAACAATGGATTAACACATGTAACAGCATGCAACATGTGGCACTATCACTAAAAACCAGTGGGAACGATCGGAATTCGATCGATATTTGAGGATCCCAATCGATAATTGGTCTTTTACTAAGTCGCTTTTTTCTAAACGAAACAATAGGCGAAAAGAAGTAAAGGCTAAAATTACCTAAATAGAAACAGAAAGAGAGTGACAGGTTGGAAAAGAAAGGCAGGAAAGCCAGACTGATAGCGATAGCTTATAGATATTGAAAAGAAAACGCCAGCATTTATGGTTTTTAGCTTACGACTAAATTTATCGGTCTTCTAAGTAGTTATTTTTTTCTCTAAGAGTTCAGATTTATTTACTATGTTTTGTTTGTCAATTTATTTAATACTTGCTTTTATTGTCCTTATTAGTAAACTACAACTACGATTGGGACTTAAGTCATTTGCTAAACAAGTAACGCTACACAAGCAAACTCAAAATGAACACTAAGGAAATTTAAATAGTCTATTGTTGGTAACTCGGTGAATAGTCTGACACACTCTAAAAGAGGGAAATAACAAAACAAAAAACCAGAGCTTGGAAACAGGGTTCGTCAGTTTATTATATTTAAGTTACAGTATATAAATTACGGTTTATTAAAAGATACGGCAAAAACGAACCCTGCACCATACTGCGGTTATCTAAGTGATTAGGGGGCTGCTTTCCCTCCAAGTGAAAGGTCATCTAAGTTTGGCCGGAACCAACGAAACATAACGTTACGGAACTTAGCGGAATAGAACGTAAAGTGATAAAAACCAAAAAGAAATGAAACAGTACAGCCATGTGTATATGCAAATTTCTGAGCTGGTGGTATATCTATTCTGCGTGTTGGAAATCAGTGGTATTAATATTTTTATTTTAAGCTTGCTTATCAACTGAAAACATAAAAGTGTCTTAATGTTTCAATAATTTTTCGAGAGGGTGTCGGACAGACTAGGACAAATGCAAGTGTGGTGAATCATGTAAGCTGTATTGAATTGTGGTGCAGTCCGGGCAAGGACTTAAAAGTGGATGCACTTGAGTTGTGGAGAGTGCTTGGCATGCTAAGGTTCGAAGATTGGAGTTCTTCAAAGCACAGTGTGACCATCTATGGGCAAACAGTGTGCTCTTCTATGACTTGGACGAGCAGTGTGACCATGTGTGCGTGCTGGCTAACACCAAAAAAAATAATGAAGAGTCGCTGGTGTCTTGAAATGAGAATGAAACGATAAAGTGTTAACTATTTGAGGCGCAAATGATAAACTGGTTAATCTAACGTTAATCAATAACAGTAATCAACAATCGGTAATCGGCATTAAGGTATACAAAGTGTACGGCTCAGTTTTAATTCATTTCAGTTCAAGTTCAATTCAACAAACAAACCAACTAACCAACCAACCAATCAATCAATCAACCAACAGTTCAAAAACGAAAATCTCAGTTGGGTTAGAGAGACAGATATAGAAAGAGAGATCATAACACAAAAGATATGGGTAAATAATATACATTATGGTATATATATTATTTGCGATTTAAGGTTTAAATTCAATATCAACTACAAATTTTTGGTTTTTGTTTTGTTTTTTTTTTTTAACTGTTAAATGCCATATCAAATTATTTTGTATACTTTTTTGGTTTTTACCATTTTTTTTGGGTGGGTGAAAGTGAAGGATTAAATCAAGTGTTATGAACGCAAAAGAGTCCAAGTTAAAACTCAAGAGCAACGCAAACTAAAACATATTTTCTATTTTTCTTTTATTATTTGTGAGGGGAAGTGGGTGGTTGAGGTACAGGAAGAAAGGATGGGGCTTGTGGTTGGGTGATGGGAAGCATTGGGCATTTAAAGAACAATAGTTGCTTATAAATTTAAGTTCAAATATAACAAGAAATTTGTTCATTGCAATACCTCGAAATCCTTTATCGTTTTTTCAGACATTTTCAGATCGTTTTATCATAGATTTTTGGTTATATTTCGATTTTGATTTTGGTTTTTTTTTTTTTTTTTTTTTTTTTTTTTTTTTTTTGTTATCGTTTGAGAAGTAGACCAATCATTGGAATAATACAATTCAATTCGGTTCGGTTCGGTTTCGGATCGTATCGGTTCGGTTCGTTCCGGATACGGAACGTGATTTTTGGTTGGTCCACAAAGGAGGGAGAGCGAGCAACGGTGCAGCGTTCCGCGTTCGACAGAGAACATCAAACAAACAACAAAGAAAATTATAAAAAGGAAAGTTGAGAAAACTGTTTTTTAAACTGTTCATTCAAATATTTTAGTTGCATTTTATTTTCTGTTCAATTTCTAATTTGCTGGCGAATTTATGTTTTTTTTTTTTTGTATATTTTTTTTTTTTTTTTTTTTTTTTTGGGTAAATACTAATTAGAAACGATATGAAATGTGGTTGTTGTTGCTGTTGTTGTTATGTTAGAGTCGGTTGCTTATAGACGGTGGGACGTTTTTGGGGTTTTCAATTTTGGTTTTGGTATCGGTTTCGGTATTTTCTTTAGGCTTTACAACGGTAACTGTGGAGATATCATGGGTAGGACATGGCTACTATAGCTTAAATTACTTTTGTTGTTTGTAATTGTTGTTGTTTGGTTATAATACTTAAGGAACAATTTGGCATGAAATCACTATCGAAAAGAAAAACGAAAATTAAGAACGCAATCGAATCGAAATGGAACGGAATGGAATAATGAAACTGAAAATGACGTAAGGCAGAAGATTCTGAGCTCACGAAAAAACTTCTTATATATCGCATATATAACACGAAAAAGAGATAGAGAGTTAGATTTTGAAAATAGACAGACAGAGACAGATACTTATAAAGAGAGGAAAGTTTTTATATATGTATTTACGCATATATGTTTGTAGAGATAGCAAATAGATAAAAAAAATAGGAAATAAATCGAAAGAAATACAACAAATCAAACTTAACACGAAACAAACAAAGCGCTTTAGAGGATTTTGCACAAGGACCATCTCAAAAGTTACCAGCTTAGAATACTTCTTTGTCTTTTTTTTATAATTTTTCTAAACATACGTTTTTTTTAGGCACGGCTTTTTTTTGGTAAATTTTTAACAGCTATATAGATTCTCAAATTTTGTTTTCAAGTATGAGCTTAGAAGGCAAATGAGCAAACCAAAAAATAAAAAATAAATAATAATATCTCAACCCACAGCCCATTTGATCCCTGAGTCGCAATTAAGATTTGCCATATATTTACAGGAAAACAAATAACTTTATTTAATGGACACCAACAATTATCGAGGGGCCTATAGAAGACGGACGAGAGACTGGATTAGGTGTTATTTGTTACCTATTTAATTATCACCTAAAAGTGACTTGTAGTTATTGTTGTTCTTGATTTTTATGTGGTGTTTCTGGGGTACATACAAAAGTACGATTTTATTTTCTAAGGAGTACTCTTACGAACGATTCTAATCGGTAATCGATAATCGTAAATCAGTTATTGGTAGTCAGAATAATCATTAATCAAGACAATAAAATGAGATTAAAATGACAATATCAACATATCAAACGGTGAGTATAAGTAACCAAAACGGAAGAATCGTAAGAATGTCAATCGTTATCGAAAAGAATGAAGAGGAGAATTGGGGATTTCTTATTTTTCTTTTGCTATTGGTTTTGATGGCGTTATCATTGAATCGGTTAGGTAATAAATAAAATAGAGAGTATAATGAATACAGCATTCAGTACATTCACTAGCACAATATATGGGTATGATATAGATGGATTTTTCTGCATATATATATTTATTGTTCATATATACTTTCAGTTGATCGATTAGAAATTGAATAAGATAAAAGATTCGATTGATTTTTCAATTTTTTTTTGTGGATTATATAATGACTTAGGAATAATATAAGTAGATATATAAGGCGAGTCAAAATAAAATGCCAAAACCAAATCCAAAGAACAAAATATAAGTAGTTAGAGCGAGACAGACAGATAAATAGAGAGAGAGAGAGAGAGATCGATAAAGTATAATACGTAGTTGGGTTTAGCTTGGGTAGTTGGATAGGTGGAGTCGGGTTCCGGTTGGGGCTAACAAATGATAAGACCCGAAAGGATGAAACACGATATCCAGACTTCTTCGTCCTGGAATACACATATTTATATATTCTGATACTCAAGGTTATAGACACTGTCGCATGTTTTTTTTTGGGGCGGACCTACGTCTCCTGAAAATCTGTATTTGTGGTTCATTCACATTACGATTACATAGGTTAGACATATCGGAAAAGCACGAACTGAAAACTAAACATAATGTTTATATATATATATATATATATTTATACATATAGATGTATATTGAGAGGGCCCTTGATCTTGATGCAGTCGATACACACACACAACAAGGAAATCATCGGAAATCGATTAAACTGAAATATCGTAAGGAAAGGAAACCAAAGAAAGCCAGACTGAAAACAGGAACTGAAACAAACGGAAACGAAACGTAAGGACTGAAAACGAAACACTGAAACAAAAGGCAGTGGGAGTATGTATCGATATCTGGACAGATAGACGCGCATATGTATGTACGAGTATAGTCCTCATGGATTAAATTCTTTCTTAAATGGGTCACCCCGATTAACCTCTTTCCTTCTAGTTGCTCTATATTTTACATCCTATAATTTTTGGGGTCTTGTGATTCATTAATTGGGTGACCCAGATTATTCATTTATCTACTCGCTGATTGGTGACCCACGCAACGAGATAGGAACATCGCGGGATTAGGAAGATTATAAAGAGCTTACAGTGTACTCTGTACTCTATTATGGATCTGGTAAGGGAATCGTTTCGGGAAATTGATGCTTTGCTTGATGAGGAGTGGTGTATCGAAAAAAAACGACGAATACTAGTAGTTTGAGGCATTCGAAGATGAAGCTGGTTGTGTTTGAGTCTTGGGTGTAACCATGTTGAGTGTCTTGTTGTGTGTTTTATATCCAAGTGTTGGTGGGGGATTGACTAAAAGTGGCGGCACTCACCTTGCTGTTGGAGAACAACAAACCGACACCTTCGAGGCACACCTGCAGCAGGCCGCCCTCGCCCGTGTTCATGTCCTGAACAGGGAACTCGCCACCCAGTTCGGGTACATTGGTGGGTGTACCGCCGCGTTCCATGGCCTCCTTGATGCAATTGTACAGCTCCTTGCACTGCACATAAAACACAGACTGGTTTACAGCAAAAAGACCTCATTCCCCTCCTCTGGTAAACCTACCTTCCGTGTGTAGTATTTGTGCAATTGCGTCTGACCTCCATTGCGGCGCCACAGACAAAGGAGCTTGGTCTTTGGGGAGTAAGTCATGTTGACCAACCGTTCGTACCACCAGCGCTCCACAATGGTGCCATCCACGGATCGAAGTACTAGCCCATCATCCCGGACTTCCATAAACCTCAGAGGTCCATTTACATCCGTACCCTGATGGACAGTAAAGCTCTGACGGTGTAGCAGTCGCGATCCCAGGGGTTTTAAATCAATGTCATTGCCGTTCTGCAGGAAAGAAGTATTACATTATTTACTTAATTCATTAACCCTTTTTAACCAGATAACCTACCAAATTGTTAATCTGATCAACTACATTGTGCACCTCCTGTGAGTAAACCAAGCCAATGTGACTCTTGCCCAGAAGTCGACGAATCTTGCGCCGGATCTCGTCCTTCGGGACATTTAACATCACCAGAATGGCCGTCAGGTTGTAGAGCATTGTGGATAGCAGGCGATCCTCGTCGTGTTCAAGGCGCTTGCGCTCCGATTCGCTCAGCGATTTGTAGCGCTCCATCATCTCAATGGGACCCTGTTAAAAAAAAAAAAAATAATTAAAATATTATTAAAACCCCTATGATTTCTCGTATCAGCCAATCTCACCTGATCCATGCCGATCATATCCCTTTCCTGGCTAACAGCATCTAGGAAGGCATCTTCCCAGAATTGCATTTGGTTCCAAAGGTTCAGGCGATCCTTGCCCAAAAGTCCCTCGAAGAGGTAAACCCTTGGACTGTCCGGCGAAGGTGAGGATGAGGTGTTGATCAGGTGACCGCCAGTATAACGAAATCCGGCACTTAGCGTTGATTTTCCGGACCACAGATTGCCAGTGCTCTTCTTCGAATCCTTTGAAGTGGTTGTCTGGAAAGTTTTTATTGGTATTAGATGGTTTTTGCTTGTTAGCTTTAAGCCTGACATAAGAAAAATTATTACAACTGAGGTTAGGCAGTATCAAAAAGGTCGAATTTCAAAAAACTAATTGGAGGATATAGGATAACATTACAAAGCTTTTACTTGGAAAGAATATTCCTAGTTAAGATTGAAGGAGTTTGAGGTTAAAGAATTCTTATTTAAGTGAAGGGAGGGATAGTCCTAGTTAGGGCTACGTCTGTTTAAGATAATTCCCTGGAGGTTTAAAAATCCGAATTAGGGTTAATTTCATTTTTTAGAAGTTTCTTCAGAAATTTTTGAGTTGCTTATTCAAAAAGCTCGCTTGGTTTTTGAAGTGATACCTATTTGTGCCAATTTATCTGAACCCCTGGGGTACTTACATTTTCGTACTCGGTGTCTGAGACCGTGGACCGGCAGCTGGAGGGCAACCGGACACCCAAACTGACCACGGAGAGCGCCCCCGTGGAGCCGGCAGCCTACGGATTACACACACGAACACACACACAGTGTTAGAGAGCTCTAAAATCGGGTATTTCAGTTGGACAGGATGTTTTGGCGGGACGGATTACGAATACGAGTATATACGATACGATTGGATATAACGGTGGGTGGATCGGCAGACTACATCGATTGACACTCGCAATGCGACAATAATAAATATGCAACATACTGATAGATACTGATATACGTATATATGCTAATTATTACTGGTTGGGCTATTTACTGAGATGCTGATATAAGCGATTCTACATACGATATACGATATATACACAAAGGATTGGTTTTTGTTTTTGGTTTTTTTGTTTTCGGCAAGCTAAGCACAACTGGCGTGATGGAATGGACGGATCTAAGTGGTTGGATGCTCCATCTAAGCTACTTACATCCGAGTCGAAGGAGGTGAGCATGTTCTTCAAGGCACTTCTCTTCTGCGACAGCATGTCCTTGAACATCTCCGTCGTGGACTGGCCATCCTGGCTGTCAGCAGAGGACAACCTCCGATTGACCGGAGCTCCAGGACTCGGACCACTGTGCGGCAATTGGGTGGAGCTCTTGCGGGACTCCTGCGGCGATGCCCACTCGCTGCCCAACGCCGAATGGGAACCGTTTGGGGAGCTCGGCGATCGCAGATTCTCCCGACTGCCCATCGGACTGGCCGCGTGGCTGGAGAGCAGGCTGGAGGACATGTCGCTGCCCTCGTTGATCTCCTTGCTCCAGTAGTGCGTGTGGGCCACCTCCATCAGCTGGAACACGGAGGCCATTCCGCCCAGGCCAAAGTTCGCGAAGGTAACGTCCAGTCCGCCGGCGATCGCCTGCACGCACTTCAGCATACCCTTCCACACGGGTTTCGTCACGCACTGAAATTGGAAATGAAAAGGTTAACTAGGTTCCAAATATTTTACATATATATAGTACATTATAAACATAACAGATATTGAGGGGATAATCTTGGAGTTGTGACTTCTTTAAACTTTGAAGGGTTCAGCCTTTCTTGAACTGTAACCACATTTTAAGATCTACCATAAATCCATATCCTTAAATCTTTCCAAAACCTAATAAACCTTTCAATTATTTACTTCATAAATTATGAAATGTAAACGTAACCTTTAGACAGATGTAATGAACTGCCAATAAATCCACATTATAATTATAAAATAGAACCTACCACATCATCAATATGATCGTCCGGGGCGATCTTCTTGTCCAGCGTCTTGTTCAGCTTGCTGAGGACCAGTGTGCGATAGGACTCGTCCTCCATGAGCTTCTTGAACCGATTGAGCTTCAGCCAGCCGACTCCTTCGCCGGCAAGAACTTGATTGGTGACGTCCTTCAGGAAGGTTTGGTTCTCCGCATTGCTGTGCGAACGCTCCTGATTTTGCTGACGAGTCAGTTCCTCCTGAGTTTGCCGCGGACCCGAATGTTTGATCAATGGTGTTCTCTCCACGAGTCCTTTTCGTCCGGGAAAGGGATCGAAATTAATGCCGGTTTTGCCCTTTGCAGAAGAGACACTCGCTGGTTTGTGTTGCACAGGAACCTGCTTTTGTTGATTTTCTGCAATACAAGTTTCGAGTAAATAATAATCTATTCACTTTAGAGGCAATGTTGAACTTACTTTTACCGAACATGCCCGAAAACATGGTGGATGTGGAGGAGGCTAGGCCATTGAAATCCGTTCCAATGGAGGAGAAGAAGTTGTTGCCACCGCCGGAGCCTCCGGTTTGTTGCACCTGTTTGTGGGTCGCCAGTTGGGAACCGGGTGACTTTGGTGGCGGAACAGCCACCGCTGTTGAATGCTCCTCGATCTTGATGATGCCCTTCTTGGTGGCCGCCTCCTTGGCCGTTTTGGTGAGATCCCCCAGCGTTGATTTGCCGACGTAGGTGAGATCCTCGAGGGTATTTTTGCTAACACCAGCTGCCTGTTTCGAAACCTCCAGCGCCTGTTTCGAAGCCTCTCCAGCCGCCTTCTTTGCGTGCAGTGTAAACTATGGAGCCAAAATCCATTTATTATTAGTAATCAGGTAATCAGGTATAGGACATCCAAAGTCTATTCAATTGAGTGACGAATTGCCTAGGTGGTGCTAACAATCAAAGTTGGAGGTCTGCAATCCATCTGGTGCCGGATTGAATTCTAATTTTAGGAATCTATTATGACACTACCAATCCCGTGACAAGATCAGCGGAAAATGCGACAAGGATGTGGATGGCAGGATGCTTTGAGGGAAAGGATTTGTAATGGAAAGTCCGTGAATGATATAAACTTTAAGTGGGAAATGTGAAAGATATCTTATGTGTAAAAAAGTTTTCAATTAAAAAACTTAAAGAAATGTGTGATTAAATTAACTTTTTTGAAGAATATCTAATAATTGGAAAAAAATGTATATTGTTTTCAAAACTAGATTCTCTTAATTTAGGTAACAATTTCCGTTACAAAACAAAATACTTTGTGTTTTTATAAATAAATAAATAAAGGGTTCTATTTTAAGGACAGTGGTTTCAAGAGTCTCCAAAGGTTTTTAAAGTTGAGATGAGGTGTGTGCTAAATATACTTAAGCTTTAATAGACTCACGATGTTCGGTGAATGAAGTGTGGTGAAACGTGTACGTATAATGCAGTGTAATGAGCAGAGAAATGTTAAATGATTTAGGCGACATAAGACAGCGAGGGTGTTTTGGTTTTGGATGGGATGGGAAAGTGCGGCGGGAGTACCAACCTTTTCGAAGGTATGACGCATTTTGTCGTCAAGATCTTCGTCCAGCGCATGCTACAGTACGGTACATTCATGTCAGGTTCAATTAACCAACGCAACACCGCCAACGCAAAAAAAGAAACGGAAAATATAAAAATAAAGAAGGAAATAAATAAGTAAATAAATAAATCACGTAGTCGACGGAAAGAAAGAAAAGGAAAGAAACACAGATCAACGATCAGAGCACAACAGCACATCGAGTTAGAGAACCTTGCCCCGCGGGAAACCTCAGATGGCACTCACCTTGTCCACGTGGGCCAACAGACCCTCCTGGCTGCTCTGCCTCGTGGTTTCCCTCACCAGCTCCTTGGCGTGCGAGGCGAAGTTCTCGAAGAGCGAACTCTGCGAACTCTGGCGACCAGGACTACTCGAACTGGAGCCAGAACTGCCGGTTCGGGCCAAGATGTTACTAACTCCGGGTTGTTTAACGGGTGGCGTTAATGGAGGCTGGAAATAAAGATATTTCTTAAATTAATAAATGCTTAATGAGTGATCAAATAATAACAAATGCCTTCAATCTATTTGTGATTACTCAAACATAATAAACTTTATCAACGTCTGTTCTCTATTAAAACTAACAACATTTTTGAGAATAATACAGGAATGATAATGAAACTTACTGTGAACTGATTTTAAAAACTATGGTGAAATTATTAATAATATATTATCGCGATAACAATAATCATGTGTAGAAAAAATCTTTTTATATATGTACATATACACAAATCCAAATAGCAATCCAAATGCTTACCGGAATCTTTCTCTCGGGCCTCTCGGAATCGCTGGGATGTCTTTGTAGTTTGGAGAGCGGTGCTATGCTCTTGGCCGCGACTGTGGGGCCCGCATCCGATTCCTGTTCAATGCTGGCCATCTTGATGGTGGCCTCCAACCGCATGGCCAGCGGTGTGGCCAACTCGAAGCTGGGTGCAGTCGCTCCACCGCCAGCAGTCGCGGATCCACCCTTCGGTTGGAAATCGAACTCCGAGTCGCGATTGAAGCTCGGTGAACTGAGATCCGAGCGACTGGAGGAGGAGGACACCGGACTATCGGCTCGCTCCTCGTCCTCCTCCTCCTTGTTTGCCGCGGCATCGGCAATCCCCTCGGGATACTGCAGCTTGCTGGGTGGATGGTAAACCAGGGCGGGATCCAAATTCGAGGAGAGCGTCTGCGGCACAACATGCGGTCGATTGTAGGAACCAAAGACATCGTGCAGACTGGGCGATAGATCCGATGAGGCCATTTCCGAGACGAAGTCACTGAGGGAACTGTACGAGGAGCTGCTGCTGTCCGCTCCCTCCGAATCCGAGCCACTCTCATCGGTCGGCTGGCACTCCAGTTGCTTCAGCGATCGCAGGGCTCCGTTCAGTGAACTTCCATCGTCCCAGACCGAAAATCGAATCGGTGTGAGGGCGTGGGCGAACCACTTGGGCTTATCGCCCACCTGCATGGGATCCATCACACCCGTTTGCACCCGCAGGAATGCCACATTCGTGGGCGTCAATGACCACTCGGCCAGGAACTCCACCGCCTGCGTCCTGGCGAATTGATTCAGGAACTGCGAAGCTCGCGGTCGCGATCTCAAAAAACTATTTATCTGGAATGCGACCACGGGACGTGGATATAATCGCAAGGTGCGCGTGTGCTCCGCGAAATTGGCCAACGTATTTTGGGCATTGAAGAACCGCACCATTGCCACTCGGGTGGCCACATCCACGGAATCCACATCCGTGCCGTAGACAAATGGATTCAGCGCCGGCGAGTTCATCGGACTGGGCTGCCGGGAACTAATCGTTCCCTGGGCGGACATCGAGTTCCTCTGACTGGCCTGCGCCGAGTGTGGCGGTGTCTGCAGTGGCAGTCGCACCTGGGACACCCTGGGGTATAAAAAAAAAACATTATTTAAAACATTACCTTAACTTTGGCAGAAAAGATACCAAATCCGTACAGCCCATAACTTTGCTTATTCTTATCTGATTTATGAGTGTTAAACCTTTCTGAATTTGTCAATAAAATATTTAAGAAGCTGCATCATTAGTTTATTTTTTATTTGTTGGTCGATGTTTTGTCAATTTTTATTTCAAAATTTGCAAAAAATGGATTTGCTAAGAAGTGATTAGATTCCACCATTTCCAAACCCATCACTTTTCTAATTTTGATCTGATTTATGAGTGGTATACCTTGCTGAATTTGTCAATAAAATATCTAACAAGCTGCATCATTAGTTTATTTTTCATTTTTTGGTCAATGTTTTGTCACTTTTTGTGATGTGAAAAATACGATAAAAATATATTTGAGTGAGCCTGCCCTTCAAACATCATAACTTTTTCTAAAGAAAGCGTTTAATTCGTTAAAACACTACTATAAAAAACTAGCCCCGAATCATTTTCTCAACAGAAAGAAATCAGACAGATAGATGACTCACCCAAGCAATGGAGGCTCCTGAAGACTGTCCCGCACCGAAGGCAAAAGCTGTTGCGAGGAGACCGCCGTGTTGGTGGCCGTCATCGAGGTAAGTGCCTGTGGAAGTCCATTTAACATTATTAGTGGGGTTAACCTCAAGATAAACCATCTAACTGAGGACTTCAACTGGGCTAACTATAAGATGGGGAGGGAATCAGAAAGCTTTTTGGGGGGAGGCTTAAGGCCACTTTACTTAGATTGTTAGTTAGTTAGTTAGTTACTCAGATAGTTAGTTATAGAAGTTGGAAAACGGGGGAAGAAGGAGAGAGAAGACTGACAGGACATGCACACAAAACACGTAATTCTAAGGACAGCGACACTTAGGTAGAGAAAGTGATTGAAATATCGGATGGAAACTGTGATATTTCCTACCGTTTGGAAAAAGTTAACCTATCTAATTGGAAAACCCTTCTCAGACTAAAATTCAACATCAAGAGTGGGTTGATACGTCTATGTAGAATGACTGTGCATGCGGTTAGTTCTTCGTTTACGGATATTCACATATAGTTAGTTTAGTATATTATTTATGGGTTATGTTTAGTATGTACAAACGCTTTTAAATCAAATATAACGATAAACGATAAACCAAACGTAGTTAACAGTTTTGCGAACGATATTTACACCAAGTCCAGCTTCATCCATCAATAGCATTGCCTGCCGATGTTGTTGTTGTTGTTATTCGATTTGTTGTTGTTGTTGTAGTAGTAGTAGTTGTTGTTGTTGTAGTTAAAGTTGTGATCGAGTTTAACAAATTTCATATAACAGACAATGCATGAGTGTTAAAAGTATAGCATTAGAGTAGAGAGACAGAGATGGACACACATCGATAGGCAGAAAGAGAGGCAGTGAGTACACATTGAATAAAAAACACAAAGAAAGAAAGAGAGAGACAGAGAGTTGTACAAGTGTTCGAGGAGTATTTCCATGGGGTTCAAAAATTAAAAATTAAACTAAACTTAAAATATCGCCGTAGTGCTCGCTGATATTTGCTCTGTGATAGATTTCCATAAGTTGGATATATTATTCGAATTAAAACAATCACACCAAAGTTGAATGGAGCAATGATAACGATTATATGACAGCGATAACGATAGCTACGATGAGTAACCGCCGTTTTTTCAGATGCATTGGCTCTGGGTCATTCCCTTGGGATGGAATTCTCCCTGAGAGCCAACACATTTTCAAGAGACATCGGTTAAATAGACATGGATAAGCGATTTTGGTCTTAAGCCAGTTGTGTGCCGCGATTATTTATAGCGTTCGAACAGAAAATTTGGGAAACCGTTTAACAGTGCCTGGGTATAAAGACTTAATCAGATGAAAACACGTTTCAAAAACTTTGGAAATTCACCAAGATGTTATATGTTATATTTTATCTAATGATATGCTATATTTTAAATGTTTTTCTTCACACGATTAATTTGATCCCCTGATCCCGTTCTTCTAAATAAATTGTAGTTTTATGCCTATTTTTTTGAATTTATCAGAGGGCGTTGTGCCTTCACTCAAATCACAACATGGTTTCATGTTTCACATAAATCATTATCGCTCCTTAGCTAAGGTCGTCGTGTGTATACTTTCTCAAGTTGTGTTCGGTGAGCAGGAGCCATGTACAGTCCCCACATCGCTCTTTTATCGGCCGTGCAGGCAAACGACACACGTCATCGAGCCAAACTTCGCTTCCAACGCTTACCCACGGATAACACCTATACGGATCCGCGTCTGGAGCAATTGATTGTGTATAGGGCTCTGCTGGAGCACCTGTTGCAGCAGAAGGACCACTACGACCACGAGAGGGAGTTGGAACTGCAACGCTTAGAGCGATTCCGCTGCGAAGGAGCCAACGAGCGGCGTCTGCAGGTTCAGGAGCAGGTGGTCAAGAAGGCGCAGGCCATGCTGCCCGGCATCGTGTTCAAAATGCGCAACGAGGTGGACAAGCTGAAGCACTTCTTCGAAGTGGACAAGGAACAGGAGCTCCGTCAACTGGACACCGACCTTTACGACCAATGTAGCGATCTCCTCAAGAATTGCCAGCTCACCCTAGAGAATGTACAATAAGCGGGCACTTCAACTATTATCATCCTCATTAACATTTGCCATCAGTCAAATTTAGTTGTGTAAATAAAAAAAAGTTATAACCTTTATAATAAGGTTCCTAAGTAATCAGGTGAATTTCCAAAATCCATAAATCGTATTTTCAGGACATCCATTAGATTTTAGGCATCAGGATATATACAAAGTTTTAGGGATGAACATCTATGGCTTACCTGCTTGAGGTGGTTCTTCAGAATGGTGCCCTCGGGCTCAGGTAGCGGTGGTATTTCCTCGTAGCCACCAGTGGGTGGCGTCAGTTTGGTGGAGTCCAAGTCAACCACCCAAATGTCATCCGGTAAGCTGTAAATAAAAAGCGAAAGACGTTAGACTTAAACCTTTCTGATCTTCCTTGTTATATACATTTTCAAAAATAATTTTTTTGGTACAAGTTGATCTTACCGGAAGTTCTTTTTGTAGACCAGAAACGAGGCGGGCACTCCGATGACGAAGGGCGTGGGAGCCAGAAGCAACTGCTCCGCACAGCTGAGGCAGGTGGGCAGAAGTGGAATCACGGGGAACATGTACTCCAGTGGATACAGCATGGTAACGAAGGCCATCACCGACATGGAGAGCGCGTTGTAGTCACGCGACTGGAACAGCACCTTGTTCTCCTGCATGATCAGGGTCCACACCTTGAGGCACGTCTCCACGCCGAGCAGCTCCAGCGGAAGATGGAGCGGGAAGTCCACCAGCGAGAAGCGAGTGTGGTCGGGCAACGCGAACAGCAGTGGCTCGTGCACCGTGGGCGAAAGCACCTCCACCTAAAGGAAAAATATATTTTCATTAAAATGCGTATAAGTAACAGGGTAACAATTTAAGTTGAGTTCATAAAGTAACAGAATACGAAAATTTCATTGAAATTCAATAGTAAAGGTAATTTTTTACCATGTACAACATTGCGTATGCTTAATTTTCTATTTGTGAATAACACTCATGCGCCCAGTATGACCATTTCCTGTGCAACGTTGCGTATGATTTATTTATTTGATAAATCACTCATACGACATGTTGTATTTTGTTAGTAAGTAACAGGGTAACAATTTAAATTGAGTTTATAAAGTAACAGAATACGAACATTTTATTAAAATTCAATAGTAAAGGTAATTTTTTACCATGTACAACATTGCGTATGATTAATTTTATTTTCGTGAATAACACTCATACGCCTAGTATGACCATTTCCTGTGCAACATTGCGTATGATTAATTTTATTTTCGTGAATAACACTCATACGCCCAGTATGACCATTTCCTGAGCAACGTTGCGTATGATTTATTGATTTGAAAAAATCACTCATACGCCATGTTGTATGTTGTTTTTTTTGGAAGTACAGGTATACGTTAATTGGTAAAATAAAGGTAAAGTATTTTTAATAAATTAAAGGTTACAAAAATTACTGTTTGTAATAAAGAATTCTTTAAAACTACCAGCCTTTCTACCCCAACTCTACTACATATTTATCTATACATATATCTTACCTCGACTCGCGTGGATCCCGGCACAGGAACTGGCGTGGAGAGCAGTCGCAGAATCCAGGTCTCGATCTCGCGCACATCATGCAGGACGATCGAGGGCGTGGCCTCGCTGACATGACCCGTCAGCACGGTCCACACATTGTCCCGGTTGATCTTCTGCGAGGCACCGACCCTCTTCGGCGACGACGACTCGTTGCAGGCGTCGATGAGCTTCTTCAGGATGAAGAGGCACTCCCGGAACGTGGTGAAGAACGGATGATGCGAGATGATGCACAGCGAGGTGAGCGACTGGTTGCGCAGCTTCGTCCTCTTTCGCGATGCCCGCGGCGATGGCGAATGACTGCCGCCGGATTCGGAGTCCGCCGAGGGAGCCATCAGACCCAATTTGGGCACCGCTGGACCCGCTGACGGGTGGTGCGACGACTGCTGCTGTGGCTGCTGGTGGTGCGGTTGCGGTTGGTGGTGGTGCGAGTGCGAATGCGAGTGCAACCGCTGCTGGTCGGAATCGCGACGCGATGTCAGTTCACGGTCCGAATCGCTAGGCGCTACGTTACTTCTGTAGTCGCTAGAAGAAGTTAAGAGGCCGTAACTATTATGGAAATGGTTTGAGATGCGTTAGACAGGCTTTTTGGCATAAACAAAATTCAAATCTCTATAATTTATCATTTATCACCAAAACATCCTTCTGGCAAACAACACTTGCCTGCTAAATGCCGAATCCGAGCTGCGTTCCATGCTCTTTCGCCACGACTCCCTCCGAAAGGCCGACGATCTTCTTCCGCCCCGCCCACCGCCTCCGGATCCTCCTGCCCCGCCGCCGCCGCCATGGCCGCCGGGTCCTCCGTTTCCCGGACGATCGCTGCCCGCTCCCGCCGCACCCGCCACCGAACTGGGACGCTCGATGGGCCGGTAGAAGTTCACGCATATCCCGTAGCGCGTCTTGCCCGAGTCCTTGTCGGTCAGGGCGAACACGAAGGAGGTCATGTCCCGGATGGCGGAGCCAGTGCGTCGCGGTCCCACGCTGGTGCAGCCCTCCGGCTGGCAGAAGTACACCATGTCCAAAGGCAGGGGGAAGTCCGCGTGATCCGACGGCGGATAGCGACGCAGCAGATCGGGAACCTGTCGAGGGAACAATCAAAAAATATTCTAACATTTCACTTACTGAAGGAAAGTAAAAACAGAAAATAATCCAAAATGTATCTATCGTTCTTAATATCAATTTTTATGTTAACTTTTTGAAGAATTCAATAAGAAACTCTTAAGACTTTTCTATTTTAAAGAATTTTTCAAATGATAAAGTTAAATGTTTTAAACCAACAGGTTCTAGATTTTAAATATCACTACATTTTAGAAAATATTTAATGTAAAACAACTTTAAAACTACCATATATTTCTTGCATTTACTTTGAAGCTTTCTCAAATCCGCCATCACTATCAACACAATTTTTTCATTTCCCCTGCGCAAGTAATGAATCAAATAACCAATAAATTCAATCCATTGACCGACTTACCTGCACCGGCGGGGCCTTGAGTCCTTGCAGTCCTTTTGGCATCGGAGGCGTCGTGTGTGCACCCACAATGGCCATGTAGTCCACCAAACGGGGACAGAGGGAGGCCTTCTGCTGGTCCGACATCCTGGATTGTGTTTGCTGCCGACGAGCAAGTCGGGGGAGAAATGCGGGAAAAAAAAGCAGCATGAGTTCCCATGGCAAACGGATGACGAGAGAAGGATTATAAATCCAAGGACTGTTGCATGCAAGAGTTTCAGGGCTGAACACATTAAAACTAAGCCAAAGGCTTATTACAAAAGTGAAATCCCCTCTCAGGGACACCTAAGTAAATGGTTGAGCTTAACTTGATTATAACGAGGATTTAATTGCTGGATTGCTTTGTTTACGAGGGTATTGTCTGCAAGTTTACTTTACTGCTTAGTAATTGTTACATTGTTCTTCACAGATTCGTTTTGAATACATTTAAGGCTTAGGTTCCCCACTAAATGCATCGTAAGCAGTTTATTCCCCAGCTCACACATCCCTCATCAAATCAGTTTAATCGAGACATGGCGACTCCCATCGGACCGACCGTCCACGGATTTCGGGTGAAAGTCAGTCAGTCAACCCGGTGGCCTTCTCTTTGTTGGCTGATGACCTTGCCGCTGGCTAAGAAATCGGGATTGGGATTGAGATTGAGAATGGGATTGGGATTGGGAAGGCGGGATGCCAAATGGCAAACAAAGCCAGGTCGGGTAAATTGAATGTCAAAGCACAAATACTTTAAAGTGCCCAATCACAAATTGCAAATCCCCATTGACGTCAGCGGGAGTGGGCCATCGTCGGGTTCTGGGGGTAACGAAATATACTGTGCTGGGGTGGCACAAAATATACTGTGGGTGGTCCAAAGAATGCCAATTTAGCGCACTTGGCATGCGAATCCCTGGGTAAGGCGCCACGTGGAAGTTGCCCCAAGGCCAACGGCAAGCTGGGTAGGTGGAAAAACGCGAGGCAAAGTCAATATCAACATCCAATTTAACCATCATTAGCGCATCCTTCACAAATGAAGCTCCCCTTATTGACGGTCTTCATTAAATCGGAATAATTCAAGTACTATTTCTTAATCAAATGCGAACAAGGTTGAGCTATCATCTCTTAACCTTCTGCTTAATTATGGAATAAATGAGAAGTCTGTGCAAAAAAATTACTTTAAAAAATCATTAAACTATTAATACATTTTCACATTCCTCAAAACATAATTACTTGAGAATTTCAGCGCAAATATTTTACATTCATTTAACATGCAATGTGTGGCAATCATCTTACAAACTTTCAACGTACAATGTGGGGCACTAAGTACAAGTGGACCCCTTTTTTCATGTGTAAGGGCAAGAAAAAGTTTTCCAGCACAGCACTCACGCATCCTCGTGGTCAACTAAATAGTCCTGCAGCTAACCTCCCACTACATGTCAGGACGAATCATGTCAAGGCTGCGGATGCAATCCCCCAACTTGCCACGCGAAAAACTTATTGAAGGGATGCCACTTTGAGGATACCCCATACCATTCTGCAACCGCAGACTCCGCGAAATGACATCAGCCTGGACGTGACAGGCGTTCCAATACCAATATTAGTCCCCATTCCCATTCCTATTTCCGTTCCGACTGAGGTTAAAAATAGTCCAGAGAATTGGGGATAAGAGCGAAACTGTCATTAACCGAAAAATTGTCAACGTCGTTGGCCGCGTGCGTATTATGAAATCATCCACCATCGGAATCGGAGATGTGACGCGTGGGTTCAAGTGCCCCAAGAACTTGGAGCAGTCACTTGAGACTCGGGGCTCTAATGGCAGTAGACCATTTCCTAAACAGCCCGTTAATTGGCGCCCAACTAACTTGCCGACCAGTCACTTGAGACTATCTAACCACTCTATGTTCTGATGGCCTTATCACAGAAACAAAGAGTTTGTAAATGATTTCAAAAATGGTATATAAGATATATATAATGTTTATAATTCGAACACAAACCTATAATAGTTCTATACAATCGCAATTTATAAGGCCTTAAAATCCAATAAAATGCTTTCATTATCTTAGGCTTGCGAACTACCAGGAATTTCCTTCGCGGCAATAAAAGACGCAAATTCATAAAAAGAGAATGCAAAACTTAGACAGGAAATGTACATATTGTATATCTGTTTTGCGATACTCACAATAAGAGCTCATAACAATCGGACTTGTCTCCAAGCCAGTGTAAAGCAAATAAAGCGTTTCTTGACGTGCGGTTGGGGCCCAATTCCGTCTTATCGTCGTGCAAAGCGCCTTAGGATGCGACACCACGGAATGCAATGGAATTTCTCCGCTGAATTAAGCGTGACGAAGAAAAGGGAAAGGCATAAGGGAAGCCGAGGGGCGCTCCAAAGAAGAAGGATTCTGGTGCGTTCCCTTATTTTGTTGTTGTTGTAAAAAGCTCTCCTGTCACCACTCAAGCCACTTAGAGTGGGCGTTCTGTCTGTCAGTCAGTCGAGTTCCCCTTTGCAATTTCCATTCAACACCCACAATCTCCTGCTCCTTCATTTATTTTTTATTTCTCTTCTTTTTTTTTTTTTTTTTGTTGCGTTGCCTTGTTTCCATCTGCATCTCCCACTCCGTTGGTGTGAATGACTTGTTGTTGGCGCGCTTGATTTGTTGTTCTGCACGTGCCACTGCAGGGGGCGGGTGGTGGGTCCTTCTTCTGGCCGTGGTATCATAAAATCAATAAAGGGCTCGGCAATTGCATTCCCTGACAACAAGCTGAACAAGCCACATCATCATCACACACCGCATACACACATAGATACAGTCGTACATCAAGGCCAGGCCGCAAATGCTGATGCCCAATGGTCTTATCATTCGGGTATTAGCATTCCCCTGGCACAAAAAATACTACAGCGCTCAAACAGATAAGACGCTAACTGGAATTCTAAGCTTAGGATAATGCTTTTAAATTGCATTTCTTTAGGATTTTTTGTTCTACACAAAACAACTACACAAAGAACTACTTTTTGCATTTAAGATTTTAATAAGAAGAAGGAAACATTAGTCAGAAACTGTCTTTATAAATTATATTTTCCATGTACAAGTGGCAGCAAAACTAAGTTCAAATTATTCTGGTTGTAAGCAATCAGGAAAGCGTTAAGATAAAACTCCCGAAGAGTATAATACCATACCTATTTAATAATATTTATCAATTATCAATGAATTAATATAAGATCATATCTAAGTATAGAACAATAGTCAATTAGTCACCTCTATAATAGGTTTTAATTGGAAGTGTCGTGGAACAACCCCTGCTAAATGTTCGACCCTTGTAGATAAACTAAAGTCAATTATGGGTACATGCTTTTGGGGCTATTACACTGACCGCAGTTGTGGCCTGTATATACAATCCGTGGAATGCAAAAACCCGGGAACAGGCAATATGCTAAGTGAAATGCCTTGGATGTCGGTTTTTCGGCCCCGAAAACTCCCGCATAAATTCCAAGTGTTCTGTGCTCAAAAGTATGCTGCCGAAATGTTGTCCCAAAAATATGTGCGCAGAACACACACACGCACACGCACACAACACACACAAAAGTGCGAGTGTGTATATGTGCGGAATGTGGATAAAAGGGGGAGGACAAGGCTAAGCAGCAATGACAAACACACAAGCACACATACATAATTTGTACGTTCTGGCGTACGCAACAAGGTCACTGGAAAAATCGTTAAGAACGGAAAAAAATACACACTCGACAGCGAAATGGAAACAACAATGATACAGTATATTATGCCGTTATACATACTCATGCTCATTTTTACTTAGTGTTTATCTGTAATTTTCGGTCAAACACTTACCTTAGTTCACTAGTTATTGTGAGTTGTTTTAGTTAATTAAATGTGGTTTCCCATCAGAGAGTTGCATTCTGTTGTCATCGCTGTGGCGCTCGCAAATATTCACTGGACAATCACTAAATTTAAGTCTTTTCAATTGTACAAACAGCAAAAAAAAATATAGATAGAGGCTCTTCTTGCTCAGCTCTCGTGGTCAGTTGCAGACGAAGGACCTCTCTGTATCGCAGCTCGCTTGCTCCTGGCTTTTCTGTACTTGATTGCGCGCTGGCCGTGGTGTGACTGAATTTCCTAGCCACGAAGTCGAGCAGCTAAACCAAAGGACGCCAACCATCCAACCATCCAACCCCGTTCCGCGTTCCCCGTTTCCCATTCCCCACAGTCCCTGTTCAGGCGCCGCTGCAATGTGGTGGTGTTGAAATTCCTCCGCTGCTTTCGGGGGCTGGAAATGTGCCGTTGCGAGTGAAACGAAGCGACACGAGGCGAAACGACGGCACACGAACGACATTTCCATGCCGCACTTGTTGGATTCTCGTGAAAAAACCAACACTGCGCATGTTTCCAAGTCGCTGCTACTTTGGAGATGGCATATGGGCTTTTTCGACGATATATCTAGGGTTTTACAAAAGGGTATACCCAAACAAAGGCAGCAAATATAAACCTCTAAAAATCTGAAAATTAGTTGGTTTTACCATTGGTAGTACCATTTGTTTCAATTAGTTTTACTTACAGATCTAGATTTTTTTGTATACTGAAGCCTATACAACTGTAAAGTCTCGATTATCAGGTAGGCCAGTAAAACTGTTGAACTTATTTGGTTTTAAAACGGAGTTGGTTTTAAAATTTTTAAAACAGTATCTCATGAATTCTCGATATATTATTTTAAGTGCTATGCTCTGAATCCACTTAAATCCAAATATATATTATAACATATAATTTAAGAGTTATAAACGCCTAAAATTGCAAATGTTTTTAGCTATAATTTAGCCTTTATAAAAACCTGGCTACTCTGACATTCCGTTGCCACGCGGAAAGTAATGGGCTCGGTGCGTGTGGACGAGTGTTTCTGGTGGCCCTGAAGTGGCTGGGCAGAGGCATCGGACCAAATGGATGCTTAAATTGAATTAAGCTTGCTGCAAAACAAAGTTGAAAAGCGTGTATATGTACACACCCGCATAGCGAGTAATGCGAGTTTAACGGAAAATGGTTCTTAAAAAACACGCATGAGTTATGGCTTCATTTTTTTTAGCATACAAAAAAGGGCATTAAGGGTAGACAGGAACATTTGAGAGGGCTTTAAATCAAAAGCTAATCTTGGCAAGTTTTAATGGACGTTAAACTAAATTAATCTGTTCTGTGATCAATAATTTTTATATAAGAACTGACAAATTCGGGATATGCTTTAAGTGAGTATAGTATTTTGTTTAAGATTTAAGGAGCACCATGTTTCAATTAAAACAACAAAGTGCTCCCTTAATCCCAGAAGCCAAAATTCAAAATGTAAGCTCAAAGGACATCAAAAAAACGAGCAACATTAAATTAAACTCACCTGATTCCAGCTTTTAAGCATGCCAAAGGAAGGCTGTTAAAATAGGGGCCACAAAGACAAACTTGTAAACCAATTACAAATGTTTTACAACTCACTTAAGTGCCGCAAAAAATATGCAAAACGAAGGAGGCTTCACAAAAACCGTTTTGGATATTTATTGGACAGCCATTAAAACAATGCTTTAAAATAAATGCACTCACTACAGTTGAACTGTACGCTAAAGCTGCTGCTTAACAAACTACAAGAAACTGATATATAAATGCAGGTAAACAAAAAAAATATGGTTAAGCGGGAAGCCAGCCATGTGCGCCAGGAGCTTAAAGTAATCGAGGAGCCGCTCAGAGCAGCCTGCCTCCTATAAATGCACATTTCGGGGTTTGGAAGGCGGCACATGGCATTGGCTCCAGGACAAAACGGATTGTCGAACAATTAGAAAAGAACTAGATAAGTCTAGATAAATGCATGGGATACAGCCTTATCCGTGGGAGTTAGCGTTTTTGAGTTCCAGGTGGTCTAGTGCAGCAGGAAAAGAGCCGGCTGCTCCAGATACTGCTTCCAAACGTTCGAGAAGCTGGCCATGGTCACCCCGTCGATGACGCGGTGGTCCGCGGACCAGCTAACACACATAATATACGCCTTGACCACCTCATCCTTGTCGTTGAAGCGAGGCACCTTCTTAGTCCTTCCCATCGCACCAATCGCCACCTGTGGCGCCATGATGCAAGGATGTGTGTAGGTGCCACCAATCTGAAAGGTTAACAAGGTCACGATTGCGTTGCGAACAAATAAATAAACTATACTCACAACTCCGATGTTGGAGAGCGAGAAAGTGCCGTCAGCAAAGTCCGTTGGGGTCAGGGAACCCGTGCGTCCTCGTTCCACCAGTGCATTCAGGTCCTTTGCTATCTCAATGATGTTCTTGGCCTGGCAATTCTTAATATTTGGCACTACAAGACCCTGTGGTGTATCAATGGCCACGCTGATGTTGTGGGCTCCCTTGTAAATCAGCGACTCGTTGGTCAAGTCCAGTGAACTATTCAGAACGGGATACTTGGAAAGCGCAATGCTAGCCGCCTTGATACAAAATGGCATGAATGTGAGCTTGGGTACGCCATTTTTGTTGGCCTCCGCCTGCAGCTGGTTGCGGAATTCAACCAATTGGGTCATGTCGATCTCGTCGCTGTAGGCAAAGTGCGGGATTTTCTGGCAAAGAATACAACTGGTTATTTTATATGAACTTTTGATTTTGAGGAGCACTTACCAGGGATTCGGTCATTGATTTCAGCATAGCCTTTCGCACTCCCTTCAGCACTTCCACGCGATCAGCGGGAACAGAAACAGAAGCAGCTGCAGCGGGACTGGCAGCAGGAGCAGAAGCTGTCGGCTTTTTAGCCGCCAGAGTGGGATGTGGTACATTTGTACCCGGGGGCACCTGTCCCAGGTACTCCAGAATATCACCCTTGAGTACACGACCATTCTTCCCCGTTGCCGGCACCTTGGAAAGATCCAACTGGTTCTCCTTGGCCAAACGACGGACAGAGGGCGTGGCAGGAATGATCACACGACCGCCAGTGGGCGTTAGTTCTGGTTCATCTGATTTTGCCTTCTCCGTTTCGCTGGAAGAACTGTCCGAGGATGTGGACGAGGAAGAGGAGTCATCCGCATCGTCTTCTTCATCAACAACATCGAAATCCACGAGAGGCTTGCCAACCAGCGCAATCTCATCAATTTTGTGATGGATCTTAGTGATCTTGCCATCGTAGCGACTGGTTATGGTCACCGATGCCTTGTCTGATTGCACCTCGCAGAGATTGTCGAACTGCTCCACAGTGTCGCCCACTTTCACGAACCACTCCTTGACGGTCACCTCGCGGATTCCCTCGCCGATGTCGCTCAGATGGAAGGAGACATTCTTATCCAGAGTGGAGGTCACATGCAGGCAGCGATTTATCTATAAATTAAAAACGGATTCAAATAAAGGCTGGAATGCAGTTTAATTTTCGGAATTCAAAGTTAGTTTAATGGGTTAATACCCAGAAAACTTATGTGGCAATGTAAGAACCCTGAAGATAAAAATAATAATAATTATATGAAAAGGAAAACAAAAAGTAAGAAACTTATTTTCGAAATATTACCAATGATCTTCTAGCCTGTTGATCTTTGATCATATTTTTTTCTGTGTAATGAAAACAATTCTCTCCGATTAGAAAGAGAGAGATAAAATATGTATCTCTTTCTTGCTCACACTCGCGCGGGGTGTTTGTGCGATTACATAACGGTGTTGTTTTTATTTTTGCAATAGCATAGCGGGTGTTGTTCTGAGATATTTACCGTTGCCTGGCGTGAAATACAATTTCTGAGCAGCCAAAAGGTAGCGCCATTTCGAAGCAGGTGTGTTGCCATTTAGCGGGACTTTGGGGCCTAGGAATACACGGGATATAGACGAGGATCGCTTCGGATCGTGGGATTTAGCCTCATACGATCGGGTAGGCGTATGTGTGTATGTGTTTGTGCTTGCAAAAACATATGGTTCTAGCTGATGATGGAAGTGTACCCTACCTATCGATATCACCCAAATGATCATTTAGCAGTATTTTGAAATATTTTTAAATAATGATTAACTATTAATGCATAACCTGGTCCGTATTTTGATAATAAAATAAAAATAAAACTTTATAAATTGGAAGGAATATAGCTAAAAAAAAATTTTTGGAATATCAATTAAATCAGTTTATAAACAAAAAAAATCGCCAAAACTATCGTCTAAAGTCCCCCCACCTTGGGTCCGGCTGATCATGCAGCATGTGCCCGCTAGCGTTCACCAACACTAAAATCAAAACAACGTGAAATCAGCCCAAAAATGGTGAGCAGTAAATAATGCGCAATATAGGTAATAAATTAATGTTAAAATTTTTACAAACACTAGACAAATTTACGCAAGGAACTGGAAAAATGCAAACACCCCAATAGCAGAAAAACAAAGGCACTGGGCAAAAAAGCACGCCGACAGAACAACAAACACAAAGTGCGTTTGGGACATGCTATTAAAAGCAATATAACCGGCGAGAAACTGAGTTGGTTTCTTGCGCAAATTGATGAAAACCGTACCGAAGCGCTGAGCCCACAGGAACTAGAGGATCTGATCGAGCTATATTTCACCCGTTTCGACGAGGAACTGGAGCAGATAAACCTGAAGCAATCAATTGGCAAACATCGGGCAAATCAGCATGCTGCTCGCAAGGATGTGATCACAATTACTCTGGAAAAGGAACGCAATGAGTTTCGCAGTGGCGGTCTGGAGCTGGTTAACCTTTGCGATCCTGTGAAGCTAAAAATGCTACGTGATTGGGACGGCAGTGCGCTGAGCGTGCAGCACCTTAAACTCGACCTAGTGTCCTACAATATGCTGCAAAGGCTCAAAAAAGAAGCGGAAAAGAAGGAACCAGCCAGCGAGCAAATGGAAACGTAAAATAAATATTTAGCAAAATTAAATTATTTGTTGACAATTGCATTGGGAAGTTTTCTAACACTCCAAGCTATCGATTGTTCACAGACATGCTGTGTTGTAAAATTACGATTATTAGGGTTGTCGAGTAGTCTTGGAGTGCTGGAAACATTTTATCAACTTTTTTTAAGTTAATGCAAAATCAAAATTAAGAATATTTTATAATTTGTCGGATCTGTCTTCTATGCCATTATAGAACACGATCCAAGATTTTTTTGGTTCTTGTAATTACTTAAAGCATAATCGCAAACGATATAAATTTAAATTACAAATATGGTTGATTTCTTATCACTGCACTGAATTCCAGTTTTGTGTTGTCAATTATTTCAGTCTTAAATCACAAGCTTTTACACAGGCACGTTTGGCAATAATTTCTTCAGAATTTTTGTTGTAAGCCTGATGAAACACAAATACGCAAAAACAAATTAACGTCATTTCAAATATCTTCCCATAGAAATCAATGCTTCTTTTATTATTTTTAAAATAGAAATTGGCATAAATAGAAACAATCGAAAACTTTTAGCAGTATCTATACCCTAGCAACCATATGGATATATGTCAGCCACTTGGCAACCCTGTTCAGTGAACTTGAATTTAGTTATTTTCGTGTGCGCCGATAAACTCAATTGTGGTGAAATATCCGTCTCGAAACGTGAGTTTAATTATATAAACAAACGTGATTCGATCTGAAAGGATCCATTTATTAACCCCACAGCTAATCCGCGAGGAAATTCTATTGAATAATGGGCAACAGCGTGTCTCAGGGAGCTGCTCCCAGTGTTTCGGCCGCCCAACCGGTGGCCATTGCATCCTCCACTGCATCCGGCGAGAAGCCCAAGTGCAAGGCCTGTTGCGCCTGTCCGGAGACCAAGAGGGCACGTGATGCTTGGTGAGTGTGCCGCCACAAAACAAATGACGGAACCACATGGCTAAACAATTGTCTATTTTGTCTCTAACTGAAATCTCCTTCAGCATTGTGGAAAATGGCGAGGAAAACTGCTCGGCGTTGATTGAGGCGCACAAGAAGTGCATGCGCGATGCCGGCTTCAACATCTAAATATCCCGCACAACTTGGATGAGGGAGTTGGGACACAGATACTAGTCCTGCAGACCCCCAGTTCCAAATCCCAGCATCCAAAGACCTTTCCACTGTTTGTTTTTGTTGCATCTCAAGCTAATTATAGAACTAAATTAATTGAAAGCCAATTTTACTTTTTTTTTAACTCGAGGGTGTTGCTAATTTGTTCAAAGGGTTCTCAATAATCTATGAAAAAGTTCCAAAAAATTATAAGCTTGTCAGTTTCAGTTAAATAGTTGCTTATTTTTTGCATCTAGATCTAATTATAGAAGAAATTTGTTAATTAATAACAGTAGAAACTCTCACATTATATTAGAATGACAATGCGAAATACTTTAAGGTCGTCCATAGTTAGGAAGAGATTGTTTATTTAAACAAGAGAGAACTTGGCAGTAAATGTCTATATTCTATGTAATATTATTCTATGCAATATTACTTGCAGATTAGAAAATATTAGCATATAAGCACTTGTTGAGAAAGCCCATATATAATCTTTCACATTTATATAACTACCTGAATCACTTTCTTATCCAAAATAACGAAAGCACCCTTATCTTGTTGTGTTTATCCAAACTAGAATAAAAAAGAAAGGGAAATAAATACCTTGCAGTGCAAGGGTATAAAAAGTCAGCAATATTTAAGGGTTAAGCCAATAGGGATAGTGATTTATTCAGATAAAGCTAAGCGTACGCAGGGCAACTATCGCGGCCATGTAAAAAGTGATCAGCAACATGGTTGCGAATGCCAGGATTCTCGACGGCTGCGGTACAGGATAAACAGCGTAGACCAGAGTGTGAATGATCCTGGCCACGGAGGCCACTCGGAATAGATTGCAGGCTATGACGGCACTCGGATTGGTACTGATGTAGATCAAGGACATTATAAAGTACGGCAGAATGTTCTCCATGTCATTGCGATGGGCTCTGGAGGGTGGAGAAAATGTTATAGGAGGTGATTGCGATGGGAAATACTTTATTTGTATACAGTCGAACTTCTCTAATGAGCCTTAAGTGGGAAATTAAAATAACGATGCTATTGAAATGCTAACACGAAAGTTATTTCCGGAAGCGTATATACAGATAATAGAGTATTATTTTTATTATTATGAGTTGTAAACTTTAGTTAAATGCCTATAAAGGGTTGAAAGGCATGTAATTTCCAAAGTCTTTATCCCAATACTTTTGTATAGAACTTGTTTTAAACTTGTACAAAAAGGCACATTTAATTTACAGAATTTCGACTGTATTTATACAACAACTCACCTTCTAACACGCTCCACATGCGGATCATCGAATTGCACTTCGAGATTCTTAAAGAACAGATCCTCCTCATTGGGAAAGATCTATAAAAGCAAGAAACAACTATTTTAGAACCCGGCCAAACAGGTTAAGCGAATTAATCTAATGGTATTGCGATGATTTGTGGTTTTTTACCTTGCGTCGCAATGCCAGCGGTACGAATGCCAGCAACTGTGAATGGAATGATGGTGACCTTTGAGCAAATGCAACTACATACTGACTGATAAATCTCACCTTATACCGGAAACGCTGAATCGCCGTAAGCAGTGACATGAGGAGCATCTTCACCACCAGGACCGTGGCCCAGAAAAGGTAGCAGCAAAAGACGGGATTCTCCAGGGTGAACATATCGCCGGGCGATGTCACATTCTGACTGGCATTTTTGATTGGGGCCGACATGGCGGATGAGGTATGTGCGTTCGCTTTGAGCCAACTTCGGTAAATGATAAAGCCGCACTCTCAGCTCATTGTGGAGATCAGAAGCTGGCGGCCAAACTGGTTACGAATTGCGTCGAACCGAATCTATGGTGCTGTGCAGCCGTGGGACGGTAATGTTTCTTTTTAATCTAATCTTATAAGTAATCGTACTCCTAGGCGAGGTACTCTAATATTTAAAGATAATATTCGTTATTTTTTGGGCTTAAAGCTATATTTCTTAGAACATAATTTAAATATTATTCTAATAGGTCTTTAGAAAAAAGATCAACTTAATCTAAACCTTATAAAGCTAGTATCAAACTTAGTTTTTGTTGAGACAAACTTTCTTTATGATAATTAAAAAAATTGTTTCTTAAAATTTATGTTTCACTTACATAGGTACAAATACTTCTTTGGTGTTTATATAATGATCGTTTGAGATTAAAAAAGTTCTACAATGATTTTCTACTTGTTTGCGTGCAATACTTAAAAGTTATTTGAGCTCAAAAGAAAATGCAACTTAAAAGAATTTGTTTTAATCTTATAAGAAAAACATTTTTAAATTCTGATTAACTTATTAAATTTAAGAGGTTTTATGAAAAGGTAGCTAATCAAAATCTTATAGTACCTATATTGAATTTCTTAGGTTCAAAATCCGTACCTTAAACTAAAAATAAGTACCTAATTAAATATGTACCTAGACACACGACATCACTGGTGCTGTTAAAGCTTGCTGAGATTGCCAAGTGGGGGTCACTAGTGATCTAAAATTAGGGCTCTAAATGTACTTAATACAGCAGATGAGCACGTAGCCCGCCTCGAAGCAGGTGATGGCGAAGGTGGTGAAGAAGGCCAGGGCTCTGGCCGGCTGCGGCACCGGGATCACTGCGTAGACCAGCGTGTGGAGCAGCCGGGCGCTGGCTCCGATCCGGATGAGCAGACGGGCGGTCAGCGGATTCGGTCCGCTGGCCACATAAGCCAGCGACATGAAAAGGAAGGGCAGAATGTTCTCCAAATCATTGCGATGGGCTCTGCAAAGATTAAATAAAAAATAAGCCTTGAAAACCATTTTTCAAATTAATAAATTTGTTAAATGAAAAGTGTTGTTTTATAAATATAATGATGAGAATAGAACAACATAAGTACAAAATAATAATATTATATTTATCAACATCTGTAACTTCAAATTCAGGTAGTATTTTTGCGTTAAAAAAAAATTTATATAATATATAAAGTGTCTTATTTTGTAGCTCAGTACGGATACATATGGTGCTTCAAAAAACCTTAATACATAATTCCCTGAGCCGAATAAAATTGATGTGTGGATTGCATTTATCATATATTCACTTACCGTCGCACCCTCTCCACGTTTTGATCCCCGAACCGAACCTCCGTGCTCCGACTGAGTCGCAAATCCTCCGGATTGGCAAAGGTCTTGGTCTTCATCCGCTGGCGAGCCGTGAGCAGCGACATTACCAGCATCTTGAGCACCAACAGACTGGTCCAGAACATGTAGCAGCCCATCACCGGATTCGATTTGCTCAGCAGCACCAGCCGGAAGGCGGCGGCGGTGGGCGTGGCATCGGTTAGTCCGTTGTCCATGGCGAAAGCTCCGTTCCCGTCGACCGTTCGCAGGTGATTGCGTGGCCCAGGTGGCCGACTGCCGGAGGAGGGACAGCAGGTGACGCGGTTCCCTCAACTGACCTAATTACTACATTATAATTACTCAATAATTTACAGGAAGCCACTCCGCTTCGGCCGCTTTCTGATGGTTATTTCTAGCGGGGGCTTAAGTGCATTTCGCTTATAATTATTTATGAGTACGTAAACTAAGTAGGCCTGCCAAAAATCGATTCATAAAACGGATGTATGCAGTTTAAAAACTGATAAAGTGTAGCAGTTTTTGCTTAAAAATAGCTTGGGCATAAATTAAGTGTCGTTCTTAAACTGTTTATTTTGTTAACAAATAATAATAATCATCTCTTAACTTACTCAGTAAAAAAAATCTAAAAAAAATCTTTTATCTTTTTAGATAAAAGTAAAAAAAAACTAATCTGAAATATAAATACATATACACAAATTAAGTTTTTTTAGCAATTAAATTTATACAACTTATTAAGCAATCTACATCCTTTCAGTTCCTCTCACTTTATTTTTAATTTTATTAAATTCGTCAAATTTGTAAACTTAATTTTTAAAAACTTCAATTTTTTCTTGTCTTTTATCTACACAGAAATTGCATACGAAGACAAGCGACATCTATCTGTGGATTTTGTTGTACATTATGCATGAAAACGCCATCTAGATTTCAGTATGGTTTTTAAAGTTACTAATCTAATTGGAGAAGCACATTTTTGCTGTGTTGCATATTTTAAGAGCATTCAAAAGCTACCATATAATATAATTTGTTTTTAATTCAGGTAAATATTTGTTTAGCTCATTTGGAATTAAATACCAATTCAATATTTTAAAGGAAATTACCACAAATGCGAAGACAAAGTTGAAGGAAGGGAGGTAGACAGTAGATAGGAAAAAAAGAGAGCGAACATTTCACGCCTTCAATGCGTGGGGGCAACTATATTATCACTATCAGCTTGTGTACAAAAACCACGGAAATCATTAAAATATATATACAGAAACTCGTGTGCGTGTGTGTTTGTACAGTCTTTAGTTTGTCAGCGTCTTTCAGCCAGACGAAAATGAATTGAAACGAGGCAATTCTTCGTCTGATTAGATGTCTGCTCCTCAATGAAGTCCCACTCAAAGTCGGAACATGCTGATGTGATCTCCGATCTAGAGCATAGAAGAATTAACAGGGGGCTTGAAATAATATTAAACAAAATTCCATGGGTATAGGTACATACATACATGTATATAAAATAACTTAAGATTGACCTAAAGTAACTTGGGTTTTCAGCCAGGTAACATTCCCAAAAAGTGTTCTTTAAACATAGCATCTTATATCCCTGTTGCATACTTAATTTCATGAGAGTATCTTATCCATTAAACAGATTGCATCAGATTTACCATGCATTTTTACCCTTAACTTGAAACGTATGTACATATCATAAAAAACTTCTATAGTTGCACTTGTTGAATAGCCATAAAACGCTTTTTATCTCGTTTGGGGCCGTCCAAACAAGTTTAAACTTATTTTGCACCCCACTGTACATAAACACACGTACGAACGTATTTATCTACAAGCGATGACGTATTCGCAAGATTTGGTCTTTGGTACCGTCTAAATTTAGCCAAGAAGTTCTTTTTGATTCTGGTTTGTCTTCTTTATTTATTTATTTTTGTTTTTTTTTTTTTTTTGTCTTTTTCGATTTTAATGGAACACACGCTTCCAACACCGGCATCGAATTTTCTCAGTCTCATTCGAAGTCGGCGTCATCGGACGACGACGACACCACGTAAATCGACCAAAGTCCAAACCGCCAGACGACTTTTTGTGGTGCGCCATCGTTCTTGTTCCTTCTAGTCTTCTGTGGGTTTTGCTCCATGACGAATTGGGTTTAAGACACGTACTCGAACATAGCCGATATATGCCCCACTACCCCCGATTTGTTCCTCTTCCATAACGCTTGAATATATTTTCATCAGCCATGGGAACCAAACGCAATGAAATGCATAATGTTGCAATACAAGCTATTTTTACGTGGATTTTTAAATCTTATTAAATTTATTACCTTAGGCTGTTATAGAAATTAATTGGAATGCACCACCAACTAGTAAATTAGTTTTAAAACCAATCCGTTAATATCTTAAAATCCTTGTAAGATTAAATGATCTTTCACCAATAGATTGGATCGTTCCTCAGCTATTCCCATGGTTTCTAAAAAATTTAATCGCCTCTGCAATTGGACTCTCGGGTAATTTGAACCCGTGTGTCACTAGATTGCGATAAGCATGGCGAACTTTGTTTAATAAGTGGCTTAAAGGCTTGTACCTCATAACGATAACCGGCGACAATTATAAAACAAAGGCATTAAATGAATGAAGCAGGGTATAAAAAAAGTATTCAAAACCCCCTTATCAGTAAAGTACAATCCATCTAGAAAGCAGCGAAAAAAAGAGAGAATAAAAAACTTAATAAAATCAGCCAGCGACTCATTCGCCTTTCACATGTATAATATGGAAGCAACTCACTCGCGCCGCTGATTCAAAGTCCGTCTATATGTCATCGTTACCTGAATGTTTCCTCCATCTATATATAGATTGTGCCTAGGCCTCCCAAATTGGTCGCTGGATGCCCGAGCGTATAATCTGTCCAAAAATCCAATGGAATTCTAGGCTCAACCGTTCGGGAAAATACCCGCAGACGGACACTCTTTGGATTCCGATAACGGGGAGCTATATGCCTATATATACTTACACTATATGTATTTACTGATTCCACAATCGGGGTCTCTGCCGAGCCTTAGTATACGGTCTGAGTCGGCTTAATATGGAGATCTCGAGTGGATTATTCCATTTCTATTTGATGTACGTCGGCGCAAAATGTATAAAAAGATGTTGAAAAGCTAAATACAACTCAAAAACCCGCAATGATCTTACAATTCCTGAAATTTTAGTCATTCCATTCAAAGTAGTTAAATTATACTCCACTTACAATCTTGATTTTTTAAAATACCTTAGCTTAAGCTAGAATATAAGTATAAAGTGTTTCTGGTTTTTACGCTCATCGAGTCATATATTTACGTCGAATGATTAATAACAAATTGCTTTATAATAATTTCGTAATGAACCTGACAATATCTGTTGGCGAAATCAGTTTACCAAACTTGGTTGGTTTACTGCAATGTAACCACGATTACAAAGTCCACAATATAAGTTTATGGGTGGAATCGGTTACATTGGTTTATTTACAACCGATATCGGCGATTGGGACCCCGACCAGACCCAGTGGCGATAAGCCCCGGCACCTGATCTTGGTTACAACATAAACACAAACTTGTGACGACAGTGGTAACAGCAGACTTTGGACTCTGGCCTGAACACAAGTAGCCTTTCAATCTCGAGGGCCTGGTTAATATGCGCATTTATGGTCGGTGCGATCGTCTAGCTGGTTAAGCCTTATCAGACAGACATAATTACCTCATAAAGCGCATAATTCGACGGGGGCATTAACCCATTTTGGTAGAACTTTCCGGACAATTTTAGAATGGGGTAAAAATTGCTTTGAAAATCGAATTCTATTGGATAAAGATCAGTTTTAAAACTAATTATAGGTAAAAATCTGTCCAGAATCTATGGGTTTAGTGGGTTATTTTGTAAAAATATAGTTCTTAAAAAATTAGTTTTAGTATTAGCACATAGTTTTACACATTATATCAAATGCAATATAATAAAATATTTATAATATAATAACATTATATTTTATTCAAATCAACAGAGCATTTTTTAACCGAAAACTAAAATTTAATCCCAAAGGGATTTGAAATTCCTAAACAGACAGGTTAAGACAGGTAGTGGAGCTTAGGGGTCAAAAAGGGGGACGAGCACGTTTCGCTTGTAGTAGTTCTAGTAATTTGTTTTCGTTTTGTCACACTGCGGACTTTGGAATGCCAATCGAATTACACAGCATTCGGGGAATATTACGTCGAATATCGGATGTGTGGATGTGCAGTGGCGTATTATCGATGCGGTGGCAATGGGTTCAAAGGTCGCACGAAGCATTTGCGTGATGGTGCCCATTGCCGATTGATAATGAAAGTGCCCCCACACACAAAAACACAAACCTATATTGGAATGTACTTCAATCTAAACTTTGTTTGCGCCCGACACTGCGTATTAATTAATCTAGTTGTCAAGCATGGCGAGCAAACATAGGCGCTGTCTCTCTTTTTCCCCAAATTTCTTTCTTCACGTCATCTTTCTTTCAGTTTCTTGGCAGAAGAATTGCACCCCACGAAGGATAATAAAGAATGGAATGTGTCTTTCGTTTTTCACTGAAAACTTATAAATACTATATACATGCATATAGTTTTATGAATTTTATTTTTTATTTGTATTTATTTTAATACACTATTGTGCTATTAAAGCCAAAACTAAAAATGGAGAATTGATTTAATTAACACTTTTAAATTTACATTGGTAGAATTTTTAGGAAAATTCCGTAAAATTATGTTAGTAAGGAGTTCTCGACTTTTCACTAAGATACATACATATGTACCTATTGATACATATGTATGTACATAAGTATAATAAGTATATATATATGTATATTCAAATATATGTATGTTTCTAACATTTCGGGTTTTGTGTACTGGTCAAATTGGCTAAATTCTAACAGTTATTCATATCTTCTATTTTATGGGGTCTCCAAAGAGAGCTGTAATCTTAAAACTCTCGCTGCTCTCTGCAGCAACGACTATCTGCGCGGTGTTGGCAATCTAGCTATTTTCATGTTTGAGGGATTTATTTTAAGAGGTGACGATTATTATATGGATCGTTCAATCACTAACAGATAAGTTTGAAAAAAAATTCGCGAGCTATACTTTTGTATTTATTTATTTATGCTCGGGTTATGGAGAAATTACAAATTACCTTTAACCCATACTTAAGCTATAGCAACTAGGCCTTAAGCTATACATGTTAAGTATTTACATTTTATCAATCTATCTTGAATTAGCATTAAATTACATTGTGCAGTTTTATCCTTTTAAAAAATTCCAGGGTGGCGAGGATATTTTTTGTCTTGGGTACTGGGGATCTGCTAGATTTGGGGATGGAGTTTTGGTCGTGTAGGATGTGACATTTTGTTTTAATTGAGTTACAGCAAGCAATATATGTATTTCTCATTATTGTATTTATTATTAAAATATCTCTCTTAATTTTAAGAAATTTAAAGCGAAAAAGTTTTCTTATTATCCTCAGTCTTTTTCTAGCCATTTTCAGCGCATCTGTCGCTCTTCGCTTTTTCGCTGCATGGCGCTGGCAACACTGGCGGCGGCACTCGCTCATATAATAAACCAGCTGCGCAGCCCCCAAATCAGTCAGAGCGCCCTAACTAACAGACGTGTGCAGACGTGCTAAGAAAGCTAAAGCTTAAGAAAAGTGTTCCAAAGTTATCCAGACATAACCCCAGTCTCATACTCAACCAAACACGCAGACACTCACGTTAAGCTGTTTTTTTATTCGTGAAAGAAAAGAAAGAAGAAGGAGAAAAGTGCGGTGTCAAGCGTAAGAGCTTGTATAGCGAGAGATCGAGAAATCAGAAAGAAAAAGTGAAAAAGTCCGAACAAAAAGGAAAAAAAGATAATGGCTAGTGCAGAGCAGAAACACGCCACCGCCACCGGGAATGGAACAACAGGCAATGGATCGATTAGCGATGTGGAGCAGCCCAAGGATGCCAAGGACCTGTTGCCGCACCTCGAGTCCCTCGAGCGGATCATCAAATTGCCGGTAGTCAACGCGGCGTGGGACAAATCGCAAGATGTCTATGGCAAAGTAAAAGGTAAGTGCATAAAAAAAAATAGAAAAGTGCATTGAACTCGGAGTTCCGTTACTCTCCGCCCGCTTTACTGCACTCACAAAGTAGAGAAGCACATAAAGATTGAACAAAAAGAGAGGGCAGCAAAACACCAACAACAAATGCAGCGCATGCAATCGAAACCGAAACCGTTGCTTCGACTTTAACTCGCCATTTTTTTTTTTTTTTTATTAAATTTGGGTTGCAATTCGAGTCGCACAGAGAGGGCAACTCTTTTTAATTGGCTAGGAATTAAGCTCAATTGATATTAATTGATCGCCGGGGCGTTCAATAATCAAAATCACAGCGACAGAGAACAACAACAACCATGACCTAGCAACAAAATGCGGCACTTTGCCCTCGTGACGAGTAGCGTTCAAAGTTCGTTTGAAATTTACATAATAAAAAAACTCTTGGCCAGAAAAAAAAAAGAGCGAAAGAGAGGGGGGCCAGAAAAGGCCACCGCACGTAGGCTGCGGCCGCAGAGCCGCCGACTGCGACTGGGGGCTCGTTTCTTAGAAAAGAAACCAAAGTAGACCCACTGGCCACGCCACTGGCGTTCTCGCACGTCAGTGTTGCCAGCTGGTGCGAAACATAGCTCCAAAGTTGAAATAAAATGTAGCTAAAAAAAACTACATATGTATATAAATATAGCGGTGTGGCTTGATAAACATGTTATTCTGTTCTTAAAGTTTTTATAAGTTGCCAAGAACACTGGGAGCCACAGCGCGATCGATTTCTATTGACATAACATTTTAAGGTTTTACTGGTATAAATGGTTAAATGTAAAGTATAGTTGACTTGAATTACAATCTAGATCTGGCTAGAAACTAATTTAAGCGGGCAGCACTGGCGCTCTGGGGCACCAGCAACAACACTAGTTGGACTTTCGACTTGTTTGTAATATTTCGCAGTTGTTGTTGCAGTTGTTCGGCCAGGGATTGGAATTGGAATTGGATGATGTGTTTGCCGAGTGACGAACTATCAAAGTCTAAACTCGCGGGCCCAGACAGATAGAAAAGAGGGGTCCAAGGGGCGTTGCGGATCGTGAACTGCGCAGTTGCTTATCAGTCATTATATTAATATTATTATTATTACGGTTGCAATTGATAAGGTGTGGGGCTTCCCGTGCTTTTATCACATGTGTGTGGGGGAGAACTCTACACAGTTCCAGAAATTCCAGAACAAACTGATTAGCAGATCGCAAAGACAAACCAAAAACATGGATTATGATATTAAATCGAAAAGGGTAGATAATTTATAGTTATCACACCGTTTTTACTTTCAAAAGAATTAATATTGTTGTACATTTTAATAGAAAATTATTTTATTTAATGTTCTTACAGGGAAGAATCGTGTTTTTGAATGGGCTTTAACGGCAGCCGAGGATTGCGTGACCCGAGCGGTGACAACGGCAGCTCCTTTCGTCACCAAACTGGACCGACCCATCGCCTATGTGGACCAAACCCTGGTGAAGGGCATTGATAAGCTGGAGGTGTCGGCCCCGATCATCAAGGACACGCCCCAGGAGATCTACAACCAGGCCAAGAGCAAGGTGATCGATGTGGTGCAGCCACATCTGGAGCGTGTGGTCAAGTTCAAGGCCGCCGGCCAGCAGAAGGCCGCCTCACTGAAGGACCTCGCCTGGCAGAAGGCCAACGAGGTTCTGGCCACCCAGTACGGCAGTCTGGCGGTCAATGGAGTCGACACCACTACAGCTCTTGCCGAGCGCCTCCTGGAATACTACTTCCCCAAGTGCGAGTCCGATGTGGAGGAGGATAATGGTGAGTGTTGCGAATAGTAGACCGAAATGGTCCTATCCACTTGTATATTCCTTCATATAGATGAAAGTCTTTGAGGTCACTATTTTGGATTTTAATTGTTATAATGTGTTTTGTGTACAACTTTTGATTTTAAAGAAAATTTAATTCAAAATTCATAAATCCATACGTTCACCACAACTAATCTCGAAATCTAACCGAAATCAACTCTTAAACCAAATTTATTTTTTCCCTTATAAATTCTCTTAAAAATATTTTTTCCCCTTATAAATTCTTGCTTTAAAGTTGTACCCAAAGAATATTTTCGACTTTTTTTTTTATATAACTAAAGACTTTAGTTTTGTGAGATTTCCCAAGTTTCTCCCATAAACCATTAGTATATGCTACCTCTGTTTTATTTAAAAAACCTTGGATGGGGAAGATCATTATTTATTGGCTTCCTTCCATTTCCATCTGTTGGACCAAAAGTTTGAATTTTTGCTTATTTGCCTTCTTCTGCCCCCACTTTTTTTGCACGGTGTGTAAACAAGATGCTAAATATAAATCGTAAATATTTTTAATTCTCAGATGATAAACAAAATGCCGTCGTGCAGAATGGCAAGAGTTCTGAAAATGACAGTAAGTTCCCGATCCCCGATCCGATCTTTTGTTCGTTCGATCGTTTGTTTGTTTGTCCACCACTAACACACCGTCTAATAAGCATAAAAATAGCAAGTAAATAAAAAAGCATGAACACTAATCACAAGCATGACGATAATTTCACACACAAAAAAACAGAACAAAACAACGGGTGCTATAATTCACAGAAATATTTACGATTTCTAGTTGATATAGGGATATATGTGTTGATTAGCCTGCGAACCCAAGAAAATAAGATCCTGATCCTGGTCCCCTCCCCTTCCAATAACATTAATTAATTAACCACTCCACCCTAGCCACCCAAAAGTACCACTAATTTTCTAAATTAATTTCTCTCTCTCTCTTTCTCTCTATGCCTTTTCTACTTGTTAGTAATTGTTGTTGGGGAGAGCTACGACCAGGATCACGATCAAGAGATTGATGATAGATTCTTAGTGGCCGCCTCGACGGTATTTCTGTCCATGTCCCTGAAAATCATAACCGAAATTGTTGAGTACGTTAGAAGAAATCCAGAGATCATAGGCATTATCGATAGGGAACTCAACAAGTTTATGGTAAGCACACACAAACACCAAAGCCGCAACACAACACAGTCACTCGTACTAACTAACGCAAAGAACTTGTTTTTAACCCCCTAACTACAAACTACAAAAAAAAAAAAAAATAATAGATGACCAGTCTAATAATAAATGGCGTTTGTTTTTGTTGCTTGCAGTGCCAGTTCCCGCCAGCGAGGATCCAGTCCTACACACAGTCCAGACCGTTGGACGGCTATCCAACAAGATCTCGCGTCGCGTCTATCGAAATGTCTCCCGACAGATCAAACAGGTCCAGAAGGGCAACATCAACGACTATCTGAGCTCCCTGATAGCGGCCCTCAAGTTGCATCAGTACATCAACTTTATAAACTCGTCGATGGGCACGAATGTGGAGCAGTCGAGCAGTGATACCTGTTCGCCGTTTGGAACCACCACCACTAGTAACACCACCACAACCAGCAACAGCACCACCAGCTCCAACAGCAACAATGCGTCGGTTGTGGCCAAGCCTCAAGTGGCTAAAAGCAAATCGGCAGCGGCGGCGGTTTCAACTCAGTAGTTGTGGAACATAAAACACCAGCCCATCTATAACTATATCTTTAGCTAGATATTATCCTTTTTCACACAAAACCACGCCTCCCGCCCCTCCCCGAACACCCACGCCGCCCATTTTATAATGTATTTTATAATTTCTTTTTTTTTCCGTACTTTTTTTTCATTTCGAATACTACTGGCATATTAAAGAGTAGTACTTCGATAGAGGATCATCATCAAAAGTGGAGAAGGTTTTTCAAATGCCCACGCCCTCTTTGAACCCCGGCCCCCTGCGCACCCTGCTTTGTAAATATTTATTTGAAGTATAACCCCCTCGCCCCCTCACCAATCTAGTTGTAAGATATAGTAGTCGCAGAGATCGGGAGTTTAGAAGAGCGCGTTTTTTTTTTCGTAAATTTTAGCTGTGCTAAAGTGCCACGCATGCATTGAATAATACATAATATATACGCCTATATATGCCTAATATATACACAGATATATAATATATATATATATAAAGAAACGTACGCACACGTTGGCATAGTGTGGTTTAGCTATACGTATACGTAATCTAATACCTAATGCTATTTCTATCGCTATTTAATTTCCATTGTACGCTCGCTGGGAGCCCAACCAGATGATGTCTAATTGCTAATGAAAATGAATTATGCCTTATATATATATATTTATATATATACACACACACAACACACTACACACACACACACCCTCACACACACTTGTATGGAGAACCTAGCCATAATTTTTGCTCTAAACAACTAGATTGATAATATTAAATATTAATAAAAAGAACCATCGCAAAACTGGAACGAAGAACAAGAAGATTTGCCAACGATATTTTTTTATAATTATTTGGTGCCATTATTCGAAGCACATGAACGATAAGCGAAGGAAAGCTATAGGTTCTACCGCCTATCTGATTAGTCGCCTTATCGAGACGACGGCACTCAACGGTCCGCTGATTTATATAGAGTTCAGCGTAGGGTTCAGTCATCGTAATTGCCGGAGCGCTGCAGCGGTTGAATTTATAGAGCACTCGCTGTCAAGATAAGACTTCTATATACGAGTATATATACTATATGTTTGCGAACATGTGATATTAAAGTGCGTTCTGTGGCTATCAAAACTGCTCCAGAATTTGCGGGCTTACGAGCTGAATATTATATGTAGGTATTTATGTATCATTTCTTTGATTGAAAGCTAACTACATGTGTTGTAACTAGGTTAATAGGTATTTTTTACGAACAGAAGGTCGGCAGTAATATGAGTATTGCCTTCCTATTCATTTTAGACTTGTAATTTAGGTTTAGGATTTTATGATTCTTTAAATTTTTATATAATATTATAAAATAAAATTTTACGAATCAGAACCTTTAGTTCACAGTCATCAGTAAATCTGTAGTAGAATCAGATATTAGAGCCTACTAGAATTATTCTTATTATTTTTAATTATATTATTTGAAGGGTCAGGCTCCCAATATCTTGAACCGGACTGTTCTGGCAATTCCGCAGTGGACTTTTAACTCTGTCTCTGTCGATAATGACGGCGTTAATGGCCCTGCAATTATCCGTTTTCAGATTGGGCAAATCGCCGACGTCGGTCTCTCTGAGTTTCCTTTTCATTTCAGCTGTCTGCTGAGGCTCCCCACTTCCTCCTCTCGGAATCTCCGCCGAATCTCCAGCTCATTTGTATGCTCCTCGTCTGGAAGATCGCTTTAATTGGCGCTCCCGACAAGAGGAACATGCCAAAGTTCCAGTTTGTCCCCCTGGGGAATCAATCTCGAACAGACTGCGCTCAGCCAAAGGTCCAGCATACTTGGCATAATTTTGAGTTTTGCGAAATGCATTTGGGTCCAAAATATTCATGAGTTTGGCTTTGCCAGAAAAGGGCTACGCTGAGGTCTTGGTATTTCTTGTGGAACCCATGGAACACATGACTTGTTGGGCGGGTTTCGAAAACCGCAGACGGTGAATATATTAGGCACAGGAAAAAACAATTGCAATCAGCATTAAAAGTTAAAATCTTGCTGAGCTAAAAAGCGCTATAGTTGCAACTCATAAGAAAATAATTGGATTATGTTAAACTTGTATATTATGAACACATTAAAAAAATGCTAACCTTTAACTTGAACTCCCAGTATTTATTCGGAACCACTATCTGAACAAATTTAGTTCCGTGGAAATAATTTAAACTCGTATCACACTATATTTATAAAGTTCAGGTGCTTAATTAATGACAAATTCTGCCCATAACTAAGTTCCCCAAAAAGTTCCACTTGGAGATAAGAATGATTAGAAGAATTGATTATTTGTGGGCTTTCTATTGTTCATAAAGTTTGTCCGACTTATGAAGGCTTTCCGATTGAAGAGCAGGTTTCCTGATAGTTTCATGATAGGTAAATCTACCCTCTATCATCTATAAAACTAGTCCAACTCATTGGGGTTTTCCAATCGAAGAATAGCATTGGTGTAGTGACAAAGGAATTTTTGGAGTGCTCTCCCGATAAGTAAATCCGATTCTTCCTCTTTTTTTATCCGCTGTGTAAGTGCATTGCACTGATCGTTTCGACGATCATGAAGTTAATGATCGTCATTGGGTAGCTTAATGTAATGGGGAATGCCAACCGCAAGGTGTTCCGGGGGGCTTGAGTGTAAAGATGTTGATGGACCCGGACTTTGGACCTTGCCTCCCGATTCTGCCCCTCGAATTCGGATTCTTCCCGAAGCGACGACGACGAGCTCTTCGCTTGGCAACGACAATTCTTATCGCGACGAAAGAGAACGAGAGTCGGGAACCCATAAAGGCGTTCCAACTATATACGTAATCAAGAGTATTATAAAAAAAATTGAATGACTTTATAAAACACAAAAAAAAAAAGAAAAAAAGTGGGGGCTACGAAGAGAGAGTCCGGAGAATGAGAGGGCGATAAAGAATCAGGATGAGCCTCCGGGCGGAAGAGGCGTGGCATCCTTCAAGTGACTCGAGTGCGAGCGAGACGGACTGAAGTGCAAAGTGCAGAAAGTGGCGTGATTCTTATTATTTATTCTCTCGCTTTTGATTATTGAGTATGATATTGTTCGTTATATGGGCATTATGTGTGCAAATTCTACCGCCTTGTGCATCATTCTCTCTTGCGTTGCACTTTGGCGATTGGAGAACCTGCGTCAGAGCATCGGATCCGGAGGTTATATCAGTTTATTCGGATAGAAGAATCGGGTGCAACACGGCGGACTGTTAGGAGTTGCCTGGATAATACTAATAATAAAAATCCTGTTAATCTACAGGCCAGTAATTAGAATTGTAATAAAGATTTTTTTGTTTGTTCATCAGATTAGGGATTTTTGTGAGTTTTTTTTTAAGTTCGCAGTTCGTAAATCAAAATAACCTTTAACAATGGATTATAGAGGTCACATAGTACTTGAATGTAAAATAACACAAACTTAATTTTTTTTTTTAATATTAACTTCCAAATCAAATAAAAAACTAAGTTCGCTATTGATAAAATCTTTATTCTTTAGCGTTGTATTTAATTTCTTAAACAAGTTTTTTAAAATACGACATCCCTAGGAGTAATATATATTTTTAGAAAATATTTAAAAAGGCATTCTCCTTTAATCGTGGCCAACATACAAATGTTCTATTTAAAATAACATTTCTTTGGTTAACATATTTTTGTACAAAATCTTAGGATAGTTGATCATTATTTATGTCACAATTAACACAAGGTTAAAGCACTTAAAACATTATATTTAAAAACGAAATGCGTATTAGATGCATCATGAAATTGAATTAATTGCGAGAACAGACATAAAAATCAATTGGGAACTGATCGATTGACGATCGCTGATAAAGCTAATGGCGCCAAATGAACGCCGGTCTGATATTCCTGCTCCTCTCCGCCGGCCACCTGATCTCCCGTTTCCACTTGAATGGCCCCGCCGAATCGTTTGGCCTTGACTTTGCCGTTATCGCTATCGCCCAGTGGCGTCGATGGGGGGCAGTAGGTAATCAACGTGAAGAGGAGTACGGTGATGAGGAGGAGGAGGAGGTGGAGGAGGAGGAGCTGGGTGCCTGCATCAGAGCGAGATCAAAGTGCGGCTGTTCGCAGAGCGTAAGACTGCGACTCAAACGACGCGCTATCATTTGGATCATGTGCCTGGCCAGCGGCGGAGCGATCATCACGCGGCGGAGGAGGGACCAAGTGGAGCTCATTAATGAGCTGGCAGAGTGATCCTGGCAAGGCTGAGACTCCTGCTTTGTCACCAAACTTTTTGTTTTCACCAAGCTATTCTTCTGCGACGAGTTGAGATTCTTTTCTTTCGGATTAGGATCCTTCTCTTTAGGATCTTCCTGCTTTAGTTTATTCTTCTCCTCACTTTTCTTAGACTTGTGCGGCTTTTGCTTTCGATTCCTTTGATGCTTATCCACCTGTTCGATCTTTTCTATCTTATCTTCTTTATCCTTGTCCCGTACCACTTTAAGTCTCTTGTTTTCCAGCTCTAGCTTTTCCTTTAGATTCCTTAAAGTCTCTGCCCGTTCCATTTCCCTTTCCTCCTGCTGGTGAATCCAGGTGATCATGCCCCTTTCCTGCAGCTTGATCCCGTTCTTGAGCAGACTATTCCTGCGCAGGAAGTGCATAGCGTCATCGTAACCCTGCTGGCAAAAATCGGCCATAAAATCCGCTCTGCCCGGCAGCAAAATCCGCACCATGCGACGCAAGTTCCTCCTGGACAACCGGATGCAGGTGTTCGCCCAATTGATGTTCAGTTGGAGAAGATGGGGATTCTGATCCCGCGGGCAAATATCACTCTCCCCGCAAAAGGGACTCACGGTCACCGTGTGCTCGTCCAGCAAGGGGAGATTGTTCGAAAAGGCACCATCCATGTAGCGAACTCCTCTGATCTGTTCAAATATAAACAATTTTAAAGTTTTGATTAAAAATAAAAGAAGTAGGTTAAAATAATAAATACATATATAAAAATTTGTATATTTATTGGTATAAAAAAAGTTATTTGAAATCAAATAAATCAGGTCCACTAAGAAAATTACCAAAAATCCTCAGTTTAATAGCAAATAACATGAAAAGAGTTTTGAAACTAGAAATACGCTTCAGGCAAATTTTAAATAAACAAAAAATAACCTATACTTTCTAATAGTTAAGCACATTCTCAAATAAATAATTCTTATCAATTGGAAACTATAAATCTTTGAAAAACGTTAAATTTTAAAGTGAATTACATTCCTTCGTGTAGTTTAAATGGATCTTTTGGAAAAGTAAAACCCACCTGTGGAGGTAATAATCCCGAGAGTCCGGGGATGAAGCAGGAGCACATGAGAGCGTCGAGGAGTTCCTGGCGGGAACTGAATTCCGACATGACCACATTCCGTCGATCGCTGAGGCGGGTGAGCGAGATGTGGAGTCGCCCGCTGACCCTTTGATGGGCGTCCGCCGGTAGGCGTCGGTGCATCCCCTCTAGAAGGCATTCCGGCAGATTGAACCACGGACTGAAGGCCCCGAGCGAATGACGCCGTATCTCCTGGACCACCCGCAAGAAATCTCCGGCCATGTATTCCAGCGGAAGATCGCAGATCAGGCAACAGGCGGCCAAGGCTCCCGCGGATGCGCCGGCAATCCTTTCCAGCAAAAGTTGGGGCGCATGTTGGCGCAGGCAGACGGCCACGCCCACGTGGTAGATTCCCAGGAATCCGCAGCCCGCAAACGAAAGACTCCTTCTCGTTCGGATCTTCATCTTTTTTGGGGATAACCTCTTCGTGGCAAGCGATTCTTCACGTGATCGGCTTAAAAAATATGCATGCAATCCCGGCTAGCTGTCTCTTTTACTCTGATTTTTTCCTTATTTTTTGTTGACGTTTTTGAATTTTTTTTCAAGTTTTCTTTTGAGCTTTTTCTTGGCCTTGACAGTGTGACCTTGCAGCGGTACGGAAATAGAGTTCAATCCAATAAAATACTAATTAAAAAGGGTCATCTTTTGGTTAGTCTGGTTTTTCAAAAATGTTTTTTAATTTCATGCTATTGTTTTTTTATTATCTCAAGTATTTTGACATCCTGAATCATTTTTTTGGGCTGCTGGTTTAGGAATTTTTTTATATGTTAATTAGTTTTAGTTACATTAAAATAGTGATGTTTTATATATTCTGGGACAAACGATGGTGAATGGATTTTATACTTGATTAATTTCAATAAAGTCTTCACAAAACATTAAACTTGAAATAATTAACTGCCAAATTTAAAAGTCCGTTAGATTCAACTTCCCAGTGAGACCAGGCTCACTGTAAGAAAGAAGCTCAACCAGCTAACTAGCTGTACTTTTTATATTTAAAAATAGTCAAATAAATTATAGGCTTGAATTGTGTTTATTTCTACTATAATATTCTTAATATTCTGGAATCGAGACCACCAATTTTATGACTTTTTCAATTCAAAAACCTTAAGAAGGCTTTTGAAAACATCTAAATTTGACTAAAAACAGCTAAACCGGCATCACAGAAAACCTGCAAGCCCGCCAAAAGCAGTGAGACCGGATCATCATCACCTCGCTATCAGTATTGCTTTTCCGTTGAACGGGCACACTGCCTTGAGTTAGCATTTTGTATTTTTTAATTTAAGTCCAAACAGCTCACAATGCAAGCGGTAAGATAAACGCCGGCTAAATTTAGCCCAAAATTACTCATTACCTTTTGCGTCACCCAACGCAGAACTGGCGGGGAATGCCGGGACTGCTCCTCCTGGCGGCAGGACTGCTCCTGGGAATCCAGGACTCTTTGGCCTACGACAAGGAGATGACCGTCTATGTGGACGCGTTAAAATCGGAATGCTTGTACCACACGGTTCGCCAAGGTGAAACCATTGACTTCGAGTACCAGGTAATCGATGGCGGACACGGCGACCTGGACATCAGCTTCACCCTGATGGATCCCATTGGCTTGGTGATCGTGAGCGACTTCAAGAAGCCGGAGAACGTGCATCGCCACGATGTCACCAAGGAGGGCGACTATCGCTTCTGTTTTGACAACACCTTTAGCATGTTCAATCGGAAGACGGTGTTCTTTGAACTAATTGTGGAGCGCGAGGGCGAGGAGCTACAGAGCGACACGCAGTGGAACGAGGTGGATGAGCTGACGGGTCTGTCGCGCGACGAGTACTACGACATGAAGGTGCAGGACATCATGGACTTCATCGGACGCATCCGTCTGCAGCTGAATAAGGCGCGCCAGCTGCAGGATGTCCTGCGATCGCACGAAGCAAGGGATCGCAACCTGGCCGAGTCGAATTTCCAGAAGGTCAACCACTGGTCCATGCTACAAATCAGCGCCATGATTGGCGTGGGTCTCATCCAGGTGTTCGTGCTGCGCAGTATCTTCGCCACCGGCGGCCGGATGCACGATCTGTGGCGCAAGCTGGGCATTTGATGGGTTAGACGGGAGAAGCCTCTACCAAAGATGTGTGTGCCGGAACCACAAGGATGCATTTATTGAGCGGTTAGATGTACCCCAAAGCAAAGCCATCCGGCAGCTGGATCCCCCTAGTTAGAATGTAATTTAAAAAAAAAACTTGCCATCATCTGTAGTTCGTTAGATTCTATATATACCGTCGTGTATTATTATTTAGGCGAGAGTTAGTCTTTCGTATATTTATATATATATGCGGGTGTGTGCTTGTGATATACCGGGTGTGTGTTGTGTGTGCGTGTGTAGGCATTGTTAAATGAAAGCAATTGTACAATTAAGTCAGGAGATCAGTTTGATATTAAATTAAAAGTTGCAGGAACCAGTGTAAAAAATGTGTTTTACTTTATAGCTTTGGTCTATTTAAAGTTCTACAATATTACTCAAAACATTTAGCCAAAACAGAACATCTAGTCAACTTTCTCCCATTTAAACCATCTGCAAGATTTTTAAGGTTTGTAGCTTCAGCGCATTTTAATTAGAGAAACTGGATATTACTTTCTTTCCAAACTTAATATTGCCTTTGAGAAACAGAACTTTTCTTATTGGATATGTTTAAAATATTAATGGAAATAAAACCTCAATAAGTAGGGAAATTATCTTGTTGGCATTTTTCGTGGAAATGTCATGAGCTACAAAAATGTTTTATTTAAAACATGAATCTAATTTACTTCACGACAACAAAAGATGTAACCTTTTCGCTAGGATTGTTAAGTGGTTAGATAAAGAGTACTTACGGTAAGTTGCTATCGTTTTCCAATTATCTTTTCAGGTAAACACAAGAACTGCATTAAGAAAATACACTGAACATTATTTATGTGTTCTAATTAGTAGATTCCTCTTTTGTAAACTAACTCTAGTAAAGAGCGTTTCAATCATTTAATGGCCTAATACCAAATACTATCCAATTTGTTTATGAACAACGTTGCGCATGCCCTTTTAATCAGTTTAGACGGCATAAATAGCCATTCCTCGGACACATGGTTGTAAAATACACCACTATTTTTGACTCCTCCTTCACCTTAATCCGTTTATAATCGAACTCTTTTTCCAAGATCCACTTGACACTTGCTGGTTTTTCGAACAGTTTTTCAATTGTTTAATTGCTAATAAAAAAAAATGTTAATCAGATCCGCATTATTACTAGCATAGAGTTGTTTATTGACATTTCCGCAGGAAACTAGCTTGCAACAGGGGGCGTGGCAGTGGATCCGCGGCCAGAATCGTCTACTGCACGTCGCGCACAGCAGGCGGTGTTTGTGTTTCTTTAGGGGATTGTAGTGTGTGGGAGGATCGGAAGAAGATCTAGCTAAGCCTCTAGGCGGCCTTGTTCAGGCGCTTCTGACGCTCCAGCAGCCGACGCTCCCGCTCGAACTCCTTCATGCGCAGAACGTAGTCCTCGTACTCGCAGGTGAGGTACTCGTGCTTCTGGTGGGCGCACTTGTACACAAACGGGAAGGTGTCCGTGCGGCAGGCCTGGTAGGCGATGGCCAAGTGGGCACAGTAGTCGCGGGCATCCAGCGGCAGCTTGGCGGACTCCATCTCCTCCTGGGTGGCGATCATCACACGCTCCTTGCGCGACTCGAAGCCCAACATTGGGTCAAAGGTAGTCACCACATCCGGTCCGGGCATAACGTCCGGTTTCATGTAGTGCGTCAGCGCGTTGCCCATCCTGCTGGCATAGAAAATACACTTTAGTCGCCTCGCAAATCATCAAAATCCTCACTCTTAAATTACGTAAAATGGTTTTCTTCGATTTCGGTTGCGGCGCAGCTGTCAAAGTTCTTCTTCTTCCTGTCCCTGTTGTTTTTGTTGCAAGTGACAGCTGCTGACCAGAGCTGCCAGCTAGCGGCAGGCCACGGACGTTTTACAGCACTTAAAAAACAGCTGATAGGTGTAAGCTGGCTTTTGGCAGGTGTTGATTTGAAAATAAACTTTATAAACGGGAATTTTAAACAACTGAAGTGATGTTATTTGCATGAAGCATGTTTTTAATCCTTTTTAAAGTTTTTTTTATTTTAATAAATTGCATAATGGTTGTTGGCAAGAATAAGAGAAAAAGATTAACAAACTTATTTCTTAAATCTTACTCATTTTAATAAAGTATTAAATTATTGAAAAATCCTAATGTTTAAGTGGATCTATCCAAAGATTGTGGTATTAATAGTGATCAACTTAAACGAATGCCCAGTAAACATTTACAATTTGAATCTAATAACAGGACCTTTACTACCACTTGTTTTGCAACACTGCATTTTGTCGCCAGCTGAGTGTCCTCTCTCGCAGGAAGCGGCAAGAAGCAGAGTGCCGAGCAAGAACAACAAACGGGGGAGGTGGAGAGAGCGGAGAGTGAGGATGGCCGAAAGTTTCATTTCTCTCGTTTCCATTGTACCGTTGCGTTGTCGTTCGGTGTGTTTTTTTGCGTGAAAGTGACAAAAGGCAAAAAATGGCAAATGGCAAAAACAAAACGCGCTGAAAACGCCAGACGATGCTGGTGAAAATAGTTAATTCCTAGTTGTTAGTTCATATATTTTGTTCTGTTCGCAATAACCGCTGTGCAATATACATAAATCATTAGCCAAAAGGAAGGAGAAAGAGAGAGGGAGAGAGCGCGGACAAAACGTTGTAACGGTAGACGGAAACGGAATATTAGAATATATAGAAAATATCGATTGGAGCACTGGATCTAACGGAAAATCGGGCCAAAATGGTGGGCCTACTTAATCCGCTGAAGTACGGCGACCATTTCTACGAGCTGTACACAAACAGCACGCGCAGGTAATCCCCGCCAGCATCTGGATAACTATATGTCCCCGGTCCTGTCTAACCCCCTCTGCCCCGCCGTCCACCCCGTTTGCCCAGGCATCACGGGGTGGAAAAATCGATCGCTGTACTCGGCTTCCAATCTGGGTCTTCAACCCCTAGACATTCGCTCTCTGGCGTTCGGTGTTCGCAGCACCCCCCGATTGTTGGGGGTTGAAACGGGCGGAAGTGGACAGTCCTGCGCCGAACAGCTGAGCGGTGCTCGCAATCAGCTGTTTTCAGAGAGCACCGCGACCTGCATTAACCCACTAAAGACCCACGAGGGTTGCGGTGAGGGGTTAAAAGAATGTCGCCCCCTGTTGTACCACGTACCGCCAAAAAGGACCTTCCAGGGGAAACCTTATTAAATGGGTCTTTTCGTTTACAAATTAATACAAGTATCACAAATCACTCTAAGTTTCCTCTTATATACATTTGTTCAAAAATGTTATGATATCATAGTCAATTTCATAAGTGTAATTGTAATTAAAATGTTTGCCGATTAAAAGGCATTTATTAGCATTGAATGTTAAAATATCTACTTCACGTATTGGATAATATAATTTTGATTTACTTTAAAAGCTACAAGTTCCTGTAAATACCGTATCAATATTCATAAAAGCTAAAAGTATTTATAACCGATATCTTACTTCAATGTAGTTTGATGATTACCATATTTATACAAATTATACAAAAATAAATAAATCAATTTACTAAAATCAAAAGCAAAACAATCTTAACATTTAATAATGTAAATTGTTGTTAATTGTCACAAATTTTGTCATACAGAAAACAAGCTACATATAACGCGACAAAACTTTGCAAGTTTAATACTATTTTAAAAACGTTAATCGGCTTAGCTTATCCTCGTATAAAATGTCCTTAAAAAGACGTTTTTATAAAATCAATATCAAAAAATTCCCAGTAGGCGAAACCCTTTTACCCACCTGAAACCTTGGGCGAAAAACTTTTAATCAAACACTACTTAGTTGGCAAAATACCAAACGAGCTCAAAATATCGATTTTGTAAAAGCGTGTTAAAAGTTCTTAATTGTCTTGAACCTTGTAGTAAATATTTTATTGTTTCCGCCTACCGCGAAATGGCTATAAACATTTACACTTTTACACAAAAAGCAGTAGGAATTATTAGAACTTAAAAACTTGCCAACTATTGCATATATATTTGTGCTAAAAATGTTATAATATTGTATGTGATATAAGTTTTGTAGTATCATGATGTTAAACCGACTACAAATAATTTTTATAAAGCAAAAAGACCTAATACCTTCGATCAAGATCAACCAAAATAACAGTATTTTAAAGATTTAAAGTTTAATGTATAATATAATATATATAACATAATTCTTTTTTTATATTCTTTTTGAACGTTACCACTTTTCCACAAACGATCCTTTTTATTGCATGGCAAGCGATTTCTGAATAATTAATTTTTCCACTTGCACCCTTAACAAGTTTTACTAACTTCAGCGCCACTAATTTCCGCTTTGCGGCAAACGCACAAGTTGGAAAGCCGCTTATGAAAAGTGGCCAACAGTGTACAAAACCACCTGTCAGCTGCAGGAGGCAAAGTTCCGGATGCACTGGGTTATAAACATATATATCAAAGCTTGCACCTTTCTGACCGGTACACATTCATATTTATACTTACATATACATATATTGTGCAGCTGGTGTCCAAAATAGCATAATAGCATACTACATAAAAGCTTCCAATTTGATAACAGCCACTAAAGAGCAAAAAGCTTCAGTGGCAACCAAAAGGACACGCAAAGTCTTCAGCAGGTCCTCGACAAATTAAGCTTGTTTGGTTTTTCAGTTAGTTGAATTGCGTTTTTGATTTCTGACCTATTGTTCAGATTGTGATAATTTAAATTGTTTTGTTTCAAAAGTTGTTATTCTTGTAAAATAAGCAGTGATCAGTGATCGGTCCTGAATAGCTCAATTTATATAGTTCTGAAATATATAAAACATTCAACAAAAAGTTTAAAATGTTATTTAGTTTTGGGTAAAATATTTATAAATAACCTAGATAATGATAACGTAGTTGCTCAAAAAGTCAAATAAACAATCAAATATATGTTTCACACAAAGTTAAAACACCTGTTGCAAAGTTGGCTTAAAAATAAATATGGAGATATACCCTACAAAGGCCAAAAGTTTTTTTTAAGTGTTAGGAGATACACATTTGTTTTTAATGATATCAAAAAAACCTGTTTCAACGTTGGTAAAAATAAAATTTAATAACACATTGTGATCAACTGTATTCTTTTTAAAATTTCTGAATGTTCTTTCTTTTGAAAGCGCTTTATCTTTTTAGAAATCAAGTGTGGCAAATAAGTTTTTTTAATACTTACTAAAAAATACACTTAAACAAAAACCAGTTAACAATTTAAATTACATCTATATTGGTTCTCAAATCTTTGTGCCTAAAGTTTTAGTAACCATATAAAATTTGCAGCTTAAAAAACTTTATTCAAAAGTTTAGAATGAGTTAAAAATATAAAATTTTTAATCATAAACCTTTAATTTTTTTCGAGTATAAAGGTTTAATCTCAATTTTTTTTCCTGTTTCCAAATAAAATTTAAATTAACCCAAAACTTTTCCGCATCCGTTTCAGAAAAATGCAAAACGATCGCAAGGTTTTAACGAAGCGCAAAAGTCGGAAGGACAAATCGGCAGCTGCGATGGCCGCAGCAGCTGCGGCGGCAGTTCTGGAGGGGAACGGGGGAGCAGGAGGACTGGTGAACCCACTGGATCCGCCGCTGGTCAAGGAACAACTGATGATCCTGCCCTCGTTTCCGGTGGCGCACATCGAACTCGATCCGAATGCGTCCAAGTTTGCGGTCTTCTCGGCAATCAGATCCACGGTCCTCGAGGCGGAGACGCGGTACGCCCTGTTCCAGGAGAACGGAGCAGCCGGTGGCCAGTCGGGTTCGGTGCAGAAGAAGTACGCCGGCAACGTGAACCCATCCTGCTGCATGATGTGCGCCCACAGCTGCATGGTTAGCAACATCCTCGATTGCCCCTGCCACGCCCAGTTGGCCATGCACGGTGCCGTCGGTCCGGGCCATGGAGCTCCAGGTGGCCCGGTCGGGGTGATGATCGATGCCAGGATACCGGCACCAGTGCCCGTTGTAGTCGGTGGTCCCGGCCTGCCGGCGGAGAAGCGACCGCGAAGGGATAGCGCCAACAGCGATGCGGATTCGGACACGGAGGAGCCCACCGAACGGGAGCCCGTCTATGCGACGGTTCCACTGATTGTGGGAGCGGGACTGAGGAGCCTCTTCGAGCTGATTGCCGATGCCAGGCATGTCCATCCGCTGCTGTGCACCAAGGCACTGAAGGCCCTGCTCGACGTCATCCAGGGCCAGCAGCCGGAGAGCTTCAAGTTGGAGCCCGAGGAGCTGATCAATCCGCTGTACGATCTCCTGCTCGACTTGGCCACCATGCCGGCGGCTCTCAGTTCGGCCACCGGTGCGGAGGCCAACTGGTCGGCCATGGCCTGTGCCGCTCTCCTGGGACTCTGCATCGCTCGTGGCGACACTGGGAAGATGCTCAAGGCCATCGCCGCCATGCTGATGACGCCGCGCCAGCTCTCCGCCCAGATTGTCCAGCTGCCGGTCGTCCTGGCCACGCTCCAGCACACGGTGGTCAGTGCGGCGCTGAACAAGCCCACCCGCCCGGACTTTCACAGCCACGGCGTGCCGCTGAACTCCCTCATCGATGAGGTAAGTGGTTCCTTAAAAGAAGGATACAAAAAATATAATATATATTAGGACAAAAAAAGGTTTAACAGATATCTTACGAATTTAAAACCCATTAAAAACGTGATCATTATAATTATATTTTTGTTCAAAGTCATTAAAAGTAATTTCTTTCGTATTAAACCACAGATTTTGTAGCTTTCAAGAGTCAGTCGAGATTTACGAAATCCTATTTCCTGTTCTTTAAGGGAAATTTAAAGGTGATACAGAAACCTAAGGTCTTTTAATTTTGGCGCGTTTTTTCTTAATAATAAAGAACTATTCTAAATAATTTCGAAAGCTTTTGGATCAAAGAATAACTAAATATTATTTGTTTCAATCTTACATGTGTTTGTGGAATAATTTTCAAACTTTAAATGTTATGAATATATGGATAACTTAAAAAGTGTGTGAACTTAATAAATATTTTCATGACAAGACACACACTTCTTTTATAATTTTAGATGAAAGAGAAATACAAAAGTTTTAAATTAAACCTTACTACAATCTATTCCATTTCAGTTCCCCCTGAAGTTGCCGCCTTTGAGCACGGGTGCGCCCATCACCTCGCCGGCGATGGCTTGCGATGGAGTGTTCGTGTACCTCCTGTACGGGGGAACGCTGCTGAAGATCGGCACTGGCTTCGGGGGATCCTACAAGGGACACATCTACGCCCAGAACGAGGACTTCAGCCACGAGCGGAGTGCCTGGCTGGGTTACTCCGGCGGGCAGCTCTACTTCCGGCGCACCTGTCGGCGGAGTGCCGGCGATCAGCTGCAGATGGTGGGACTCGACACGCTGGCCATCAAGGCGATGAGTCCTTTGAGCATGCTGCACATGCGCGAAGGACTCAACTATGTGCTCTTCACGGACGATGACTCACTGCATGCCATCTGCAGCAATCGTGATGTGAGTATTTTATTGTTAAATATATTATATGAAAATTAAGTAAGGAACTCAGTACGCTAAATGGTTCTTGGGATAGTTAAACATTTGCTAAGGAATTCAAATGATTAAAAAGCCGAAAAGAAAACTGCTGCATAAATCGTAGCATACTTTTCAGCGCTTTTAAAAGAGAAATGAAACCTTCAATAAACAACCAATGTTTCAATTAACACGTAATTATAACTATTGATCTATTTCCCCCTTTTGCAATAGGACACTCTGGTGGTGAAGAAGCTGAATCTGTACCACAACAGCTACAACATTGACCCGCCACCGTTCGAGCTGCCGCTTCAATTGGCCCGCAAGAAGTTCCGAACACTGGGATACGCGGCTTTCGAGGACGAGCTGCTCAACCAGTACCAAATCCAGCGCATCCAGTCGGCGCACAACAGCTTCGAACCGAAGTTACCGGCTCCGTGTCGCGACGCGGACGTGGATGTGCTGGGGATGGCGTGTGGCAAGGAGTTTGGCCTGGTGCGTGCCAGCAACGGAAGGGTCTACTACTACGGAAAGTCAGCGGCCTTGGGTCTCAAGTGCGTGGGTCGAACGCCCACCTTGAAGCTCACCGAATTGGTCATCTCCAAGGCGGCGAACATCGTCCACGTGGCGGTGGGCCACGATGGCATTCATGCGCTGCTCGTTAACGACGATGGCACCGTCTTCTTTGCGGGAACAGCTCGTCGTGGCGAGGACGGGGATAGCAGCAAGAATCGCCGGCAACCGAAGGCCGTTAAGCCGAAGAAGATGACCAAGATCGATGGCCATGTGGTGGTGCATGCCGCCTGCAACAATGGCACCTCGGCATTCGTGACCAAAACCGGCAAGCTAATCATGTACGGCAAGGATACGGCTCACTGCGATGCCATGGGCTTTGTCAGCGAGCTGCTGGATCAGCATGTGACCAAGGTGGCGCTGGGCAAGGCCCACTGTGTGGCCCTCAATGCCAAGGGACAGCTCTTCTCGTTTGGGTTGAACAACAAGGGCCAGTGCGGCAGGATATTCAACAAGCTGCAGCCGGTGAAGGATGTGCCGCCGTTCGCCTCATCCTCCACGGCGGCCGCCTGTTTTGCATCGCTGCTGCCACTGGACAAGCGTCTCAAGCTGGACTTCTCCACGCTGTGCGACTACGACGACCACAATCTGGTGCAGGGTCAGTGCCGGGTGTGTGTGATCTGCAGGGAGTGCACTGGCTACAACGTGAGCTGTGTGTCCGCCCTGAATGTTCCGCTGGAGCAACGTTTGGCGGGGAGCATATGCCCGTGTGGCCATGGAGATGCCGGGTGCGCCAAGTGCGGACTGTGCTCCGCTTGCATTGCCCTGCAGGATAGCGATGGTGAGTTATTCTAGTGACCTAACTTACCTTCTGTACAAGTAATAGACCATTTTATCTTTTAGAAGCCAAGACGGAGCTGAAACCTCCACCGACGGACGTGCAGCAGCGACAGCAGCGCTCGAAAACTCTGATAATGCGTCGCAAGGAGCGCAAGGGTGAACTGGAAACGGGAGCAGCGGGTGGCGGAGCTGCCACGCCCACGGATCTGGACAAGGATCCGCCGCGTGTGGCGCCACTGGCACCGCAACTGCTCCAGCTGACCAGCTCGTCGCCGGTGGTGCAAGTGGCCTGCGGTCTGCACCACACGGTGGTCTTGACGCTGGCCGGCGAAGTCTACACCTTTGGCAGCAATCAGTACGGCCAGTTGGGCAGTGGCGACCTGCAGCCAGTTAGCGGACCAGTTCGCGTCCAGGTCTCGGGAGCCATAAGCCAGGTGGCTGCGGGCAGTAACCACACCGTGCTGCTGACCTCCAAGGGCATGGTCTACACATTCGGCAACTATCAGAAGGGACAACTCGGGCGATTGCCCAGTGATTATGGACAGAAGCCGCCGCCGCAGGAGGATGATTCTCCGGGTGGCTTGGGTTCGGATGGCGGACAAGGTGGATCGCCCACAGTGGCGCCCGTGGGAATGCCTGGACCGGAGCGATCCCAATCGCCAGCCAATGTGCAACCGAGTGGATCCAAGGAAATGCCTCCCTTGATGCCGGTGCTCACGCAGCGTCAGAAATTCCTGTGGAACTGCTCGCCAGGAGCTGTTTTGTAAGCGGAAATTGCACTTGCATACTTGGATAATATCTACTAATTACTATCTGTTTTTTTTTTTTTTAGTGGACTGGGTCCGTGCTATGGCAAAAAGGTGACCTGGATTGGAGCCAATGGCGATCAGACCTTTATCAAGATCGACGAATCCCTGATCACAGCGCAAATGCTGCCCAAAATGCATGTGGTGGCCAACAAGAAGACGATATGTAGGTCACCCCATTCAAATACCTTATAAAGCAATAGTAATCCTTTGTTAATCCTTTCCCAAAACAGTGTTGATTCCCAGCATTCCGCTGTCCTTCCACACGCTCTCCATAAATCGACGCGACGGAAGTTGCACCGCGCATTATCGCGGCCAAACGAACTTTGTGCAGCTGATGCAGGCCCAGCCGGAGCAACAGCAGCCGGAGATCAACTCGAATGTGGACGTGGCAGTGACTCCGGTGGCGGATTCACCGGCGCACGCCTCCACCTCCTCGCTTCTGACTGCGCTGACGGGAACGGCGACGGCGGGAGTGCCCATCAATGAGCAGATGTCGCGCAGCATGCACGAGGCACGCAACCAGATCTTCGAGGAGCAGCCACCGGATCTGGCATCCTCGGCGGCGACGGGATCGGCAGCCGTGACAGCGGGATTGGTGGCTCCTCCTCCCGGAACTCCAGGCTCGGCTGCAGGAGGATCTGTGCCAAGGACACGTCGTGGGGGAAAACAGGCAGCCAGTTCCCCGGACGGCATTCCATCGCCACCGCAGCTCGCCTTCACCATGGATCCCACCTACAATGTCCTCTGGGTGTTCGATGGAGCAGCCAGGAAGCTGCGGTGCCACAATGTGGTGGCCAGCGATATCAACGAAGCGGATGCGGTAAGTTTTTGCGAATTAAATATACAAAGAAATTCGAAAATAAATGAAGGAAATATGTTTAATCAAAGATAGATTTCAGATAAACAAAGAATCTTGCATATTATTTGTATCTTAATTATGAGATGACTTAGTTAAAGGAATAAATATATATAGAAATGATAAATGATAAAGAAAATATGTATAATCAAAGAAGAATACATATATCAGGAAAACAAAGTCTACATATTTTCTATTTATGCATATTCTTGCATATTACTTTGTATCTATTGCCTTAGTTATAGATTAAATAATTAATATAAAGCAAACAAATTAGGGAAATATGTTTGATCAGTTGAATGGAGTATCTTTCTATTTTAGTATTATTAACTCATTTCAAAATTAATAAAAAACTCAACCCATTTAATCCTGTTTTACAGAATGCTGCCACCTACCGATCGCTGCTCTCGCCGGAACTATCGCTGCCGGATCGCGTGGACTCGCGTGTGGCGCGATCGCAGGCCTCGCTGAACCTGCTGGCCTGCCTGGACATCCTGACCTCCGCCCAGGACAACATTCCCGGCTGCTTCGAGCAGCCGCTGCTGAAGCAAACGGCACAGACGGCGGAGACGCAGGCCGGGGAATTCCAGGTGGTCAATCGGTTCGATAACTTCGGCGGCGGATGGGGCTACTCCGGTCACAGCGTGGAGGCGATACGCTTCTCGGCGGACACGGACATCGTGATCTGCGGCTTCGGGATGTTCGGAGGTCGCGGCGAGTACAGCTGCAAGCTGAAGCTGTTCGATTTGGGTGGCGATGGCGGCGGCTACGAGAAGGAGGGCATCCTGATCAGCGAAACCAAGGAGGTGCCCTTCGAGTGCGGAGCGAGGAGCAAGCATCACATCCTGCTGCCCAAGCCAGTTAGTGCGGTGGCCGGAAGATGGTATTTGGTGTGGGCACGCATTGCTGGACCCTCCTCCGATTGCGGATCATGTGGTCAAGCCTCTGTAACCACCGAGGATCAGGTGGTGTTCTCCTTCAAGTCCAGCAAGAAGGCCAACAATGGCACGGATGTGAACTCTGGACAAATTCCAGCCATCCTCTATCGATTGGTTACCCAGGATTGCAAGCAAACGCCGGCGCAAATGGACGCCGATCCTGTCCAGCGGATCTCGAGGGCATTCGCCAATAGTGTGAGTCGCGAGTGCTTCGAGAGTCTGGTGGTGCTGCTCAGTTGGTCCTGGGATTGCTTCAAGCTGCAGTTGCGCGAGGAACGGGATCGATCGAGGCCACTGCAACTGCAGCAATCGCTGCAGTACCTCGGCTATGTGATCAAGTCCTGTCTGCGACTCCTGCGCAAGTACACCAATGAGATCTACCCGCAGCGCAGCTCCTCCTCATCGCAGACGTCCCACGGTGGTGGCAGTTCAAGCCAGAGCAATGGACTGGCCGCCTCTTCCCTCAACAAAATCCAATCCAAGGCAAACAAAGGTAATCTGTTATTTATTTCTATAAGTACATTTAAATAACCAATTTGAATTACCAATTTGTAGACAAGAATACCCCGCGGGTAATGGGCAATGCAGCGGTGATGGCCAAGTATTTTGGCGACCAATCGCCATCGGTGGCACCTTCCATGATCGGCAGCGGAGGCGCTCCATCCACTTCGGCCTCGGCAGCTGTGGCTGCGGGCAGTGGAACTCCGATGACCCGAAAAACGAACATGGAGAACATCCAGTTGGCGGAGTGCATCGGCAATGTTAGAGCCCTGCTCATTGGAATCTTCTGCGATGATATATTCAAGGACATAGCCACGGATGAAGGTGAGTCTTGGACTTGAGAGGATTTTAAAAAAAAAGGTTTCATTCTGATAGCTTGAATTGTTAATTAATTATCTTATCTTGAATAATTAATTATCCATTATCTTTCAAATTAACAGATCATTGGTTAATTTGAAAGATAGATGGTGAAACTTTTGTGTGCATCACTCATTGGTTTACTGTTCTCCATCGAATAGATTTTGGAACTTGAGCTTACGATTCCTTCTTCTGTTTTAGGCTACGAACTCTCGCTGGAGATCCTGGACGAGTGCCACCTGAGCTTCGTGGCCTGCTTCGATGCCTTCTACCCGACCTCCTCGCTGAAGTGGAACTGCCTGTGCGATCTGCTGGCCCAGATGGACCGAGGAGCCCTGCACTCCCGTTTGCTCAGTGCGATTCTCGCGGGACTCTGTTCACCTTCGGTGAAATTGAGGGCCACCTTTTCGCTGCTCAGTGCGGCGGGCAACGAACGCCAGTCGATCATCAGTCCCAGCGACAATTCCGGACTGCCCATGCTCTCCTCGACGGACGCGCATCCGTATCCCGTGCTGGTGGAGCAGATGATCTACCGAACGCAGCAGGAGAAGAGCGACTTCCTCAGCAACTCCTGGACATTCAAGGATGTACTTGTACGTCTGCTGGACATAATTGCCAGTCCAATACGTTCGCGCATCGAGGCGATTTATAGCAGGAGCTTGGGAAGTCTCGGTGGCAGCTATCCGGGTGCCAAGGAGTGCGTCAATCAGGGATTAATAGACAACTGTTGCCATCTGTTGGCCCGCGTTCTGGCGGAGATTGTCTACCAAACGGCGATGGGCGAGTACGACAAGTTGTTCATGCCACCGAGAACGCTCCATTCCACGGGAGCTCGTTTCGCCCGCTGCGATGTGAGTCGCACTTGGAACACTGGCAACTTTGGACCCGATGCCATCGCCTTCGCTGTGGATCGACCGGGAGTGGCCATCGCTGGCGCCATGGTTTACTCCGGATCCGGGAGCTATGACTATCAGTTGGAGTTGCTGTACGATAATACCGCCGATCTGCAGCCGCAGCACAAGTGGGAGACCCTTGAATCGGTTTCGGGAACCTACGATCAGGATGCGGTGCACAACGATCTGGCGGAGATCAAGTTCGATCATCCAGTGCACATCAAGGAGAATGCTCGCTATGCTTTAAGATTGTGTTCCCAGGGAGCGCGCACTTGCTCGGGGGATGCGGGAATGCCGGCGGTTCGAGGACCTTGTGGCGCCCAGTTTCACTTCTACGCCTGCGATCTGAGCTTCAATGGAACCACTCCGGCGCGAGGACAACTGCCCTGCATCCTCTACTACAGCACACCGATGAAGCAGGATGGAAATTCCGCGAGCGGAAGAGATGGAACTGGTGGTGCGACGCACCTGGAGGATCGAATGATGCTCCTCGGACCGCATGAGGTGTCCACCAGGGATACAGCTCTCCAAATCGCCGCTGATATCACCAAGAAGTGTACAGAGCTCTTGATTCTGGCACGAAATGCCATGGCCGCCTCGTGTTCGCCATCGGATAACAGTTCCAATCACACGCAGACCATCGATTCGGAGCACAATATCACGCCCATCGAGGAGCACATGGACATCAATTGGGCGAACAATTCCCGGACAGCTGCTCTGCCAACCGCAGTGGATCCGCAGTTGTCCACCGCTCGCGATTTGGGGAAGCGCATCGAGTCCTTCTCGAAGGGTCTGATGGAAACCCTCAAGTTCGACAAGCGATCCACGAATCCCTTCGAGATGGAAATCGAGATTGGAGCCACCGAAGTGGAGGAGTCGGCGGATCTGCGCAATGGCCAAAGTCAAAGCCAGAGTCAGAGTCAGAGTCAGAGTCAAAGTCAGAGTGTTCCGATCAATGGGAATGAGAGAACCACGGACTTCGAGGTGGCGGAACAGCCGGCACAGCAATCGCAGTTAACCCAACAGCAGGTGCACTCCGATTCGGAGGAGGCTCCTCTCGAGGTGGCCGGAATGGCTGCCGGTGGAGAGAGCGTGGCTGGTGGATCCGCCGCCGGAGGAGTTGGCAGTCAAGTGGCTGCAGTGCAGCTGCTGGAGGTCTTCAATCTGGCCGCCTCGAATATGTTCCACACTCTGTTGCCACTGGTCTACGCACACATTGCGAATCTCGCCTGCAGCGATCCCAAGAGCTCCGTCCAGATACTTGGCCTGATCAAGGAGATCCTGCCGCACATCGCTGCCCTCAACCAGTTGCACGTCGCCAAGGATCAACGGCAACCGGAACCGGCGGTCTTTGCCACCCAGAGCTCCAATTCGGGTGGTTCCGGTTCGAGCAGCACCACCAGCAACCACTACTGCGTGGTGGAGAGCGATCATCCGTACAAGAGCGCCAGCATCAGTAGCTATCGCGTGGAGTTCCCGCCGTGCGTCCAGTGGCTCACCATCGAGTTCGATGCGCAGTGTGGCACCGCTCAGCTGGAGGATTACCTGCTCCTCTCCATCCCAATGCGTCCGGCATCGCAGGCTGCTCCCGTTCCACATGCAGATGATTATCTCGAGCAGGCGGACAACCATGTCGGTGGATTGGCGGACAGGAGACGAGCGGCGGGAGGTGGAATCGGTGGCATCGGAGGGGGAGCGTGTGGCGGTGGAGCAGCGGCGGGGAACTCGCACCAGCGATCCGCCAGCGTCCAGTTGACCATGGCCAGTTGCTGCCGCAGTCCGGGCGGCGGGAATGCTCCGGGATCCGCGCAAACGGCCAGCAGCACTCCCTTCCGCAGCCATGATCCCAACGACAGGGAGTGGATTGTGGTCAAGAAGTTCAACACGTAAGTGGGAGTATAAGCGAGTGGATATAAGAAAAATAGTTTCTATTAATATGATATAATGATATGATAAATGTAGTTCCTTTATCATGTTTTTAAAATCATTTCAAACCCTTTTAATTGCTTCCTATTTTGCTTTCCTGTAATAATATTATGTTATAAATAGGATAATCTCTGTACTTATCTTATATATCTCTTCTATCTTTTAGAGCCTCCACTTGGTTGCACAATGTCCTAATCCTGCCCGGCAATTGCGTGGAGTTCTCCTTGGAAACGGCCTCACTTTATGCCCAGGATCCGCACAACAATCGATATGGCTTCAGGTGTTTGGTGGTGGGCTATGACAATCCCACATCGGTGAGTTATAGTCATTTGTAGCGCCATCTCTTTCCTAACCACGTGTGATGTTCTCCCTCTCGCTCAGATCAATGCCAGCAACTCGTGTCTGATTCGATTGGAACAGGAGTTGGCTTACTTGGGAGGCATGTGCAGTGCCAATCTGATGAAAAAGGAACTCAACTTGCCAGGTAACTAATAGTTTTATATAATATTTATATTATTCAATTATGTATTATATTTATTTTTTTATCTATTATATGTATTATTTTTAATTTATTTATCAGATGACAAGGACGTGGAGGACATGAGTGGCATCGAGGAGACCATCAACGCCCATCACACCCTGCTCTCTAAAGGATTTGCGCTATCGGAACCCCAGTTGACCGTGCACCAGGCCTTGGAGTCCTATTTACCCATCGGGTGAGTCTCTATAAAGAACTATTTATTGAAATATATATTAAACTGATCTGGAAATAAATAATCAAAGATATGCATGAACTTCCAAGTTCAATAAGACGCCATTGAATCCAGTGTTGACTGTAAATTATATTGTAAACATATGTCAAGCATAAAACTTTTCTAAAAATATTTCCGGAAACCATTTGAACGATAAAATTTGGCGTTTATGTGCCATCTACTATTTGTAAACAACAATTTACCAGCTAAATTTGCCCTTTGAAATCTGGAATGTGGGAATTTTGTTTGGAAGGAAAACAAAATTATACCAAAGCTTTTCAATGAGTGAAAATCATAGCAAGTTTATGAACTATTTTCCTTACCAGACATCATAAACAGAACACTATGATTTGGCTTAAGATTGATTTATTTATTATACGTATTTGATGGGCTTTGGCGAACCCTGGATAGTTGTGGGCAAGATCCCAGCCTAATTGCGACTATTTACATTGGTCCACTTACGACTGACGAATATTACGGGTTATGCGTAACTAGAATAAGATATTTAACGACTAACTATGTTGGCTATGGTTTTGGTACAGCGAAAGGTCACGCATTGGTGGTTTCGTACGATGGGTGGTGGGTGGTGACCCCACCGCCCGCTCCTCTAGCTTCATTCAGCTCTGTGTCTCTGTGGGTGTGTTCTGTTTTCCAGAGGTTCTGTTAGGGGAACTACATTTCTTAGTGGTAATAAACCCCCTCGAAATGGAAACCCCAACAAACTCCCCAAGTGTCTTTCCTTGGCGTCTACAAATCAGTCTTTAGCAGGCCAGCGTTCTCGATTTGGTATACGATCTGGGTCTCCTTGTACGTTCGCGGTTCCGGCTGCACAACGTCCAGTTTGCGGCGTCGTCGTCTTTGCACCACTCGCCACCAGAGCAACAGGATCAGCAGGAGCAGCAGTAGTCCCAGCAGAACACTTCCCGAGATGATGTAGGCCATATAGCTGTGCTCCCGACACTGATCCGTGATCAGGGATCGCAGTGGCACATATGGCTGGATTGCTCCGCCGGAATTGCCCACGAAATCCGGTGGATGGAACATCAACTGATCGCTGTGCAGTCGAAAGAATTCCGAACGTGGCAACGGAGGCTCCACATTTCTGTCCAACTGATCGCAGTTCCAGGAGTTATCGTACCGCAGATCACGGATGCTCAAAGCGAAACTATCGTCGAATCGCAGCGGTTGAGGTGCCACGGGTGTCACTCCGGGGCCTTCTGTTCGCGGATCCGATCCTGGACGAGAACTCCGCAGACTGTTGTTGTGGAATCGCAGCTCCAGGTGATCGCTCAACTGGTACGACCGGTGAACAGTGAGGCTGCGGAAGGCGATCTCGCTGGTGGACCCGAAATCGTTCCCCCGAATGGACACTGCATCCCGGATTTGGGCCTCCAACCACTCGCCATCCACTGATAAAAAGTGGTTGTCGCTTAAACTCAGCTTGGATACAACTGGAAAAAAAAGATAGGGGGAATCTTATTAAAGGGTGTTCGTTCAACGAAAGGTGACCCCAAACTGCTATCCATTTTTAAACTGTCATATCTCAAAACATTTTTAGTTGAATTCCCAAAGACCTAGACTTAATGGTAAATTAATCTGTACTTACGCTTGAAGGAGAAGGCATGGGAGTGAACCTCCTGGAAGTGATTGCTCCTCAGACTCAGCTCGTTGGTGACCTCCACTTCGTAGAAGGCTCGCGTGGGCACATTGCCCAGGAATTGGCAGTTGGCTATAATCATTTGCTCTACGGCAAACTTCTTAAAGGCCTGCAGATGTTAAAAGAAAATAAATATAGCTAACGTATGATAAGGATTCCGTTTTGAACTCACCTGACTTTCAATGCGCTGGATGGTGACCCCGTCCAACTTGAACAATATGGCACTGTCCTTGGTGGTGGTGAACCCGAATGGCTTCATTAGATCGATGCGCCCGCCCACGAATGAGATCTCCTCGATGTTGGCGTTGATGGCATGTGACTCGATCAGCTGGAGGTTCGTCTGCTCGAACTCCACGATCAGCGCCTTGTTGCTGGCATATCGCGGCACACTCAGGGCGTGCTCCTTGAGCACCAGCTGGCCCACCTGGTGGAAGGTCACCTTGCGCAGGCCCATCGTGTCCGCCAGTCGATTGGCCTCCACCACAAGGTCGCGGCAGTTGCGGATCTCCACCAGGTAGACGCTTCCCTGCAGCAATGGCAACACCATGGGCTGCAAATTAGAAGGGGTTTAATAAGTGGAAATATTGTTAGGCCAATGAAATGAGGAGGCAAGTTTAATAATTCATAAATGGTTTAAATGTCTTTATATTTTTTTAAAAAGAAATGAGTTTATGAATTATGAGCAATAAGCGTTTGGTTACTTATCGTACAAATATTTCTACTGATAAAAAATAAAACTCTGATTCCTAAAATTGTTACTCATACATAAACAATTAAGAAAATCATACCAAAAGCAGTCTTTGTCATATGGTTCATTCATAATTTAAATAATAGCTTTAATGCTGACAATTTCTATAATTTTTAGTGAGTCACGAAGTATGTAATTCAAAATATGATTATGATTTCATGTCGTTTAGTTTCAACTAGAAAAACCGTATGTAAACACTAACGACTGACTGACTCACCTGGTCGGAGTTATTGCAGTCGCAGGTGATGGTGGTTCCGTACTCCCGACAAACCACCTTCGCCGGATCCGCCTGGACGGAAATGGAGAGCAGGATGGGCAGCAGGAGGAGGAGGAGGAAGCATGTCGGCGGTGCCGTGGGATCCTTGAGATTTCTGATATTCCGCATGGTTTCTCAACTGAACCGCCGTTGGCCAATTATTCACTCATATTAACTTCTGCCGTTCGCTCTTCTTCTGTATTTCGCCTATTTTGTGGCCCACTCTTTGTTCATTTTCCAGTTGTGTTTACCATCCGTTCTCCGTTTTGCACTGCTCTCCGCCGTAAGCGTTCCGTGAAAATGCCGATGGAGCCCCCGATTCGTTCCAGTCTTATCTACGAAGGTGTTTCTTATCTGTAGAATACCAATACATACATACATATGTAAGTGTGTGAGTTACGATCGTGTCTGTCAAGTTGCTGTTTTGTGTGTGAGTGTTTTGGAGCCATCACACCGTCGTAATTGAGTTCTATTTTTCTCTTTTTAAAGCAGATAATACGGATAGTGGTGCCCCAAACCTTTCTAATACAAAATGCACTGAACTATTTTCTTGGAACTTCAGAAGTTAATGAAAAATGATTTACCTTCTACCAACAACAACTTTTCAATTTGATAAGATAAAAAACGTATATTAAAGAGAAAATGCAGTAAGACACCAGGTCAGTTTAAAAAGTGGTTTTGCAACCCCACAATGTTCCCATATTCAGGATCAGTTAAAAAAACTCCCTTTTCTGTTTCTCATGTAAGTTGTTTAGCTAAGGTGATTTTAAAATTGAAATGTTATATAAAGATTTTTGATAAACACTGTCGGTTAATTTAGGGTCATCATTAGCTTAAACCTAAAAGTTTAAGATTCCTTTTTTTGTTAATACAGTGTTGTAAAGCTAAAAGAACTGCGTTTAAATGTGTTAAGAAGGTACAAAAAATAAGTTACGCAGTGTAGCTAAAGTGTAGTTAAAGCTTCGCTCATAGTTTCAGTTCTGTGAGAAAGAATGTTGCAAGACTTTGACTGACTGTCCCCAAAAACTGAGTGATCGATTACCGATCTCGAGGCGAATTTTCGACCAACTGCCTCGGACACTTGAAAGTGTCGATCATAATCAGCTAACGTTGCTTATTGCCCAACGATCGCAAACACACTCGTTTTTCGAGACTTTCGAGCCGGAGACGAGGCTCTAATTGAATCACAACACCCTCTGCAATTGCTGATCACTTGGCCAGTTTGCCAGTTTTCTCCTGCCCTCCAATCACCGCTGCAGTCGTCCGCTAATTGAATTCGGAGGTCGTAAAGCAAACAGAGGGCCTCCCTTTTTGGCCCTGGAAATGGAGACTGCGTCTGGGTCTGCGTTTGCGTCTGGATCTGGTAGCCCGAACATGAGCAATTATGCTTTGTTATTTGTTTACGGCCATTTCCATTTTCAATTCCATTTGTTTGTAGAACTCAATTTGCGCGAGAGGAAATTTAGTCAGCGCCAGAGTCGAGTCTCCATCGCCATCGCCTTCTCAAGTGGCGACTGTTAAAATATTTGCGCACGAGTCGAGGAATTCGAGATTCGAATAAGCGGCACGAATGCGCGTTTCACAGAATTCAAGTTTGCCATCATTTAAAGAAGCTGTATTCATCTACTAACATGCATCTTCTTTGGTGGATTTTACAATAATATTTCAAATAACATAAATTCAACAACGAACTTATCTTGTTTAGTCTTTTAAATACCACTTTAAAAAAAAATAACCTTTATTGGGAATTCTTTGTTCTTTTTACTGATAATTAAAAAATGTCAACAATTTTATAGAAGATTACTTTGTTTGCTCTATAGACTGTATATTTACACTTTAAACTTAAACTAAAGACATAATTTTGAACAGCTGATTAGAACCTTGTATTACAGCGGAAATGATAACTATCTAATCTTTTTACTAAGTTGTACCAATAAAAAAAATTAATTTATGAAGATTGCGTACCCTGTTCCTCCAGCGAAAAGTATTTTCCACGCCTTAGAACTCCGGATGTTTCGCAGACGTGGTCAACCCTTTGTAATTCCCATTAAATCAAGTGGTGTTTATTGAGTGGACTTGCGCTTAGGAAATTGAATTAAAGCGCAATTGCATTTCCTGTCCAGTAAAAATGCACACACACACGCACTTTTAAATTCGTGGAATCAAAACTCAAGCCACAATCCCCTTGAAAACCCCTTGGACTCCGTCCCTGAATTGTACCAATTACGGACTGCACAATTAGGAGGCAATTATGATATAAATACTTGCACAGAATAAAATTGTTATCAAAATTTTTTCCCAGAACTTTAAAGAATATTTTAAAAATATAAAGTTCGAAAACTTTAAAAAACTTAAGCTAAAACTTTATCTTAGCTTTATGTTTTTGTTTTTACCTCAAAGTATTTTTAACATTTAAGTCACTTGAGATTTCTGCAATAATTTTCCAGCTTAACTTTGAAAATGCTTATAAATATGTATGTTTTTTTTTGGATTTTTCGTTAAACCCACTGCTGTTATTTCGGCCACATTTGTGTGTGCCAAGAATAATTAGCACAATTCATGGACTTTTTACCATTGACTCGAATTAAATCATAGCACAACTGAGCGAATCGAAAGTCTGCATTGCAATGCACCAGTTTCACAAAAAGAAACTGATATAGACACTCGATTCGAATCGGTTTAGATCGACTATCTTATCCACATTTTCACCGACTGCGATAAGATTACAAATGAGTCAGGAAACGAGCGGTTGCCACATTTTTTGACTCAATTTTCAAAGGATGACACATTTGTTTGGTTAAAAAAAAGGGGTGGCGTATTACTCCATGCAGTTTACACGGCAGAATGACATTAACGGGAAATATAATGAATAACTTGAGGTTTTCTTACTTATGAACAGCTGAAAAAGTGTTATGTTGGAGTTTTCAGGGTTAAAGCTGTTATCAAATATGTTTACATATCCTTGAAAAAAGTAGATGGTAATCGTAACTTTGAAATCAAGTTCTCAAATGTAATCATAACAAAGATCGATTAATTAAAAACAAATCAGTTTGCCATCTGGAAAAAAGAACAGCAAACAAAGTATTTTGGTATTTGTCTCTTTTGTCATTAAATGTGGATTTTCTGTTGAAAGGCGGCAATTAAAATTTAACTGCAAGCTTTCCAGCAATTTAGCAAATCTTATCTGTTGCAATATTGTCACCGACTTTCTTCCGAAGCTCGTTCATTGTTAAAAGCGAATATACCGCAAAAGCCCATTTGGCCAAAGGTCCAAACCACCTTTCTTGAATGGGAAAAGTTGTAGTAGAATGCTGAGGGCACTTGACGGGGTTAATGTTTTTAGCCTGTTGTGCTGCTGCTCTTTGCTTTCTACTACTTGAAATTCGTGCGGTTGTTTTGTTTTCTGTTGTTTTCCGCTTGTTTCCCTACACTTGGCACAAAATTCGTTGACCCTTTTATAACATTGACTTTGGCCCTGTTTAAATAGGACTTCTTCATATAATAGAATTCTGCAATGTATAGTTTAAAAAGAAAAAAAAAAATAAGAAGGGTTAACAGAGAATCAAAAGAATCTTAGGAAACAAACTGGAAATTAAGAAACCTAAAAAATGTGGGTTATTGAACTTAAAGTTCTGTAAAAATATTAACATTTTAAATAATTATTAGACAATGTTGTCAAATGTTTTAAAATTAATTTTCGGCAGACCTAACTGTACTTTGGAACACCTTTCGTTTACCTCTTTGTAACATTGACTTTTGGGTTGAACTTTTTGCCGTACCGAAATTGTTTTTATGGCAAAAGCAAACTAAAAACAGATTTTTATTTCACGTTTGCTTTTTTCCGTCGTCATTTAACCTTGAAATATCGAAATACGATGATGACGAGCAGTGGACATAATGGATATGGATATATGGCAAGGTGTCTGCCAATTTGTATAATATATATTTTTTTTATTTAACAAGGGGGCGTTTGTTCACAAACATATACTGCTAATTTATATTCTCCTGGGAGAATTGCAAAAAAAAAAAAAACAAGAATAGAGAAATTTTAAATTCTTGTTTTGAGATTTGATTTGTTTTCGTTTTGTTTGTTTTGTTTTGATGCGTGGGCTGATGATCATGAACACCAAGTAAAAAAGTAGAAAAGAATCAAGAGGGGAAAGAATTCTTCTTCTTTGTTTGTTTGAGATCTTTTTCAGCTTTTCGCAGCATTTTTGCAACGCAAACGCAAACAATTTTTCCTCCTCTCCCCAAATAGGTTTTTTTTTATTACTTTGAACTTTATGGCGGTTCCAGACACACACACACACACTTAGATTTTGACACATAGGGAAATATGGCAGCACACTAAAAAACAAAATAAGCAGCGTGTATTTAAGCGAACCTTAGTCGTAAATTGCGCCAAGTAAATATTCGCATTTATTTATATTAGCAGTGAAATCAGCGCACTAAATCGAGACACGCGAGCGGTCAGTTGGTTTCTGTAGCCTTGTTTTTGTTGGTCGGCCAACCGGCGTAAGCGCGTGCAAATGACAAACTGAGCGCCAAACCGCCGAACGCTAAACGCAAACCGCCAACCGCCGGACGCCAATCTCCAATCTCCACAAATGTGCTGCGGTGGTCAATGATGAGCATTAGGCTTTATTTTGCCCCAGAATTCTTAATATTATTCGACAGCAGGAAATTTAAATAAAGAACTGTTATAAATTAAATTTAAAATTAATTAATATTAATTAAAACAAAACACAAAATATCGCACAAGAGTAAATTCCGTTATATAAATACTAGTCGTATGCGCAATTTGGGTACAAATAGTCGTATACGCAACGTACAAAATTCCTTATAACCTAGCTATTTTTGATCTAGCTTTTTTTGGTCGCGACTGACATTACTGCCGCGTTCTCTCACTTGATTTGGTGTTCTCTGCTCTCTTCTTGAGCACATTTTGAGTTAAACGAGCGCCAGTTTGGCTGCGGCGATTTAGCGGCAGCTTCTCTCAAACGATCCTCAGCTCACAAGCACAAAACCAAAAAAAGCATATTACAAAGAGGGTGAAGAATTTTTCGCGTTTATTACCTGCACGCGGAAAAAATTATCATTGAGGTGACATTTATCATTGATGATCAAAATTAAAATTTAAAGAAATGTAACAGCTATTTGTTTATAGGTTCAAAGAACCAAGTTGAATTTGATATTTTAATAAATTAAAGAAATTAACATATTTAATAAATATTTTTAAATTACATTTTGTTATATGTATTATACGTTTTTTTTTGTTTTGTATGCTTAAGGGTATACAAAGATTTGCCCTTTGATTATGCTCAGTGTATGTCAAGTTGAAGTTGAGTGTGGTTAGTGGTGTGAATCTGAATCAGAATTCTTGCGCTGCGCTTAATTGAATGATGCCAAGCATCGCTTGACACTTGCCGCCTTAAGAAAGCCCCCGCAAAAATGGTGAAAGAGAAGGGCCACAAAAGGGAGGATAAAGGCGAGAAGAAAGAGGAGAGGAAAGTGAGGAGGAGGTGTAACAGTAAGTCAACAGAAATCAAATCAAATTTACCGCGCTCCAAACACAAACATGGAGCACTTAGCGGTGGGCCTCTTAAGAGCCAAGTTATGTAAATATTATAAGTATAAACCGCAGAGGCTCTTCAGATCATTCGGCTTTATCACGCCCCGCTCAAAACCTCTGGGAACCTCTTCAGTTTCCAAAAACAGTACAGTTTAAAGAAGAATTATTTCCTAATAAGATAATATAATATTCTACTTATATTTTTTAAACTGTTACTTTTTCGTGAACCTTCTAAATGGTGAACTCATTCTTATCGCTGGCATAATTGAGTGGCAAATTGAGCTTTTTGTATTTATGGCTTTTTGAGTGATTCTATTTAAAAGTGGCGATAAGCACGCCATTTACCTTGGAGACTCGAGTCGTACTTAGGTAATAAATATCCCCATTACATTTTACTGATTTGTGCTGCTCGTTGGAAACGTAAATCTTCTTGGGTGCACTGAAAAATACAAATTTTAAGCTGCCTGAAAATAAATTTTAAAAATTCAGTAAAATTATTCAAAATCTTAAGGCTTGCATTTTAGCTTGTGCATAGTATTTATGATTTTTTAAACTATTAGTTTTAGTAAAGCAATTCTGAAGTTTTTTGTCAGTGCTCCAATTGTTTTACCCCTGCAGAGAGATGTGAGCCAACTGATCAAACTGACTGAGCGCCTGCCTGACTTACTGACCATATATGCACATTAATAACTCGAAAAGGCTTTTAGAACGCATTTGCATGGCAGCCGCGGCAGCAAGAGCAACATTTAATTTGCAACAAAAACAGCTCGCTGATCGCGCTTGCAAATCAAGTTATACAACATTTCAAAATGCAATTTCAGCACACCCGCCTGGCATTTTGCTTTGGCTTTTATTTTTTGTTTTTTATTCGTTATTTTGTTTATGCCAGCTAAACAAAACAGCTGTGCAAGCCAATAGCGATTAATATTTATGTGTCATGCGCCAGCAGTAACTGAGAAATTGGCCATTTGATATGCCACCCTCTCGATAAAAATCGGAGAAATGGGATCTGTGCCTTGTTTATTTTATTAATCAAGCTTCGGTTACTACGCGGTATTCCTGGGGCGACTTTAAAAAATATATTTTCAGTGCATAAAATTATGTTATATAATAAATATGATCTACATTTTAACGAAGGTTTATACTCCGTTAAAAAAACTATTTATTGTTTGGAAAGGAAACATTGGGAAAACAAATATTCCAATTGATCCTAAATTAATAATTATTTTTATTACCTCGGTGGAAAAGATTTGTATTCATTTTGACAAACAGCTTATAAGGATTCTGATTCTGAATCCATTACCATAGAACCCAAAATAAATAAGATCTTTACACAATGGTTCAGTCGCGCGTTTTCTGCAATAAGTTTTATTTAGTTTAAATTCACTTAACCTAGCTTATTTTATGTTGGCCATTGAGCCCGTTCTTCTCGATCGGTTCTCTCTAGATATATCTCTTCTCCATTCTTCGCAGATCCAGGGAAACTGTATGAATATCACAAAGTGTTTTCTTTTTTTTATATTAGTTTTTTTGGCGCTGCTGCTGGCCGGTGTTTTCCTCTTTTTTTTCTTCTCCTTCTTCATTTGTTGTGGGTGGCAGGTGTGACAATTGTGGCAGATATATATATATGCGGATATATACATATATAGGACTATATAATGGGAGTTCTGCATACTTTTAGGCGTCCGCATAGTCGATCACATCGGCAATTTGGACGGTCACATCGCTGCCGCCGGAGTGATCCGATCCGGAGTCCATGTGCTCCATGGCCGCCAAACTGGCGGCCCCGTCGAGGCACTCGAAGCTCCGCCTCCGCTGACCTTTGACCTGTGCGCTCCTATTGTGACCCTGGGTGGCATACGGCGGCGGCTGAACCTGCAGCACCTGTCTTTGGTTGCGCGCCGAGGTCAGCTGATCGGGATGGAATTGCGGCGAGTTCTGCAGCGCCTGTCGCAGATCCTTCACCGCTCGCGGCGCCGTCGTTGACCCCTGTGACCCCGACGGCGGTCGGCTGGTGGGCGTGGCACTCGGTGTCGATCGCCAAACGGGCGTGGCATAATTCGCCACACTCGCCTGTTGCGTCTGTTGCCTTTGCTGTTGTTGTTGTTGCTGCGTGGGCGAGAGGATCCGCATGGGCGTGGCATATTGATAAGCTGGCGGCATATCGTTCGCATCTGTAAGATAAAATCACAAATGGGGTATAAAAAAATGGGTTAAAGAAATGGTTTTTAGGGGTTTACTGGGACTGTTCATATATTAAGCGTATATATTAAGTTCACAGGCAAAAATAAGTGCACTTCGTTTCTTTGATATTTAATCCCTATAACAGGGTTTATCAAGTTAAATTTTAAAGTTAATCCTTTGAATATCTAATTGATCTTTTGGTCTGTTTAACTCGAAGAAGTCAAACAAAGATAAAGTTCAGTGTTAAGGGTTAAAAACATATATTTTTCAAAGATTTTTTGAAGGGCATTTCTTTTGTAATTTGTAAGTTTATAAAATAGCTACAAGTACCAACACCCCTTAAAATCGTAATACATAAACAGCCCCAATATTCTCCAGTTAAATGGTTAGTTAATACAACAAATACACAGACAACATATATAAGACATACAACTAATATAATCCAAGTTACATACACACAGTTACAAATTAAACATACATCACCAAATACTTTTATAGAGAAAGAGAGAGTAGATTCCATCACCAAGTTATTCGAAATTGTGGGAAGTATTTAACTACGTTTTGTTTTTAGTACCTTTGTGTTTTAATGCGTTCCGCATTTGTGGTTTGCCTTTTTGCCATTGTGTTTGTGGATCGACTCCTGCCAGCGAACTCGTGTTTGTGTTTGTGCTTAATAATATTATTTTTTTTTTGGGTGTATAATAACATTTGGGTGCTACACAAGTCTACGTGCAAATGTAACGCCTTCTTATGTAAATTACAAAAAAAATGGTGAATGTAAGGTGTTTTGGAATTGGTTAATTAAAAGATTATTTTTTCTTCGTTAAGGAGTGTGTATACGTTGATTATTTCAATAAATTTTCGCCACAAAACCATTTAATCTTATTTTTGGGGCAGATCTTATAGGTATTTTTTTAAAGCATTCGACATAGGAATATCTCTTTAGGTTTCAATTTCGATTTGAAGTAGATGTCATGTGCGGTGTGTTTTATACACAATTTCGTTCATTGCAATTAAGTCCCGTAGTTGTCTCGATTAAATTCGAATATATGAAGAATTGTTTCGATATTTCGATTACATTTCGATTACATTTCGATTTTTGGTGTGGCTCCAAAAACTTTTCAGACTTCAACGTTGATCTGGTCCAATAAAACGGATCGTGGGATTCCAGTTGCTTAATAAATACGTTGATAAATACGATAACTAATATCCGCTCTACACACACACATAGGTCTACATCTTTGGAGGTTATATATATGCGAGTATATAGGTTATGTACAAGTTAGATACAAAACGGGTGAGTGATCAACCCACTTAGCACCTTCGACTGGGATGCGGTGGCAGGAGGGGTCGATTCTGGCCAGGATCCCCGTTGCGAGGATACTTACTCATGGCATTTATCGGCTCCGAGTACGTGTACTCCTCCGTGTGCGCCGGCGACGAGTACTCGCCGCAGATGAGCAGCTGCTGATCGGGCTCCTGGTAGATGGGCTCCTCCTCGTTTCCGCCATGCGAACTGGGACTCGGACTTGGGGCACTGGGCAGCGGTACGGGATTCGGACCACCGCCGTACATCTCGCCAACGGGACGGGTGCTCCCGTTGCACTGGGAAATGTGCTGGAGCAGCAGAGCCTCGATCCTCGATGACTTGTGCTGCATGTTGCCCAGAACGCATAAGGTCTTATTGTAGCACTCCCGCTGACTCGGTGATCCATTGATCAGCTTGAGGACACCCTTTCGGGTGGCATCTCCTTCGGCGAGTTCCATGGCCAGCGAACGCAACTGATCGCGCATCTCATCCGACATTTGGCATTTGTCGGTTTGGCTTTTGGCGCCGGCGGTGCCGCCACTTCGCAGGCACTTGACCAACAAGCCAAAGATGATGACCAGCCCGACGGTGCCCACCGCAATCATCAAAGCTATCTCGGTGATGGGATATTTGCCCGTACCGCTCAGCTGATCGCTGGCCAGCCGGGTTACCCACTGACCGGCGATGCAATGGCGTGTGGCATTCGTGCCACATGCCTCGTTCACAAACCGTCGCACATCCGTGCTGGTGGCATTTAAGCAGCCTCGGTGATCCTCCGCCACCCGGCACATCACCTCCGATTCGAGATCGTGATCGGTGAGTGAAGTTAGCCAGGATTTCTGGCACGAACATTCGCGACCAACGCGCACTTGGTGAACGCGACACGTGAAGTTTAGGCTACCCGCCAGCGGATTGTGCAGGTAATTGTTACGGAAACTGCAATTGGCGGAACCAATATTCAGTTCACACTGGCCGTAGTCCTCGAAGCTGTTGTTCTCGATCTCGACATGGTCCGCCTGGCTAACACTCAGCCAATTTGGTTCCACGCGGCCAATTGAGTTGTTGCGAATGCACAAATCCACGGCGGCGATCTGAATGCCATTCGAACGGATGGTGGCGATTCTAAGGGAGATAGAGTGTCAGATTAGATGAACAGGATTTAAAAGAGAGTACAAAATATAAACCCACTTGTTGCCATCCAGAGTCATGGTGGTTATGCCGCTCTGGCTGATCGCCTGACCCTCAATCGTTCCAATCACTGTGTCTCGAATGGCAACCGAATCGCTGTGGAGTTTGTTGGTCAGCGCCTGGGACTCGATCACCAGGATCTTGCAGTCCTCGATCACCAGCTCTCGGATGCTGGTCACGTCGAAGGTGTGGCTCGTTATGTACTGGATGCTGCAGCGCAGGAACATCACCTTGCCCATGGAAACCCCAAAGCTGTTTAGTTCCTTGAACGTCGAGTCCTCCACGCGGAGCTGCAAAGTCGAATAAAAAATAATTAATATCACAATATCATTTGTAAACACAATAGTATTCACTAGTGGAACAAAATTCAAAGTTAAAATTTCATGAGGGGTTAATCAACACGTTTGAAATTAACTAGACAAAGTTTTTTACATTTGTGTCAAAAATAAATAGTAGTTAACATATGTAAAAAAGATGTTCAATGTAAAAAACAGAAAGTTTCTTTTGTAACCAACATTTTTTACATATGCGCCTTACTGTTTCTAACACACATGACCAATTTCTTGATTTACTTACAATTAAAACATTAAATATTAATAAATATTTCGAAATCACTTACGTTTATGCGATATGTGGCACCCTCGGGATTAAAGGCGTTCTTCATCAGATCCAAGTTCTTTATCCTCTTGAGAGAGCAAACCAGTTTGTTCATTTGAAAGGCGTTGGGGAACACCGTCAGTTGATCCACGTCCTCCACCAGCAATTTGTAATCCGCACCTGTTAGTGGAATAAAATTGTTTGAACTTCCTCTCGAAATTTGGTTGAATATTTGAACTTACCTGTCAGGAATTTCTCGCGAAGGAAAACCGTGGACATGTTTCTAATGTCGATGCTGGGGAGGCCACCTTTGTTGTGTAGAAATGCATTGCTTGTGATCTCCACCTGATCGTTGCTATTCACTCCGATAACGCCAAAGTTGTTCACTTGATTTCCCTTGGAAAAGAAGTTCTCCTGCATCACAAATTTGGTGCCAGCCATCAATCGCACCTCAATATTCTTGATGTTCAGCGGCACCGTGTATTTATCGTTGAATACTGTCGACAGCTGCTTGGGAAAACAAAAAAATAGGGAAGTCAGATAAGAAATCGTTCGTAAAAACCTTTTTAAAAGAATTACCGGATTTCTTAAGATAGGAAAATCACTCTGGTAAATAATCGTACATTGAAAAAAAAAACCTTTTTGATATAACTACTGGATTTGCGAGATAAGAAAAACATTCTGGTAACTAATCGTAATTGCAGTAGACAATACTGTATAACAAAATAAAGGAGATGGTATATAAAGTAGGAAAAATTTAATAAATCCTGACAAATTGTATACCCATATTTGTGGTTTTTTCCACAAAAAAATGTAGTTTTTAGTTATAGAAAATAGATTGATAGATGATTTTGCTGCTTATTAAATACAAGTGTTCTGGATTTTTTTTTGAATTTCCATGCGACGTACAAGCTAATTTCAAATAAGAAAATAAGAGCAATTTGCATTGATGTGTGGATTTGAAGAAATGTACATAAATCAAGTATTTAGCACTTCTTTGGGCACAAATGACTCAGAAATTCATAGGCTGTTAAGCATTTGTTATTTTTTTTTCCGTTTGTGAGAGGGAAACTGGGAGTTGCAAGTGTCTGGCCCGCAGTTGCAATCCCTTTTTATTTTATTATTATTTTCTTTGCTTCGATGTTGCTGCTGCTGAAGTGAAGTTGCTGTTGCCGGGGGGCTGTGACGCTTGACTTACATTTCTTGCGGTCTGTATCCCTCACTCTTGTGTTATTTTTAAACGCAGTGTCTGCGACAACAACAATGGGACCTGCAACAGCAGCAGCAGCAACAGCAACAACAACAACAACAGCAGCAACAACAGCAACAGCAGCAATACAAACAGCAGAAGCAGCAGCAACATCAGGCGACAACAACGGCAACTTGACCGCAACGTTCATTGCTCCATTGAAGAACCCCAACTGGAACTCGAACTCAAACTCGAACCATCACCCGAGGGTGCAATTTTCTCATTAAATTAAGTGAAAATAGTTGCGAGCCCAAAGTGCTGGCGGTGACGAGATGTCGCTAATGACGCTGATGATCTTGTTGTTGATCACGTTCAAGTGCCCAAGATCTTCCTCATTGCGTTAATGAATCCCGATTACCGTGGCCCTTACTGAATCAAAACTAAAGCTCATTTAGGGATACCAACATTAACCAGGGATTTCTGATAAAAAAGGAACACAGAAATATATATAGAAAAATAAACTACAACGCATTTGGGAATACCAACAAACAGCATGGATTTCTGATAAAAAGCCCGATTTTTTAGGGTTCAAGAAACCCAGAAATATTTTATATAAGCAACAATTCTACTGATATTACATGTGAGTTTTCTTTAAGAAAGTTGCGAAAGTATTGTCGACTTAACCTTGCCACAATTTATTTACCATACTATCATCCGCAATATTGATGAATCGGCTTTTTGTTAGTCGCTTTAAAGCAGATTGTTTGCTTTTCGACGGCGTGTTATGTCTGGCTGTTAGATTTCAATTCTGTTTGATTTGTAACTGAATCACACTCCTGATTCACGCTGCCCAGTTTCGATATTCCAATAATTATCTCCAAGAAATTGCAATAATATTACTGATAACTGCTGCAGAAAATTCCGTTTATGCTGCAATTGCAAAAACTGGTGAAATACTTGAAACAAAGAAAGCGACCAAAAGGTCACTTAAAAAAATACATATAAAATTAAAAACTGTAAAGCACAGCAAAAAAAAAAAATAATAATAATAAAAATAAAAATCTATAACGAAGTTTTATCAATGAAATCTAGTCAATGAATTGATTTTGTTGTGTGTATTTATGAATAGAAAAATTAAACTGACATTCTCTGGAGTTTTGTTTAATTGCTTATCAATACGTTCCATCTTCAAGGGCATTTAAGTATATTTTTCAGTGCCAAGTGTGTCTTTTCTTTAGTTTAAGTTTGCTTTATTATAATATATACCTCCATTTTTTCTTTTGGTTAATCGCCAGTGTCGCCCTTTGTGGGTGCGAGTACCATCATAATTTGTACGTGCCGTTCGGTCATATTTTTTACAAAATTAGAGTTAATTTTTTAATCCAACATTTGGGAACAATTTACATACTTCTTCATAAAATTTTTTTTAGACAAAGATATATGTGCTGTAACTGACATTTCTATAGTTTCCAAAAAACGTATTATTCAACAAAATTGTTAGCTATTTTGTTTAATAGTTCCATTAAACCTCTATAAATTGTTTCTTTATTGTTCTTATTAAAAAGAGCTATAAACACACAAATAAAACTTGAAAACTGTCTTGTTTATAATGTTTCAAAGATTTTTATCCGAGCTTTTATAACAAAAGAGGTCTCAAATTGATTAACCACTGTCAAAAAGAGTGTTGGACCTTCGGCTTTTCCGTTTTGCAGTCGGCTTTAATGAAATTTGTCATTTGTGTCGTCTTCGCAGTTGCCATAATGGTGGTAAGAAGAAGAAGAGGAGGAGTAAAGTGGCAAACTGGGGAGGGTGGCATTGTAATTGTAATTATAATGCACGGCCCGATCCGAAAGTCTGGCCACCTGCTCTTTCGTCTGGCCTCGTTGGCGGGTTCAATGTCTCTGGATCCGAACCTGAATCATGAATCTGGATCTTGGAGCCACAGCTGCATTAGCCTTATCCCTCTTTCCCGTTGGCTTCTTGATTTTGTTTTGCTTGCCGAGATTTCTGGTCTTCCAAGATTTTGCTCTCTTGATTTGTTTTTCTTTTTTTCGTTATTATTTTTTGCCCTCTTCCGGCCTCCCTTTTTATTTTCTCGGTTTTCTCGGTCTTCTCGGTCTGTTTGTTACACGCCTTTGGGCGCAATTTCTTTCAATTGCTCCAGTTTCTCGCTCTTTTCTCCTCCTAAAGAGGAAGTCTCAATTACGTGTGAGTTTTAATTTGCTTGTTTGTCTGACAGACAGTTTTTCCGCCCCCTTTCCACCCACATTTCCCCTCCTGTTTTCCCCACCCATTTCCCCGGGCTTTCCCTCCCATTCCTCCTTCATTTGGTTTCAAGTTTATGGGAACCATCAGTCGACAAGAAAAAACAAACAAAGTTGTGGCCTAAACGTCTGAAAAGTTTATGAAGTTCCATCTCGTCAGCCGGCGTCAATATATCTTCACAGATATATATATATATATATATATATATATATATATTTATATTATATATGCATACATAAGTGGCTTTTATAAAATGAAAAATATTATCAAACATGAGTCATGCATTTCATATAAATATACAAAAAACTGCTAACAAAATTGTGTTTATTGCATTTTTTTTTAATTTGGGTACGGTTAGATTAAGTGATAAATATTAAATAAATATAATGAAACAGAAATGATGAAGATTAACATAACTGAGATCATTTTAACTTATGACTTATAAATTAAGTCTTTTGAGTTTTGCATTTCTGGAATCAGAATTGGGAACTCAAATTGGTTACAACTATTTTTTCCATGTGTAGATATGGGTTATATATTGAGATCCAGGCTCTATATATAGAAAGTCTCACTCACTTCGGATCACCAAAGTGATCTCTGTGCGCTTTTCTCCAAAAGATTCCGCTCACGGTTTTCACATTTTCCGGGCATTTCTTCAACGGCGACAACTTTAAGCGATATATTTTTGGAACGAAATCATATAGTATGGAGTATGGCGGAAGGATGGATGGTCGGGGGGCGGGAAGGCGTAGGGGGGCGTGGCAGACAAGCGGAAATAGCTGCAGTCGCCTGGCTGGAAGTGCCAAAACCAACAACAGAACATAAATAACCAAACAAAGCCAATTAAAAATAAATTATGATCCACCTCTCGCTTTCTTCGGTTTTTGGTATCTATAACTTTATTTTTTGTTGTTGTTCTTTTTTTGCTCTTGGGAAAATCTGGGAAGTGAAAGCCGAAATTTAAACGGCATGGTGATCACATGGCCGGAAAATGGGAAAAGGACTTTCCCAATCTATTTCTCACACACACATACAAAAAACGCACTGCGGCGAATGCATCTGGAATCGGCGCATAATCTGTATCTGCGAGATACAGATACAGAACCTCGACACGTTCGACTGGAAAATGAGTACGTGACTTGCTGGCTGAAAATTCCTCGTGGGTTCTGTTCAATCGTGATTATTAATACCCCGCAGATAAGCCATTCTGGATATATAATATATTCGAAGGCGTTTCAATGAGTCCAAATCACATTTCATTAACTTGCAGCACAAAACAGTTGTCGATAGATAAGAGCTATCTTTACGCTTGAGCAACAATCAACCGCCAAACCACTTTTCCTTTCTTTCTTGTAAGTTGGCCAATATTATCTCATTGTTTACAATGTGAATATTGTTATGACAAGGAGGGCTAGGAAAACCAGAAGTTTGCAATAAACCAACAGACTTCTGCACTGCGAAAATGTTTATGTGATCGATATTCGCACTAAAATATCAATTTGTATATAAACTGCATGGTTTTATGGAGATGAAAAGGGAAATTATACCACCAAACCGACAGCAAAATATTATGCCTTTAAGCAGAAATATGTTTTCATCTGTAAATAAAAATACAACAAAATCCGTTTCCTTTCGATTTGCAGAGTAAACTAACTTTGTTTATGGATGAATTCTTAGTTATTGCGGAAAGTACATGGAAGTTCATGTTGAAGATGTTCTATATATGTATGTTTATCGAATTGAATTTAGTGTGATATTAGTTCAATAAGTGAACCGATGTCTTGTGTTTATATGGTTTGCCTTTTATGGTTTACAAAATCCATATTTATGTACACACATCGCATGCAGATGTCTTGTAAATCTTTCCATTTCCATATCAGAGTGGAAAGCGGCGGATTACTTGGCTGACTGTGTGTTATATATACAATCGAAAGTTGTTTACCGATTAGCGGAATTATTGGCAAAATTAAAACGGAATGCGCATTTTCCAATCCCCTTGGAAACTCGATTTTTTTTTCAGACACCTCCTGGGGCGCTGTCTTCAGATATTTTCTACATTTTGTGGCATGCACACACTCACTCCTCTTCACTTTCCACCTCTTAGTCGCACTTTGTTGTTTTTACTGCTGCTTTTGTGGAACGAGCATTCAATTTGTGGCAATTGATGGATTTTTAGCAGCTCGCAGCCATAACATTTGGTCCCAAGTAGTTTAAGTAGCCATTTGAAATGGGAATTTAAGTAGGCGCATTCCACTAAAACAGAAACACTCGAAACACGCAAGTCCCCGCCTCCAGTTCCTTTTTTCCTTGCAGTGGGAAAAATGTTTACAATTTAACAAAAATAGTGATATATAATATATGTATATATTATATTTGAAGAATATTTAACTAAGTCAAATAACTTGAAATTGATTTGGAGTAAATTTACAAGAACACAAAGATAGTTATTATGATAATCATTAAAGCTTTACATAGCTTAGGTAGAAAATTTAATTCAAGGAAAACATATTTACAATACAACAAAAGTTAAATAACTTTAAATTAAGAATGTCCCATTAAAAAGTTAATACTATTTGCTTTAAATAATTCAGATTTTTTTCCAGTGAATCTCTTTTTCATTTGAGTGCTATATGATTGAATTGCTTTTGTTTTAAGCCCTCTCGTATTTTTTTCCGGTGTTCTCCAGCTGCCGACACTATATAAGAGGTCTTTTTGGCTTATTACTGTCAATCTATAGATTGCTGGGGGAACGGGTCGGAAAAGTGGGTGGAATGCATTTCCACTCGATTTTGTTCTCCATCCGTTTTCGGTTTTCATTTCGCTTTCTGTTTCGGTTTTCAGTTTTCAGTTTTCGGCATTTGGTTTTCTGTTTTCGATAGTCAAAAGTCTGTCCACTTTGCACATAGAAGAAAAACGAGCTGCTGGCCCACGCAGCAAATAAATAAAATTCTGTATCTACAAGATGACGACACATGCGTCGCACACACACACACACGCACACACACTCTCAATCACAAAGAAAAGATAAGCGGAGGGTGAAAGGGAAAGGAGGAGAAAGGCGGAGAAAGGAGGGGGAGGGGTTTGGGGGAAAAATTGTCACCCGCTTGGTCGACATCCGCTGGAAAAAGCATCTAAGTTCACTCAATTACTGAGGAAGTGCAGAATTCACAAGATACGAGTATGTGGTGCGTCTAATATCAAGGCGGAAAGATATTTTCGGTCAAAGCCAACAAACAGAGGTCTTATATCTTATAGATACTATATATACACATAAAAATATATATTCACGTATCTTCAAGAACACACAAGTTGAGTGTTCGGATTATTGATTGCTGATTTATGAAAATCTGTTCTCGGAACTGCAGTCTGATTTGTTTTATTTACATGTCATGTGATGATAAAAAGATGGAAGACCTTTTTAGATTCCATTTAAAGTAGATGTTTTAGTTTTACAGAAGCATTCATTTATTCCCAGTAATATAAATGACCTTGAATTTTTTCTTATCTGAACGGCTTTAAAGATTCTTTTTTCAATTTAAAATGTCAATTATAAAACTATGTGCATGCGACGGTATAGGCTATGTTTTCAAAAAACATAAAGTTATTGTCCAGAAATTTAATTCTTATCTTTGCAGCTGCTTTTTTTTTTTAGGCATAGTCACAAAATATTTTATAGAAGGAAATGTTCAATTTTATAATATTTTTGACAATGTTAATTCTGATTATAAAAATAATTAATATAAAATGGGACTAGATTTGCTGGAAGATCATAAAAATAATTTTATAATCTTAATCCGGATTAGTCATTTTCTATATGGGACGTTTACCATTTTAGGGATTCAAATCTGTTGCGTTGCCTGATTATATCAAAATATATGCATATTCGATTCAGGAGAAATCAGATTCTCTGATCATAAATTCAGTTTGTAAGTCACTTGCACTTGCCGCTCTTTTTGTTTCAGAGAGAAAAGGCTGAGAGCAGCAACAAACACACACACACACATACGCACACACGCACACCTGACTCATTAGCATAACCTGTCGAACGGGTTGGTGGCCAAAAGAGAGGGAAGGGGGGTTACTACCTTATAGAGGGGGTGGGACGTGGAAAGAGGAAGAGGGAGCGGCGACGGCGCCGCCTTCTTTCGTTTTATTCTTTCATTCATTTTATTTTGCACGCAGCTCTGGGTTTTGTTTACATTCCGATTCGGCGTGCTATTAATCAAAAGTGCCCAGAACGCATTTCAAAACACCGAATTTTCCCCAATCCGGGGAAACGAAGGAAAACTATAATTTTCCAACAAACTCCAGGGTCAAAAAGTGAAGAACATTGAAACCATTAAAAGATTTAAATTCTTTTTGGTCAAGAACATTTATAGACTAATTTTTATTTTTTATATGCTTAATAACGTTCGATTGATAATTTTAAAACACCTTTAAAACACCTTAACACCTTTTTACGATATCAAACAATTTTCTGTTATTCTAAACTAGTTTGTCAATATATTAATAAAATCTATGCCTTGACTCACACAAATTCGGCGAATTAGATCAACTTTGGTTTATACGGATATGACTTATGACTGTCGAAACCTGATTCACGGATCTATTTATCATTCATTTTGGTAAATTGCGTTACATAAATTTAAAGTACTTGCAGCTAATTTCACAACCCATATGTATTTTTCATTTTCCATCGCTGGTCTGCACTAAATAAACAACTAAGCCAACAATTATCAGGGAAAAACAAAGTGACTCTTGATTTGTGTGCGTTTACTTATCGCCGCGACTGTCCGTCTGTCTCTTCTTCTTTATCAGCTCCTCCTCCTTCTCATCCAGCTTCTGTTTCTGCGCTTTTCTTTGTTCTATCCGCCTCTTTTGGTGCGTTTTATTTTGGTTTACTTTGGCAGTTAGCTGCCAAAAGCCTCCACACATGCGGAAAATGTGTGTGTGTACCCTGTACAGTAGTCACTCTAAGTCGCGATTTAGTCGGGATTTCAGAAACAATAACTCCCCTATAACTACAATAACTTTTATTGGATGTATAAACTATTAAACAAAACGTGACTGTGACTGCAAGTAGGTTCTCAATCCCTAACAAACACAAACTTTTGACTTTATCAATGATTACTCACTTTACTTACTCAATAAAAAACGTCATTTTGATTGTTAAAATGGAACCTTGGAAGAATAATTTACTATCACTAATTGATAAGTGAAAGGTTTTCTATAAAGTATTTGTTTAGAACTTATATTGGTGGAACACGAGTTAATCATGTTCTTATCATACATTTACAAATAAGAATCATATTGCTAGATTTTAACTAACCTGTTAGTTGCAAGTTATATCTTTGTTATATTATAAATAGTTCGTTATTATTAACCAATGCCCCTAAATGCAAAAAATAAAAGCCATTAAAGACTGCAATTATCGCTTGCAATGGTGTAAGTGTTCCAAATGCGAACATTTGCCCAACATTTGTTTTCCCAATCGCCATGTAATAAGGCCATTACGAAGCAATACTTTTCATATATGTATACTCGTACTAACTGCTGTGTATTGATGCTAATTCCATTAAATAATGTCACACACAAGGCAAATAAAAAGCCGTCAAACATTCGAAGTTTTCGCTAATTAGAAAAGCAAGGTTGAAGAATTTAGGAGTGCCCACACGACAAATTGTACATGTTTCAATGGGATCTTTGTTATTTTTCGTTCAATGCAAGTGTTTTCATTTTTAAGTTTTCAGTTTTCAGTTGCAAAAGCAACTGTCTTCGTTTGGAAAGATAAGACCGACCGACTACTTTTTATATGTATGTTTGATTGCTTAAAACATCGAAAGATGGACTTTGCACTAAGCTCCTTCCCTAGAAAATTCGGAACGCATTACAGACATTTAGAGCTTTTTTTTTGGATGTCTTAGCCGTGAGTTCGAAAATTCTAGTAACCTAGTACAAGCTTTCTTCTTGGCCAGTTTAGTTGCAGGTGCAGTTTAGTTGTTGTGGATCTCATGTTTAAATAATACGTGCTATCATAATGATAATGTATCTATATATATAAACATATTTTAGTCAAATGTAAATATTATATATTACTAGTTTGGTTAACATAATATACAAATTATTATTAGAAAGAAGAAGAAAATGTTGAACCCCAACAGGCTTTTACTACCATTTTGTATTACTATGATCTGGAATTGTTACTATTGAATTTAAAACATTCTTAATCCCAAGTTAAAATTCCTCTAATGATTTCTAATGTGAGCGAATAAATAAAAAAGTTATATCACATCATAGCAATCCTTTCCTAAATTGTCACGTATAAAACATAGAGTGTTGAAACGTCGTGCTGCCATGATAATACATATAGCGGCGAATCGATGACCAATTAAGTAATATTAAAAACCGCTTTTGTCTGGCTGCGGTTATATGAGTGGATACCCCCAAATCGAAACTCACCGTTTTGTTTTGCTTGAAGTCGCAGGTGGCCTTCGATTGCGAGCAGAAGCAGTGGCTGCATAGGTCCTCCCGATCTTCGCGGGGGGCGTGGTCCTGGCCCCCACTAATTTGCGAATGACCCCGGATAGGCAGGCGATCGTAGCGCTGCGGTGATGCGACTACAGCTTGATCCGATATCAAACTGCCGACAATGAGAAGGGTCAAAGTTATCCATTCCGAATTCATTGTGCTTGTGCGCTTGGATCTCGGATCTCGTTCACTTTTCTTCACTCTCTTTTGTTTTTTTGCTTTTTTTTTTTTTTTGGTTTTGCTTGTTTTATTGTATTACAATTTCGTTTTCGTTTTGGCAATGTATGGTGCTCAATTATAAGTGCAATTAAAATACGGTTTAGGGCACTCCGCACTATATATCCATTTACTGCCCCGTTTTTTTCTCGGCTGCGATCTTAGGGGCCGCACTTAAACACATATTAATGCGGCTCTTCGTCATCCGCAGAAATATTTTAGAATAAAACAATAAGAAAAAAAAGAACAACAAAAAAATACAACAAAAAAAAAAATCCGCTGCGAGTCTCGACTGAAGAGAAAATTAATTATAAACAATTTCGGCACGCCCAACTTGTTGCTCACTCGCTGACGGTTTGTTCGCAACTGAAACTTGGTCCGATCGCAGCGCTCCGGGTTCTCTCGGGTCTATATACCACATAGAGTGGGTTCGTCAGCGCATGCACACTACACCGCGACGATCGTTCATGTGATTGTGGGACTCTCTTAATAAAATACACCCGGCAGTACTATTCATTATTATTTTACTGAACATGGGTTTAAAAAATTTGTATTATGATTACAAAAATAATAAACACTCGTGATTAAACTAACTCATAACTGTTAGCAATCGTATTAAAATAAGAATTGATAGGTTTTTTTCCTATTTACAAAGAGCTAAATTAAATATTTTTATGCTTTCCGAAATTAAAATAGATTTTAAAAATTTTAAATATCTAAATCTTTAAAGATAACAATTTTTCGATGATAAATCTAAGGGCATAAGTATCTTTGAATGGAGTTTACCAAACATATAACGTTATATCGGAATGATGAAAGTGGAATAGTTTCGCTCAGTGTATTCCGCTCCCTCGTTCTCTTTTTTTCTTTGTATCTCGTAGACCTCCTCACAGCTGATCTCCGTTGCTCTTCGGCGGGGCTTTTCGATAAATTAAATCAGCTGAACCGCTTTTTATTTCCTTTCGTGATGGGTCTATACATATGAAAGAAGAAGAGAACCGGAGAAAATAAACCAGACAAGGAGGAAGAACAAGAGCATATGATGAGATCCACTTTAAGTCCCCCTTTATTGGGATCTTTTGTCATATTAGTGTAACCTCTCTGCGAGGGAATTCAACTTTTAAGAATGTAACTAGTTTCACTTCGTGTAGAAGATAATAACCCCAAGTTTATGATAATTACCAACTCAGGCGAAAACCCTATTTGTTGTTAGTTAATTCTAAGCCGAAGAATTGTTTTTGCTACTGCCAATTATATGTATTTCAAAGAACTAGTTGACAAACTTTATAGTCAGACTTTATTCGGATTAATGTTGTCTAAAAAATGTATTTTATTTTATTTATTTTCAAGAAAATATATTATATAAATTGCAAATTGTTTTTGGGCTTAACATTAGGATTTATAACATAATTACATACGATTAAATGTTAAAACTAAAAGTCTTTCAAAACATTGCTTTAGAAATATTGAAACAATTTGTAAAGATATGCCTAAAGATCTATTTTAGCCAGAAATATTGTGCCTAAGATCGTGAGAAGGTAATTGGAGGATAGCTCGATATATTTAATTGTAGCCATTAGAAAGAGAAGGAGTATACGTCTCTCTTACTCGCACGTTGCCACAAATCAATTTGCGTTCAATTTGGGAGGCAAACGGAAAGCGGAAGTTGCACCGCTCCAACCAGCAGGCGAAAAAGAGATGGAAACCTGCTGCGGGAAAGAGACAGAGGATCATTCCGGGTGGGACGCCGAGATATACGGGTTCCCCACCCCAAACTACTCAATTATTACGTCGTTGGATCGGTGATTTCTGTCGGCGTTTCGGATCACGTCATGATATTTTCGTTTACTAAACCTCCCCGATTTCCCGAATGATACGAAAATGGGTGTCAATGGAATACGGCCTTACAACGGGGGTGTGCCACAAGCATCCCTAAAGATTTTTAAGTGAAACCACTTACCAATTCACTTTGAGCCCAACATTTCGCTTCAATTATTTTGGATCAATAAAATACCCATATCGTTTGACCATAAATCGTCATTAGGCTTATAAAATATTAATAATGCTTGAAATTCAAACAAATAGTGTAATATATTATTAGTTATGATGCCTTTTACTTGATGGCATCCTGAAACTGATTTAAATTTCTATTAAACGAAGCCTCTGTTACTTATTATTATTACTAGTACAAAAAATATTATTACATAGTATTATTCATTTTTTTGGGGTTTCTGCCTTTTCCTAGAGTTGAGTGAGCGATAAAGAAATTGACGAATGTCATCCACATGGGCTGTCATTGTTTTTCTCTTGCTCTATCTATATATCTGTCTGTCTCTTTCGCCGTCTGCTTCTATCCCCTTTTCTTTGTTGCTGTTGCTTTGCCCCTTTGGCCAAGTCAACTCTTCCGCATTTTGTGGCACGATAAAAACTGAATTGAATGAATGAATGAACGATTACATTGCCGCAATAGGGAGCACACACGTCTTCCCGTTGTCCCCCTCTCACTCACTCCCCCGCCTTCCCCCGTATAGGTCTGTCCCCCTCTAACAGTGCAACTCCAGTTGGGAGCCCGCAACATGTTTCTCTGCGCTCCATTTCCATTTGCTCGAGGGAGTACACTCAACCAAATTTATTTACAGTACTTATTTGTAAAATATTACGAGGAAAAGTCCTTTACATATGGCACTCACAAAAAAGCAATTGGGAATTATAAGCTCGGCTTAAAAGTTTAACAGTATTTCAATATATATTCAATTATTATTCTTAGTGTATTATGAAGTTGGAAAGGGGGAATAGAGCGTTTTTTGGGGGGTAACGGGGTTTAATTGCAGTGGAAACGTGTTTCCCACAGGTAGCTCACGCACACACACGCACGCTAACTGACACACACACACGCACACACATGTGGCCACAGTTGGTTGCTGCCCTTTGTTGTTATTGTGAATGCCCCCTCTCCCCAATCGCCGGTTTTGTTTTGTTTTTGCTTTCGCCGTGAAGTGCAGGGTCGCCTCTATAAGGTGGAGTACTGGGGGCCCCCGCGACTGACATTATCATTTTCGTCGGAAAACTCCCCATAATTCCCATTCCCATTCCCCTTTTCCATTTCCATTTTCCATTTCGTTTGCATTTATTTGTTTGGTATTGTTTTATTTGCTTTTTATGTAAATAAAGTATGTGTGTGCACAGCTTTGTGTTTGTTTCGGTTTAATCCCCTCCTCCCATTAAATTTTCCCCCTAATGCGACCGTTACACATCCATTTCCCAAATCGAGTGGTTTGTCACGAGACAAGTCACCTGTTGATTATATTTATATATTTATGTACATCATATACATACATCGCTAATATTAAATATAGTACATAGCTAATATATAATCAAATTAAAATTAGTCAAATACGTATAAATACCATAACCAAAACCCTTTCTTATCTTTTAGCACGTTTGCATTTCTTTATCAACCAATGGAAACCATACGTCATTTTACAAAAACACTATCTCGAGAGTCTCGCGATGATAATGGTCATGGTTTTCATTCAGTACCCGGGCTCTATAAGACCTTTTATTTTCTCACACGTCACTGCATGTGCGTGCCTGTCCGTTTGTCCGTTGTCCTTATGTCCGTGAGTCCGTGGGTATGTGGGCTCAACCATTCACTCACACACGTGCACCGCCCGCTGCGCCAATACGTGCCCTTCGACCTCTTCGACGGTCTACCTCCACTTCCAGTCCTTCTCCCTACGTGCCACTCACCTCCTTCCGCCTTCCACGCAGGTCAATCCGGCGGTCCATCTTTGATGCTGTGCCTCTGATTGGATTGGATTGGAGTGCTTTGTATTGGGTGGGATCGGATCGGATCGGATTGGACTGGAATGGAAGGGAATGGATTTAAGTGCTCTGCGATTCTACCTGATCGCCCCGTGACCTTAACCATTAACCTTTTACCCGTGGAGAATATTTCAAAGTGAAGTTCTGACTGGGTTCTAATGTACAACGTACCTAAAAACCAATACAACATTATTAGCTCGAAAATATGTAGTTGTTCCATACAAATCATCACTATCCCAATCTTACCTGATCTGCAATTAAATATTTACAGCAGAATTAGCCATTCAGGGTGTAGGTCAATAATATAGTTATTAAAGGCCATGCTTCAAAATGATTTTATAAAGTCAAGAAAATTAAACAGAATTTAGTTGTATGGGACAAATTGAAATGAAAAAGTTTTTTATACCATTAACATATGAAAAGGCAATGCAATTTCGTGAAATTAAATATAAAACATAACTTTACAATATGTTATACTGCTGTTTAATTGGTTTTACTAATTCCAAACCTTTTTCATTGGCTTCTTCTATTGCAGATCCCAGTCGAATGAGCGTCAATTCCTGAAGGACTTCATCAGCGGGGCGCCAGGATCATCGGGCGCCCGTTTGGCTGCCTGGCTGCAACCAGAATCGCGTCTGGATCCCAATAAGTGAGTATATACTTAAACGAACAAATAATATTCAAACCAATTGAAGTTACTCGAATTTTTCATTCAAAATTTTAACGATTAAATAACTTAAAATTTGTATTGTTGGTTATCCGTTATATTGTTGTAATTTCATCTCAATTGGTACTGATTTTAATTTCAATTTAAATAATTTCTTATTAAATTCGTTATGTGTAACAGTTTAATTATAATATTGACATAATTCAGAATTTAACTTATTATTCAATTCTATTCCGCATAGATGTGAGCTGAACACGATCACGGAGCCGCTGCGGTACGGTTGGCCCTCCCAGGTGACGGTCACCATTCGGGACCAGTACGGCGATGCGGTTCTGGTGCCGGAGCTCAAGGTGGAGATCAAGGCGATACCCACGGGATCGGGTCCGAATGGCGGACCAGGAACGGGAACGGGAGTGGGAACGGGAACTGGAGCATCTGGAGCTGCGACAACTGCCGGAGTATCGGCACCCGGCCCGAATTTATGGATGCGCCGTGCCTCTGGAGATACCTGGGGATGGGGTGGAATGGCGCCACCACCGCGCCTCAATTACGAGCCCACCTCCAAGGAGAAGATGGTCTTCAAGGCCATCACGTTCATGAAGCCCTTCACCAACTACTCGTTCGAGGAGCTGCGCTACGCGAGTCCCGTGCAAACGCGCGTCACCGAACTCCTGAACGCCAAGGACATGGAGGATGGCACCTTCAGTGTCCAGTGGACGCCCAGTTCGGTGGGCGCCTACTGCCTGGCGGTGACCATCGATGGGATCCCGCTGGAGGAGGTCTACCGCGTCGACGTCAAGGAGGGCATCCTGCCGCCTCCAACCCAAAGGAGCAACGCCCAGCGGAGGCCGCAGGCGCCCAGCAAACTGCGACGCTTTCAGGTAGGCATCCAAATAATACACTGAAAACAATTAGCAGGCACTTAACTTTAACGTTCAAAAACATTTCAAGTATAGTAATGATTAAGTTATTATAGTACAATTTTTTTTTTTTCTAAACAAAATCGCAGGATATTTGCATTACTAGTTTTATTAGACTCTTAATTATTATGAAATAATAAATTATAAAAAAATTCCGTTTATCAAAATGACCTTTGCACCCTGGGCCATTCATCACTTTAGTACGATCATTGTGTTTTGCATTGGTTGGAAAATTGATAAAGAACATGAGGCAGCTAGAGAAAATCCTTATTACCTAATGACATTCATACATAAAAATATTAACTTTACACTGATATATTGCCCTATTATCTCCGCTTTTGATGGCGCTGCGAACCTTAACGTTTAAATGTATAACACATTATATCTAAGAGTACATACATAATATATTGAAGATAAGCTGTACTTCTCAGCTTCAAAAGTTCTTCGTTAATTAATGGTAAAATAAAACGCACTCTTTAAGTGAGTCAGGCGATATATAGTCGTTGTGGAAGATAATGTTGCACAAGTTGCTAAAAAAAACACCCAATGCCAGTCACGTAGGCAACACTAAACAAAAAACAGCACCAATAGGAGTTCACAGAGATAGGAGTTCTTGTTTTGAAAGCTGCTCAAAAAAATAAAGATATGAATCAAAATAAATTGGATCATCGGGAGGAGTCATTTCCGCGATTATCAATAACCAATAACCAACTTTACAGAACAGAGAATAAATTACAAAAGAAAGAGCACTTCCCTAATCAGTATTCCGTATTTCATTTTCCAGGCTCGTCACAGTGCAGGTCTGAGGATTCGATCGCATCCAACGCTGCAGTCGGAACAGGTGGGCGTGGTCCGAGTGGGCGGCGTTATCTCATTTATCGACGAAATCGAAAATGACGACGGCGTCTGGCTGAGATTATCGACGGAATCGATAAGGCAGCACTGCACGATGGGTTGGTATCCCACGGAGGCGTGGTGTCTGCAGTTCAACCAGCACCTGGCCAGGATGCTCCTCCAACCGGTGACCGACAAGGAGGTGAATCCCTCCTCCCGAAAAGGGGAAGTTCCCACGGAAGAGGAGGAGGAACCGCCGCCAATTAGTCCGCTGGCCAGTGGCGAAGCCAGTCCCGATCCGGAACCGGAACCCAGCCCGGTTCTCAGTCCGGCGAAGAGCAAGCATGGTCGCTTCCTGGCCGGCCATCAGTCCACCAATCCGTTTCTCTATCCCACCAAACATGTGGATCTCGCAGAGCGCGAAGCTCACGCGCAAGAGGAGCGGGAGAAGGCGGCGGCGCAGGAGGAGGAGGAGGAGGAGGAGGATGGGGAGGAGGAGCCAGCTGGCGGGGATGCCGATCAGCGGGAGCAGCCGGAACAGGAGGCTCTGCCCGCCGTGGAGCTCCTGCCCGCCCACATAGGTTCCGCCATTGCGGGCGTTGTGGGTGGTGGAGCCATCAAGTTGCAGGCGCTGCAAAAGTGGTTCAAAGGGGATGCCGTCGAGGGATCCCAACCACTTACTCCCTCCCATTCGCCTCCACTGGCTGGAGTTTCGGTTAGGGAACTAGTGAGAGCCATGGGCTGCCAGGATTCGCCACGCGGCAATGGCAATCGCAGCCAGGATCGAGCGGAGGAACCCGAGTTCAGTTTGGCCAGCATGAGGAGACCCAATTACTCCGCCAGTCAAACGGCGGCTCTTCTCTCGACCCCCAAGCACACGCCCAAAAGAAGTGCTGTCCTGCCAGCGGAAACGAGTGGCTTGGAGGATGACCTGAGTCTGCTGCAGATCACCACCACGACGACGAACCAGGGAGAGCAGCAGAGCGAGCTCCAGCTGGCCACCACTTCATCATCTTCCGCTTCGAAACGCAACACCATGGGTCCGATCAAGCGGGCAATGCCACCTTCCTTCGCGGAAAGCATTCGAGCTGTATTTGCGGCACTCCTCTGGCACGAAGGAGTCGTCCATGATGCGATGGCCTGTGCCAGTTTCCTCAAGTTCCATCCCGGATTGCCGAAGGAGGGGGCCACTGTGGTGACGAGGAGAGGGGAATCTGGAGATCCAAGGGTTCAACTGTCGCGGGAGCAGAAGGCACAGCAACGACATTCCGTGGAGGTGGCCAATGCTGGGAATTACCTGAACATCCGGCCATCCACGCTGGAAACGCTCACCAAGAGCGGCAATTGCTCGCTCCACAATCGCAGCAAGTATCGCAAGAATCTGCTGAGTGGCGGAGGAGGAGTGCTCAATTCTGGCGAGGATCCGAATCAAAAGCTGCAGGCTCTGCCGGAAATGGTGAGCGTGCTGCCGCCGGCTCTGCGGTGTCTCGTCTACTTGTGGGAGCAAATCTGCTCCGGTTGCGTGCAGATTGTCCAATCGAATGCGCTGGAGCAGAGGGAACCGCGATTGCTGTCCCCAGGGAGTCGGGATCTCAACGGAGATGCCGATGCCGAGGGCAAGGATGCCAAGTGCTCCGATCAGGGATCGGGATCCGGGGAGAAGGACCTTGGGAGGAAGTGCAAGCGCAAGAAGAAGGACGACGGCAGCTGGTGTGAGATCTGTGAGCTGTTCCTCCCGATGCCCGTCACCTACCACATGAGGATCGCCCATCCGGGATGCGGGAAATCCGCCAAGGGCAAGGGCTACAACTCGGTGGGCATCTTCTGCGAGGGATGGGCGGGCAACTGCGGTGAGGGAGGGAAGGGCGCCTCCTCCTGGTTCCTCATGTGCGATCCCTGCCGTGATCGGTATCTCGCCTCCTGCCGCAGCGCCAACAACATCAACAGCACCGCCCGCCAACTGGAATCCAGTGCCGCCGAAGGTGAGTTCTCAGTACTACTTATCATTACTCTATGCATTGGAAACAATTAAACCTTGATCTGAGCAACAGATTTTGAAAGTGCATAGCGTAAATTAACTAAAACCTTTATTAGTTTTTAAGCATTGGTTTCCTTTTAGGTGGTATGATATTTTCATGACCCCCTTTTCAAATTTCCATAAAAAATGGTTTTGCGGAAACTGATCAAATCCCAGTGCTTCTGAAACCACAACTTTCCAATTTCAATCCGATTTCAAAGTGCAATGCCTCTAAAAGTTTTTTATCACGCAAATTAAATGTTTTTTAGTTAAACAGATGTTATGAGATGTGTTTATTGTGTTTTAACTGGTGAAATGCATTAAATTAACAAACAAACAATCCTCCTGAATTGCAGGCAACGAACTGAACCTTTTTGGGGTGAAGTCCACCACGCTGATAGCCAATGCGGAGGTGTACACCACGATGCGCGAGAACGCCACCTTCCTGCTGGAGCTCTGTTCCAGTTCGAGCTCCGCATCCGGAGCAGCGGGCGGACTATCGGCGGCGGTCGGCAGCTCGAATCCGAAGAGGTCGCCGCAGCAGATGTCCGTGGTGGCCATGCCCGTGGTGATCGAGCACCAGCTGGGCAACTCCGATCTCAAGCCGAGCACCAGTCGCTGCAGCCGAATGGCCCGCCTGAGTGGCTCCAAGTTCTGTCCGGGAGTGGGAAGTGGAGCGTTCCGCAAGAGCTTCGTGGGCGGACCCCCAACGGCGCCGGAGAACGTTTGGCTGGCGCCGGAGAGCTTCGCTTGCTTGGAGTGCTTGGGAACCGCCGGTCACGAGGATCTGCCCTACGAAATGCTGGGACTGGGTCCCAATTCGAATGACAATGGATACGACAGGGTAAGTTCAAGATTGTATCAGGATTAGATCAAGATTAGATCAAGATTAGATCAAGATTAGATCAAGATCTGGGAGTATGCAAATGAAGAAATGCAGCTACAATGTTTTTTTTTGGTTTTGTTATTTCGGATTTGTTGTTTGTTCTTTTTAAAGGTTGATGATATTGCAAACTTAATGCTTACGACTTTTTTTTAGTTAGAAAAACTAAATGCTGATAATATTATTTGTTCATAAAAAAATAACAAACACTTTAAACGTATATTCAACTGCTATCATTTGTTTTTCGTTGCTATAGTTAAACCAATCTACAGGATGTTACCTTTATTTCATGTTATTCCTCTTTTTAATTGTATTTTGTATCGCCTTCGTTAACAGCCCCTTTCGGAGATCTCCTACGAGTCCTGCGAGCCGAACAACTACGAGCTGCTCTCCGGTTCGATGGCCCCAGGATCCACAGCCGCTGGCGGAGGACCGGGATCGGTGGGCGGCGGCAACCTCTCGAAGTTCCATCGCAGCTACTCGATGGGCCAGGGCTGGGCATCGCTGGCGCAGCACAACCACCCGCTGCAGCAGCAGCACCACCCGCTGCAGCAGCAGCAGCAGCAGCACAACCACCCGCAGCAGCAGCAGATGCACCTGCAACTGCAGCACCACCAGCAGCAGCCGCTGGATGCGGGTCAACCGAAGGTGGTCTACCGACGAAGGAACAACTCGACGAGCGAGGGCGACGGCTCCCTGCTCATCTGCTATCCATCGGAGCACCTGCGTCGCCTGGTGCCGCACAAGCTGTTGGCCAGCGTCTCTGTGATGCAATCGGGCGGCGGTGAGGGAACCAGCAAGGATCACTCATCGGGAGCGTTGCGAATGGATCAGTCGGCGGGTCAGAGTGGAGGAGGTAGTCTCCTGCTCGCTCGTCCTGCCATGGCCTTCATCACCCAGAAACACGAACTGGATCGATTGAGAGCGGCGATGAGGAGGAGCTTGAGGATCGCCGCCTGCAGGATTTATGCCTTGCAGGCGCTCAATTGGCTGCTGAGGAGCGTCACCCAGGGCGTTTGTCTGCACGACCTGATGTGGTGGTTCGTCAGCTCACTGACCGCCAGTGGAGCAGGGCATCCGCATGAGGGACGGACCACCGAGGAGGTAATGGAACCGGCACTGGAGCACCCGGTGGCCTACACCCAAATCAGTGGCCGGTTCGCCCACCTCATCACGCAATCCCTGCACGTTCTCCTGCAATCGGTGGCCGATCTCACGCTCCATCTGCCACTGGGATCCCCGTTGCAGCGGGTGGCGATCCAGTGCTTCGGTATAAGGTTCCGCCAGGCGGACCACCAGTTCCTCCACAGTTCGCACGTCTTTGGGAACATCTCGAAGATCCTGTCCAAGTCGGACGAGCAGAACGATGCGATGGCCGTGTCGACGATGCTGAAGCCGGACTGCGATGCCGAGCACAACCAGGTGCAGCCAGTTGCCACGGGAGGATCGGGAGCGGGAGCGGGAGCGGGAGCTCGGCTCCTCTGCTACGCCGATCTGGCCGGGATGTTCGAGGTCACCGTTTCATCGCGTCCAGCGATGGCCGAATCCCTCACGGACAACTCAACGGAAACGTTTTGGGAGAGCGACGAGGAGGATCGCAACAAGTGCAAGATCATCGAGTTGTCGCTCACCAAGTTGAACTACGCCTGCCGCTATCTTCTGGTTCACATCGACAACAGTCGAGACATTCAGGTGAGTAACTAACTCACAAATGGTTTGGAATACATCATCAATTAAGAGTGATTAAGATTTAGAAGTGTGTTCAATGTGGGTACAAAACTGCATTCCAAGTTAGTCTTAAAAGACAGTTACTAACTTCTAAATTTAATCATTTTTATTTGATTCCATTGTGGCATACCTCATTTTAAATGGAAGGTGGATTTCTTGAAGTGAGATTTTTCCAAGTTTCCGATGATAACAGAAAGGTGACCCAAAACTGCAGCTTTTCCGAGTTTCCCATGACATTACTTAACCAATTTGAATTCCAAGTTCAGAACAACATCTTACAATATTTTATTATTTATTTAACCATATTTACTTTCGATATACTTTCAGAACAAGGTGCTCAACGTGGTGTTCTATGCCGGTCAGTCGCTGGGCGACACGAACGTGATCAAGTCGGCGGACGTGGACCCGAAGGCCTGCTCCTGGATCTCGGCGAAGATCGGCGACGACAGCTGCACGCACTTCCGCCTGGAGCTGCATGGTCCGGAGAATACGCTCCGCGTGCGCCAGATCAAGTTATTGGGACTGCCAATCGGAGGAGGGTCGGTGGGTCAGGAGGATCCCTTGGACCACAGGCATCCGCCGCACTTGCGATTGAGTCACGCGTCGCGGATCCAACAGCAGATTTGCGAAGCGGAAACACTGAGGGTTTTCCGCCTGATCACGGGTCAGGTGTTTGGCAAGCTGATCAGCAATGTGAACGGGGATTTGGTGCCACCGGATTCGGCGGGCATTGGACCGCCGAGCGGTGGAGCGGCGAGTACCTCCCTCCTTGCCGATTCCCTCGATCTCAGGGAGCACATGGTGGGCATTCTGTTCTCGAGGAGCAAACTATCGCATCTGCAGAAACAGGTGATTGTGCACATTGTCCATGCGATTCGCAAGGAGGCGCAGCGAGCGAAGGAGGATTGGGAGTTGGCCAATCTGGCGCATGTGCTCAAACAGCCGCTGGAGCAGCAGCAATCTCAGCCAACTCCGGCCTCCGCCAGCAGTGAAGGTTCCCCGGAAAGGAGTCGAGCTCCGGATACCTACTGCTTCGAAATGCTCAGCATGGTTTTGGCTTTATCCGGAAGTGTCGTCGGTCGTTCGTATCTGTCGCAGCAACATGGCTTGCTACGCGATCTCCTGGGACTCCTGCACACCGGAAGCGATCGAGTGCAGCGACAGGTGACCGCCCTGCTGCGCAGGATTCTACCGGAAATATCACCCGAAAGCTTTGCCGAACTGTTGGGAGTACAGAGATTACCACCGGCGGATTATAGCATTGCTCATCAATCGGCCAGTGACTTCGATATGAGTCGCTTGGGTCTGCTGGATATTTTCCTGGCCGTGATTGCCAAGTCCCTGCAGTTGCAGATCAAGGTGAAGACCACGGCTGCCGCGGCGGGAGGATCATCTGGTTCGGGGGCTTCATCGGCGGCGGGAAGTGGAGCTGCCTTGAAGGCGGGCCAGCTGGAGAAGACGCCCGCCTTCGTGAGACTCTGCAGCTCGTTGGATCTGTCGGTGCAGCTGCTGAAGTCACGACCACCCACTGGGGAATCGGGATCCGCCGATCCCTTCCAGTTCGAGGCGGTGCCGCCGAGGAAGGAGTCGAAGAGGAATCTCAACCAGCGGTGGTTCCTCAACGGGGTGATCTCCACCAAGCAGGCGGAGAGCATTATTGGCTTAATCAGGGATCTAGCAAGTGTAAGTTGGAAATAAACAGAAAAATAAACCAAAGTTTATGGTTGAAAAACGGTTTTGAAATTTAACAAGTTAGGAGAAAATATTCGAATTACAAAAACTGGTTTATGATACTTTCTAAAACATTCTTAAGCCGTTTTGAATCTAAAACATTGAATTTGCTATTTATTTATTAGACTTTTAATTTACTTATTATTATATTATATTATATTATACAATTAATTATTCTGCAGGGCAAACTTAGTGAGAAGTGGTCGCAGATCACCAAGGCAGCGATTGCCGAGTCCGTTTTGAATCTAACTCGGTTGGAGGAGATCTACCGCTCGCCGGAGCACTGCACCAAAACCTCCACTTTGTGGCTGGCCTTGGCCAGCTTGTGTGTCCTGGACCGCGACCATGTGGAGAAGCTCTCCTCCGGCCAGTGGTCCAAGTTGTGCGACACGCGTCCACTGTGCAGCAATCACGATGACGGCGAAACGGCGGCCATCATTCAGTGCGAAACCTGCGGTTCCCTTTGCGGCGATTGCGATAGGTTCTTGCATCTGAATCGGAAAACCAGATCCCACAAGCGAACGGTGGGTTAACCTATAGATAAATAAATTAATACAATAAATAAATAATATAATAATCTGTTTTGTTCATCAGGTTTGCAAGGAGGAGGAGGAGGCCATTCGCGTGGAGCTTCACGAATCCTGTGGCCGCACGAAACTCTTTTGGTTGCTTGCCCTCGCGGATTCCAAGACCCTGAAGGCGATGGTGGAGTTCCGCGATGGCAGCCACACGATCATCTCGGGTCCGCAGGAGGCGGTGGGCAGATGCCGCTTCTGCGGCCTCACCGGCAACTCTGGACTGCTGGAGATTGGGAATGTGTGTGCAGATGCCCAGTGCCAGGAGTATGCGGCCAATTCGTGTCTAAAGACCAAGCCATGTGGCCATGCCTGTGGCGGCGTCACTGGCGAGAGGAAGTGCCTGCCCTGCCTGCAACACGTGTGCCACACAAGGGAGAACGAACTGGCAGAGGAGCTGAGGGATCCCAAGCTCACCCAGGATGCGGACGACATGTGCATGATCTGCTTCGTGGAGGCACTGTCCTGTGCTCCCTCCATACATGTAGGAATAATATTTACTCCCTTAGGAACTCTTTATAATGTTGGTGATCTTTTTAGCTGGAGTGCGGGCATGTGTTCCACTACCACTGCTGCAAGGCGGTGCTGGAGAAGCGCTGGAGCGGACCGCGCATCACCTTCGGCTTCTCCCTGTGTCCCATCTGCAAGGCGGACATCCAGCATCCCCTGCTGGCGGACATCCTAGAGCCGATCAACGGACTCAAGCAGGACGTCAAGCGCAAGGCGCTCATGCGGTGAGTTGGGAACTTCAAAATGAGCTAACGATAATAATAGGAAATAAGAGAAACCTATAAGGTCTATGAAATTTGATAAATTAACTAAATCGAAAAAGGGATGTACCCTATTATTTAATTGGTAATTCATTTATGAACTATTAAAAATATATTTTTAATTGAGAACTATTTACCTAAAAATGTAATATATAATATAATATTATATATAATATGCTTAACTTGCCCAAAATTCAAACATATTTAAAAAAGGTTTTAAAAACGATTAACTATAAAGTTTGTGTTAGGTTTTTATGACATTATTTATATCCATTATATTATGTTCGTAATAGTTTTCTATATATAATTAATGCTAATCCAATGTTCTTAAATCATTTCTAAAATTTGTTCTACGTTTATTTAATATAATAATATAATATTTCCAACCTATCTCTCAAACATTTAGTAATCCAACCAATCCCTTTTTGTTTTCCAGAATCAAGTACGAGGGCGTGGTGAAGGACACCGATAGCAAGGACGTGAACATGACCCAGCTGGCGATGGATCGGTACGCGTACTACGTGTGCTTCAAGTGCCAGAAGGCCTACTACGGCGGCGAGGCGCGCTGCGATGCGGAGATCGGCGAGAAGTTCGATCCGGAGGAGCTGGTCTGCGGCGGATGTTCGGATGTGGCGCGGGCACAGATGTGTCCGAAGCACGGCACCGATTTCCTGGAGTACAAGTGCCGCTACTGCTGCTCGGTGGCGGTGTTCTTCTGCTTCGGAACGACGCACTTCTGCGATACCTGCCACGATGACTTCCAGCGGTTGACCAACATACCCAAGGTCAAGTTGCCACAGTGTCCAGCGGGACCGAAGGCCAAACAGCTGTTGGGCGACGAGTGTCCGCTGCACGTGATGCATCCGCCCACCGGCGAGGAATTCGCCTTGGGATGCGGAGTCTGCCGCAATGCCCAGACATTTTAGCCACGCAAGGATCACGGATCAAGGTCCAATTACAAAAGGGACGCCCCTTCCGAATCAGAATCGGATGAAGATGACAATGATGATGATGATGATGATGAGGATCCGAAAGAGTGGTTGGGAACGTGGTCCCAATCGAGTGACTGGCGGACATATTTGTAGAGATTAAAAACAACCGAAAAAAAAAAACTAGACCCAGTACCCAAAACCAAAACCAAAAACCAAAAAACCCATGGAAGGATCAAACTTTCATTCCTCTAGACACTAATTCACACATCGGAATGGTTAAATGGAAAACGGATAGATATTTTCTAGGATAGCTGATATTTGAACGATGGATATTGGATTACAGATTAGCAAATAGCAAATAGCGTAAAGCATATATTTCACACACCCAGGCAATATTATTTTGTAACACTCGAAAATGAATCTCCCATTTCAAAGATCAAGAAAAAAAAAACACTCACTATTTATTTAATGTACAATTCGGAGTCGAGCGAGCGAGTGCGAGCGAGAGAGAAAAAGAGGGAGAGGGAGGGAGAGAGAGAAGATTCGAGTGCGGGAGAGAGAGCGCGAGAAGTGTGTACATAATCCTCCTGCTCCCTGACCTCTAGCCTCCGACCACCATGACCTCCTCCTGCCATTCTCCTGCACCTCCTCCTCTTCCTCCTTCTCCTCCACCTCCTCCTCCACCTCCTCACCCTCACTCCAACAAAGGCACATTATGCTACATTTATATATACTGCAAATAACTAAATTATATATATTTATTATGAATGCGACGAGCGGAAGGATGCAATAAAAATCAACTCTGAATGTACATTTTCTGTTTCGAATTTTGTATAAAGTAAGTAAGTACAATTATCCGAATTAAAAGATACTGCAAGCTGTTATCATCGTTTCAGAAAAGTCTAGGGTAACCCCCACAAAATTTTCGAAAAAATTCATTTTGCAAATTCATTTCCCATTGAGATAAAATGATTTTTGGCCATTTCATGCAGGTTTCCCTCAAAAATAAATGTGCAAAACAACAGCATACTTAAAAGGGCATCAAGTCTTTCAAGTATTATTTACATCATACTCACCATCTGTTCATATTTTTCCGAACAAAAAACAAAAGATTGGATGGAATTTTTTAAAAACATTTATGTATGTATTTCTCTTTTCTTTGTTTCTTTCATTTATTGTGTCTTAGCTTCTGTTCTGCGCTTTTTTAGCGGTTCTGAAAATTGCTTTCTTTGCTTCGCCGCTTTCTTAGTTTTTGGGTTCCCCATTTTCGATCGGTCCGGTTTTTAAGCCCAAAGATATGGGTGTATTTCCGGTCGGATGTTTCATTTTGGTTTTGTGTGTGTGTGTGTGTGTGAGTGAGTGTGGGTCGAATGCGGCAATAATCAAGTAACTATACACATTAACTGTAGGCATTAATCCAGCGATTCTCAAATAAATGTTACAACTATTTCTGTTATCGATTTCGCGGCTTGTCTCCTGGCATTTAATCAGTGGCCCAAGGACGAGTCCTAGCAAGCTTCAAATGGTATAAACTACCTATATATACATATATCGGTATATATGCACGTGTATATATATATATATATATTATGTGGGTGTATGTATATAACTGTAAATCTGCTCAGCAAAGCCGTGGCTTGATGTCTCTAAGTTTTTTTTTTTTTGGCGCCGTGGAACCAAAACTCAATTGATTTCAAACTGTTTTATACATGCTCGTATTAATTATGGTATTTTTTACTTGGAATGTTGCAATTGCAATATGTAGTATTTTTGCGTTTTTCTTTTTTAAATTTGTAGTTAATTGGTAATTTTGTTTCCTTTCTTTTTGCTTTGTTTCTTTTTGTTTGTTTGTTTGTTTGTAAATATATAAATAGGCAGCTTTTCGACTTTTAAAAACAAAGGGCGCGTGTACGAAAGAAGTTTCAGTTTTTGTTATTTTTTTTAAGGTATTTCATGTTTTCGGTATTTAAGCAACTATGCTTCTCAAATTGGTGGAAAATGTTTAACATTGCTTTATCGCGTTTGTTCTTGTTTCATCTTGTTGTTTGTAAAATTTTGGTTCTTTTTCGTCTAGAGTCTAGAGCATAATGCTAAATATTTTGGTTTAGTATTTTCAGTATCTTTAGTATGTTTGGTTTAGCCGTAATATTTTTTGGTTTTATTCTTTTATTTTATTTTTTAGCATTGCTGTGGGACTTACGTAATAAATGGAAAAACGAAAATGAGGCGCGTGTTTTTCTTGATTAAGGCTTTTTCTATCATTGTATAATGTATAGTTAAATTAATTTTGTTTTCACTTTGGGGCTGTGTAAACGGTATTCGTTAATTGAGTGTTGTGAGTTAATTTTGCTCTCATCTCTGGCTTGCATTAATTGTGTATATTCTTGAGTGTTTGTTTTAGTTTACTTTCATTTTGTTTTAAGTTGTTTAGAAAAAAATTCTGGCGTATAAAAGCTTAATTTTGATAGGTTGTTCTTGTTATCGTTCTAGGTGTAACTAGAGGTACACATATATATGTACATGTACATATCTATAATAATAATATGGTTTAATCAGTTTCTTTGGCGCCTCTCAGCGAATCTCCCATCAGACGGACCCAAATCGAATCGAACCGACCTTCAGTTGCCTACCTTCTGGCGATCTATATAAATATCAGACTGATCTGGCCCTTTTCTAGGCGAAATCGAAGGCCAGAACAGCATGAGTTCTGAGTTTCTCTATCTGGGATTCGAGACAAGGGTTTTTATTCGATTTATTATGTTTTGTTTTGTTTTGCCCGGTTGTATATACATGAGATATCCACATATATCCACACCCTCCCGTAAATTGTTCAATATAAATTTCGACTAAATTGCTCGCCCAGCTTGATCTAAAAATTGTAATTGCACCACTTTAGTTTCACGTTTTCGTTCGCTTTTAATGCTAACGCTAGATTTAGTTTTAGGTCTGAGTTGCTAGTTTTGCTGAATGCTGCTTGAGTTGGTTTAGTTACTTTAGGTTATATTTATAAGGCTCTGTGTAGTTGGGTCTAAAACACCCGAAAATAACACTAACGATGGGGGCTAAAGCGAGAGAGTGAGAGAGAGAGACAGAGAGAGAGAGAGATAGTGGGGATAGTGGGAGAGAGGGGTCAAACAATACGAGTACTAAGCTGCTATCGTATCAGTGCTATCGTATCTTTACCATATACATATGAGGACTATCGGTATCCCTTCCTTTTTTTCTCCAGCCTAGTGCGTCTTAGCTTTCCTTACTCAGTTGGTTTGCTGCCTAATCGCTATTAATTATATTATTTAGTTTATATATATGTTTAGGTATATTTGATTTATTGTTATAAAAAAAATTCCTATGTACAGTGAGCCCACTACATTCGTTAAACTTTCTACTAGAACTTAAGACCTAAACGTATGCAACAAATTGGTTTCTTCGCTATTCATTAACTTTTTGATTCTTGGTTGAGTATTGTGGAAATACGTATATGTATTAGGGTGAGTGTGACTGACTGACTGACTGACTGAGTGAGTGAGTGTTGGGTTTACTCAATTTTAATACCACTTGAATTGCTTTTGGTTTGACGGGGAGGAGCTGTCGCTCGATTTTGGGAATGGGAATCGAAAAAATCTACAACTAGAACTAAGTAACTTTCGCGGCGAGACCCGATTCCCCGATTAGTCCCACCCATCAATATCATTATCGATACCCCAAACTAAATAGGGAAGACAGTTCGTATGTACTTGTAGTCGTAGTCGTATTTACGGGGAACGGGTAACTCTGCCGACACTCTACTCTAGATATCCATAAGTATCAAATATCAAATAGCAATTATCAAATACCAACTAGGGAATCGAAAAAACGGTAACCGAACGAGATTCAAGTGGACTCCAACTGATGCGATGTCTCTGTCTTAAACGTAATGAAACCTTGCCTCAAAACTGTCCATCCATTATACTCGTACTCCCCAAATGTCCTTCTACCTAAACGTACTATATAACGCGATCCCGGTTTCCTAACTTTATCCTTCATTACTCCTTCGCTATAAACTATATGCCAAGTGCAAGCCTATCAAATGCCAGCATAAACAAATATCTAGTTTAATTCTTTTTTTTTTGTCGAAACTTTCAAATTGATTTAGCTAAATTTTATCACAAAATATGTGTATGTATGTGTGTGTGGGTGTGTGTGAGTGTGTTGGTGAGCGTGTAGTAACATATTTTGCTAAATTTTAATTCAAATATTTACAATGCCCAAAGAAATCATTTTGGATCCTTGCTTTTAACTACAGATTTGCTATTTGTTTTCTTTTTTTGGTTTTCAGTGTTTTTTTTTGGTTTTGAATCTAGTTTTTCGTTTTTGGTTTCTTAGGTCTGTCGATTGTCGTTTCGTTTAGCGGCCACATTTCTGCTGTTTCCATATCTTTTTGGTTTTCCTTACTTAAGCTTTACTGTTGCTGAGTTAACTATTTGGTTGAGTTGAGTTTTTTCGAGACTATAAGCCTACAATTAGGGAGCCAAGCGAGTGCGAGTGCCAGAGTGCTCAAGCCGAGTTTTCGTTAAGTTATTTAGATAGGACGGGTTATATCCATATATCTCTGAATCTGTATGTGTGTGTGTGTGACTCTATGTATTTACATTCTCCCAAAAGCTAGATTTTGTCGTTATCTGTGTGTGTGTGTGAGTGTATGTGGCATCCCTGTGGATCCTTTTCTAAAGTTAGGTTTTAGGCTATGTACAATTCACGGGCATTGTTTTTTTGTTTTTTGGTTTGTAAGCTTGTTTCTTCTGGGTTTTTGCCTCCTTTAGCAGTTATCACAAAATTATCCATATATACATACAGCTATATCTGTGTCTGTCAGTGTGTGTGTGAGTGTGTCCTGTGACCTTTACAACGTTTCTTTATGTATATACGTATGTATAGTTTATATAAAGGTAAATAATTGCAGTAAATGTAGCAAATTCGTAAGCAATATGCTTGCCTTAATCGTTATCATTTATCGGTATGGCTAAACGCTATCGTAATCATAATCATAATCATGTAACGGTTAAAGAGTATCGAATATCGAGTATCGAGCACTTCCATTCAGTGTGTGTGTTTGTGTGTGTGTATGTGTGTGTGTGAGAGAGAGAGGGATAGCATTAGGTTGAGATTTGTGTAGCGAAAAAGAAAGGTTTTCATCCAAAACTCCACTACAACGTATTTTCCCATACATTCTGAAAGAACTATAATTCTGAAAGATTTAAAAATTCGTATGGAATTCTACATTACATATTAAATAACAAATTGATTAATTCATTTTAAATTAGGAGTATACAGAATACCCATTTCCAGGAGCTTTAGAACATATCACTTTAGAAATAATTTTCGAGATCATATTTTAAATAATAATAAATTATAATATGGTGGCGATGCAGAAGAAAGTTAATTTTATATTCTACATTTTAAACAATTGGATCGCTTCAGCTACCATATATTTGCTAATTTTTTGCGGGAAAGCCTTTTATAATTTTGAGGATAAATACGTTGTAGAGGTTTTTCGAGAATCATGTGTTTTGAGTTGAGGTTACAGCTGTATCTTAAGTATATAGACTAACTAAGCGTAGGCGTAGGCTTGCGAGTGGGCGTGGCTGGGCCCCTACTCCCCCGTTATGTTTCTTTGTATCCTTTATGTTGCTCCTGTTACTCCTCCTTCTCCTGGCTGGAGTCCTTCTCCTCCTCGTCTCGCTCCCGAATCGTGGGCTACAGGAACTCTTGCAGTTTGCCTCGTCCGCTGCCCGTTGGCGTTGTTGTTGTTGTTGCTGTTGTGGCGGTGGTGCTGGTTGGCGTGCCACTACCACTGCCCGGAGGCGGTGTGGTGGGCGTGGCACCTGCTCCCGAACCCGATCCCGAACCGGAACCACCTCCTCCGCCGCCGCCCGTTGAAGTTGAAGGGAGTTGCGCCGCTTGGAAATCCTCCTCGAGCAATCGCAAATGGAGCAGCTCCGCCGCCGGCGTTGTGGGCGATTGATCAACGGCAGTTGGCGACTGCTGTTGCTGTTGCTGATCCGCTGACGCTGGCGCCGATGACGTCATGCCAGATCCGGTTACGCCCGCGGGAGCTGCGGTCGCGGTGCCGGCCGTCGAGGCGAGTGTCTGCTTAGGAGGCGCCGGTGCTTTCCTGCTCTTCGAGCGTCGCTTCTTGAGCATCAGCGGCCCCAGGCCGTTGCCTCCCGCGCTCGACACAACTGGTGCGCCCGGATTTAGCAGGCCAGCGCCACCAGCGACAGCTGTAGATCCCGCTACCATTCCAGATCCCATTCCCGATCCCCCTGGCGATGAAATGGTTATCACAGTGTCCACCGGACTCGTTGCCACCGATGTGCCAGCGGCAGCCTGTGTTGCTGTGGTTGCACCACCACCACCACCACTCGCACCGCATCCCGCACAGATCTCATCGCCGGGTGTCGTCTGGCCACTGCTGTTGTCCGGAGCGGTGCCACCTGCTCCCGCTGCCGCTCCACCCAGCCGCTTGACCAGTTCGCCCAGCAGATCCTCAATGCGTCCGATCCGCTGCTGCATTCGCTGCAGCTCCAGCCGCACATCCACCTTCATGTCCAGCACGGTGGCGATGAGATCACGCTGCGCCAACGTGGGCGGCGTCTCCCGGAGTCCCGTGTCGTAGGTATCCGAGGTGGTGGCCCTCGAGCTGGCCATCTCGATCTGGCGTTCCCGCTCCAAGGCGAGATTGCGATCCCCCTTGGCAACGACGGCCACAACAGCTCCACCGCCAGCCGTCGCCGATGATGATGAAGTGGTGGCCACTGGCTGTGGTCCGGTGGATCCACCACCTCCTCCTCCTCCAGCTCCTCCTGCCGCTGCTGATCCAGCTGCTCCTCCGCCGGCGGCACCTTCGATGACCACGCGACTATCCCGACTCGGTGGCGAGGAGTCCACCTCGCCGCCCTCGTCGATTGTGTCCTGGCGGGCCAGAGTCGCCTGACTCGCCTGCAGCTTGGGCGCCTTGGGAAAAACCTGGAGGTGACGTTTAATGGAACAATGGACGATGCGGATGCAAATGCGGGATTTTCAGGCGGGTTGTTGCATGGTTTTTTTTTTTTTTGGTTTTCGGTTTTTGGTTTTTGTTTTTAGTTGGCAGGGGAGAAAAGTGAGAAAAAGTGTTTGTTTGAGTTGGTTGTTTTTTGGTTCGGATTATCAGTTTGGTGGATTGATCGGTTGTTTGTTTGATTGATTGATTGGCGAGGCATTCATTTCGTTTGTTGTTGCAGTTGCAGGTTGGTAGTTTTTTTTTTGGTTTTTTGTTGCAGTTTGGCAGAGTGCATAGTGCATTGAATTTATTCCAATATTTTTTTCAAGTTGCATTTGTTGTGGTTTTTGTTTTTCCAATGAGGAACCAATTTTAAGTTGTTGTAGCAAGGCAGGCAATATTATTATTTCAATTTTTTGATTTTTGTGGCGAGATAAAGAGAGAAGTCAAAGGTAAACGGAAAAAGTAAAAGAAGAAGATCATATCAATTTGGTTGGGGATCATTGCAATATAAACAATCTAAAGGCGGTTTTGCGAGGTGTTTTTTCTTCTTTTTTTTTTGCTTTTTTTTTTAAGGACAGTGGACGTCGTGCGGGGCTCAAAGTTTCGGCATTGGGCGGGCACGATTACGGCTTATCGATAGGCATTACTCAATGATCGTAAGGATTTTCAAGCGCTTATTTACTAAAACTGCACACAGTAAAGCACAAATTTATAGTTAACATCTTTGATGAGTGATCGATTAGTAGCTTGGTGTGTTATAATTTGTAACGATTACCAATATACCTGCCCGCCCATTTGCCTATCGATCGTAAAACCGATAACAGTGAATCGTGTGCCAGAGTGGGACAGCCAACTAAAATAGCGGTTAAACAAACTAATTGTTCGTACACTTACTTTGCTTAATTGTAAATGCTATTCAATTCGATTGCACAATTGACAAAATGGTAAATACGAAATGATAATTGAGATAATAAACGCAAATTGATTGAGTAACCGCATTCGAAATCGATAGCAATATCGAGATCACGTAATCGGAAGTGAGAAGAGCAAACGAAAGGCAAAAAAAGGAGAGACAGTTATCATTAGATGGGAACCCAACAAACATGCATTTTAGCATTTTCTTTCGGGACATGTCTGTTTCGGTTTACTTTTGTAGTGAATGTTACCATGGTTATATGGCTGCTTGTTTTTTTTATCTAATAAGGTTACCTGATTTCTATTACTAAATTAACGAAATTTAAAAAAAAAATTTAGATGTTTTTTTTAACAAGCAGGCGTACAAACATGGTATCTGTAGCTAAGCTTGGTTTCTCTGACATACACCTATCTTTTTCAAAATTATTAAACAGATTCTTTAGCCTTCACATAATTTTGTGTGTTTTAAATGTTTTTTTGCGACTCATTTATTTTTAAGAGATATTGAAAGCAAGCTTTTTATGTCACATTTTTGGGACATTTTTAGCAGATCAGAACTGCATGTCAGAGGAAACAAGCTCTGAAGGAGATAAATATCAAATCAAAACGAATCAAATTGAGTTGAAATTTAGTAGCACAGATTCGGATGATCCTCATCCTTTCCTCCAAAATGTTTTTGGTGTGACCTCGTGTGTTTCTTTGATTGTGTGTGTTTTTGGCCCAGATCGCAGATCTTGGATCCCAGATGGTGGGTGGATCACCGATCACAGATCTCAGATCCGTTGGGGCTATTTGCGTATAATTACTTTGTTGCCTTGTCCACCATTGCTACTCGAAGTACTACTCTGCCGCGCTTGGGCGGTGCTCTCACGGAGGCTTTCGCGGGCGCTCAAACTTCTCGAGACGGCTACCTTGGCGCTGGTGTCGCTAGCTGAATCGACGCTTGAACTGCCCAGGAGGCGTCCCCACTTGCTTGCCCGTGTACTGCGCGCAGATGGTGGACCCGATGAGGGCGATGGGGATGGCGATGGCGAGGGCGCCGCGGCGGTGCTGAGGATGCGAGCGTCCTCGGTCAGTGTCAGTTTGGCTGGTAGCTTCTTGTATATGTTGTTGCATTTTTGGATTGTCGATTATATGGTTGGTTTTTTTTTTTTTTTTTCATTTTTAGCATGGGGCATTAATCGAGCATTTATCGAGCAAGCATTATATATATATATATATATATTATATATCAGGCGTTTTGCGATCAAAAATGGGGGAGAGAGAGAGAGAGAGAGAGAGAAGAAGAGAGAGAAAGTGTGGGGGGTTTTGGGGAAAAGCAAGGGGAAATTTTGATTCGGGTGTGGGGGGAAATAATACAGAATTTTCCGTTAGTAATTTTGTTTAAACGATTTCAATTGTAGTTTAGCCAAATTCACAACATAAACGAAAGGAATCAAAGATCAAGACAAAGCATTTACAAAGCGAAAGGTACAGTTGTGTCGTGGTGGATTTTGTGATATTGTTTTTTGGTGAGAATGGTTTGTTAGTCGTGAACAGTTATATGCATTATGCGTAAGCATGTTAAAGAAAGACAAAGACAAAGAAAGACATACAACGAGCATAAGTCACTTTTGTTTACAAGTTCATCGGTTCGATAAAAAAGAACATTAGTTAAGCAATACAACGGTTATTAACTACTGTAAACGGTTAACGGTAAGTTGGTGGGGGTGGCAATCGGTTGCCCCACCGGTCGTGTTTCAGTGCCCGGGTGTTTCGGTTCGCCTGGGGGCTTGGACTCTGGCTGGAGCTGTGATTGGTGGTTTGTGAGGCTGAGGCTTCGAAAGAAACGTTAGTTCGGTTAACGGTGAACAATGCGGCGGAAACGAATGGCAACGGAACGGGTTCGAACCGTGGTGATTTTGAGCCAACGGAAAAGGAACACAGATTTTTAACAGCAACGAAAAAGGATATAAAATACCTTCTGCGATTGTGCGATAAGATAGGTGGATACTTGGACATTTTTTCTATAATACAAACTGTTTTATTTTGCATTCTTGTACACTTTATTTATGATAACATTTTAGAATTTTGCATTTAAGCGTTTTTTATATTTTAGTTGGTTGATAAATCTTACAAGTAGTCTTAAATTCGAATGTTTTTTTTTTTTAATTTAAATGTTATTTTATCCAGATGGTTAGTTAAAGCTTATCGCACAATGACATAGAACAAACGCACATCGAACTACCCAATAAACACATTAAAGAAACGTGAAAATGGAACGATAAATAACAACAACGAAACACTGGAAACGGAACACGGAAAGCGGAATGCACAGCAACAGAGAGACAGAGACAGAGACACAGAGAGAGAGAGAGAGACCATACAGGGACATCCCAATCCCAAGGACTCACCTTAGTTCGCTCGACTTCGCCGTCGCCCTTCTCAACATCACTTTGCCCGGATCCGCCGACGAGCTCCTTACTGCCCGCCTGAACCTGCGGAGTCCGACGGAACTTGGAGAAGATCTTACGGACGAGATGATCCTGATTCTGGGGCAATTGCGGCTCGTTCTTACGCCGTTCGGCCAATTCTTTTTCGCGCTTCACATCGGCCACCTTGCGAAAAATCAGTCGATGTCTGAGATTGTAGGTGAGCACCAGATTGCGTGCAAAGCTATTCGCAAATGCCGAATAGAAATCGAGGACTTCGAGCAATTTATCACGTTTGATGGCATGCAAATCACAATAGGTCAGAGCACGCACATTAGCAGCGCTCTGGCCAACGGCCGAGTCCTTCCAGAATTGATCGCCGAAGACGTCTCCCTTGCCTGGAATAGCCAATTGTTCTCAGTGTGGAGTGTGGCTCGATAAGGAGCCGCAAAACTATATTCTTCACTTATTTGAATAACAAGTTTTGGTCAAAAATTGACTGCTATCGAAAAAATCGATGTCATACTATAAAAATATTTTGTTTACCTTAAAGAAAAGTTAAGGTAACGATGCAATTAAAAAAATATTATTTAACGGTTAATCAAATCACAATCATTATTATATACCACCGATTCTGCATGCATACAGAATCGAAATAATCGAAACGAATAGTTCTGCGGCTTTCGCTGGAGCAAATAGTGAAATAAGTTGGTAATCCGGTTAACTCACCCAATATTGCCACAACCTCGTCGTCTTGTATAACCTCCAGACTGCCGGTGACGATGAAACAGAGACTATCGATGCTCTCGCCGGTGTGATAGAGCAGATCCCCCGGCGCCGAGTGCGACATCATGAAGTGCATCGCCAGTGCCCGGAGACAACCATCCGAGGCCAGACGAAATGCCGGATGCTCGTTAAATACTTTGCGATTTAGATGAACACATATGTCAGCCTTCATATCTTTCGGACAATAGTTTAGTACCTGCGAATTGTGAACGAGTTGCGAGTGGCGGTTCGATAGGCTTCGATTCGATTCGCATCGAATCGAAGCGATTGCGATCGAGATTTTTGTTGATCGTTGATTTATCGGTATATCGGTAAATCTCATTTTAATGGCTTAATTGAAAATTGCGGACCACCACGGAGGTTTTCCACCCAGATTATCGAATCCTCTGAGCGGAATTCTTCAGCTCTAGTGGCTAACGGGACACGCACACACACGCACACATACACTAATACACATACAACATTGATCGAGTGTCAGTGTGTGTGTGTTGTCTGTTTTCCATTGTGTGTGTGGCTGTGACTATCTGTGTGTGTGAGTGTTGGTGGGGTTTTAGAGTGTTGAGTGCTATTTCCGATTTTACAGGGAAGTAACACCCCATTGGTTTTTGAGTTTCAAGGACAGGGATTTGGGGACTCTAATTGCGGCACAAACTACAGTCAACGAAATAGTTATAAAGGTCAGTTTCCTCGGCTTGGAACCGGTTGTAAACTCTGTTTCTGTCTTTGAACCAAACGAGGGTTTATACATGTATCATTTAAATTTTTGGCGCAAACGACCCCTGACTTTTGGGTTAATTAGGGTGGTGGTTATTTTTTTTTTGAATGCGGTTTCAAGGGGACGATGCGCCGTTTGGTTCAGGTTCATCTAAAGGCATGAATTTGACGGACGCTTTTCGTTTTGGCACGGATCTCGCTCGCGGGCAGACACATGGAGAGAATGGAGAGATAGATCATCGATTAGCTGGGTTCTGTCAAAGATGATTTCGTTAGATGTATAGAGCTTTTAAGGTGATTCCGCATTTTTTCATTTTTTCACTTTTTCGGTTTTCATTTCTTCTCGGCCACCCACAGCTTACCTCGGACCCTTTGCTTCTGATCCTTGATCTGTGGGTGGGTACTTGGACTCTATTTCTAGGGTTTTGATCTTAGGCCTAGGAATGCGAGTAGTTGCTTCAAAATAAAAGGAAAACAAAGCGCGAGAGCAGCGACCAAAGTATTTTGTCGGAGAGTTGAGGATAGAGAGATAGTACAGGTGTTGTGTGAGGTGTTTGTAGCTCGAAGCATGTACGAGTAGGTATGTGAGTGTGGCAAATGTGTTATATCTGTGTGTATCAAGCTGTACAATCAGCGAGCGTGAGTTGAGAAATATTCTATATTATGAAAAAGGACTGATAAATGAAGAACAAAATTTGAAATTGAATTTAATATAATTAAAAGTTTATTTTGCTTATTTATTAAATCAAAATATGTGGCTTGTTACAATGAATAAAATTTATAAAATATCATTAAAATAGTATCAAAGATTGTAAAGCGAGGGAAGCCTAATTAAAATATTTATTTGTAAAAACAATAACCAGTGATTAATAAACAGTTGAAGGTTAAGTAGCGAGTAACGAGTAGATGTAAAGAGTGGTGAGTAGCAATTGGCTGTTGATTGTATGTCATGTACGTGTGCGTATGCCGAGTGCATTAGAGATAGTGATAGGCTGAAGTGCGCCAAGCTCTATAGAAAAGCCAGCAATGTATGTACAAATGGAACACAGTTCCAGCGCATTGACGTAATACACAAAAGCATTGATAGATGAGACACATAAATGGGTAAATGTATCCTTATGCCGGCTGAATGAATGTACATATCTTTCACCTTAATTGATTCTGGAAGCTGATTGGCAAAGAAAACAGACTCAAAGGCGATAACGCCTCCCAGGAATTTCGTGGTCATGGCAGTCAGGAACTTACCTTCTCGGTGTCCAGACCCTTGGTCATGGCCCAAGTGGAGACGACATAGTCCATCACTCGCTCGCTGAGAGCCTTCGGTACCTCGTGCAGTTTCATGAACTCTCGCACGTTGTTCAGCATGTCGTGGTACTTGGCCGTGGCCGAGGTCATCTGCTGGATAATGGTGGTCACGTGGCCAAAGATCGTGGCATACAGCAGAGCTATATCATTCGAGGTTTGTATAGGATAGATAGAGAGAGAGAAAGAGAGAGACAGGTGATGAAACGAACATATTTAAGCGACGGTGGTGCACACAAAGTTGGAGTTCGTAGTTTTGGGGGTTCCACTCAAAGCAAACTTTACACGATCAGCTAGATAACACCTGAGATGTGTGAGAGTGCACAGAGAAAAAGTAGCCATATCTAAGAATTTTACTTGAAGCTCCTTTTTAATTAAATCAAATAAAAAATTATTTTACAACAAAATGAGAACTCCAAAGTATACAGATCCACAAATAAAATTACTTAGAACTTATGGTGATATTTTTTCTCTGCAAGTTTGTGAAGTGTGCTTGTGATGTGATGTGTGTGTGTGTGAAAGAGACAGTTATTGGGTGTGTGTTATCGGTATTCGCTGATACTACGCGCTGTGGAAGAAAAGACGCACAGGTGCGCGGCTAGAACAGTAATAAATGCCACAGAATGGACGAGCACACAGTAAGACAGAGACAAAGATGGATTTCTGTGGAAGCGAGATGGCGAGTGACATGAGCGAGATCCTGCACAGGACCAGCTAATCCGTAATATTATTATTATTTATTTTTTTGTGGAATGCTGATCGTGTGCAGTATGCTAAAGGCACTCTTGTTTGATATTGTATAGTACAGCAGAAAAAGTTACGCGTTACAAATGACGAGATACAGAAAAAGAGTCACCAAAATAGAATTGGCTGTCAACGAGTTATGAACAACGAGTTACTTTTGATGAGTAACGAGTTTCGTACAAAGAGTTACGATTACGGATCATGCGTTACGTTTACCGGTTTACGAATAACGAGTTACAAGTTACGAGTAACGAGTTACGGACAACGAGTAGAGAGAGGAATACGCAATGCAACTCACACATGGCGACGAATTGTGCAACTAGATGACGACGGAGCAGTAGAAGGGTGGAGAAAAAGACTTGAGACTTGGCTCTTGGCTGCGATCAATCAATGATTGACGATGTGTGGATGCGAGTGAGTTGCTTGGCTACTTGGACATGGACAAATGGACATGGGCTACGTATCGTAATGAGGCTCTACACCCAAGAAAAACTGGAGCGATTTATTAGTTCTAGCGGCGCAAGCGGATGGCCTAGCTTTCAAATGGAATCGGAATCGGTATCGGTATCGAAATCGAGATCGATCGGAACCGGAATTCAAAAGCGTGACGCGTGTGCGGGAATATCAAGAAACTTGGACGCGGCAACGGAACGTGTTAAGGACACAGCACCTGCAATGATCATCATGCAGATGGTGAACACCTTCTCGTTGTCTGTCTCCGCGGCGACATTGCCGAAGCCCACCTGTACCAAAGGAAAGCAATCAAACGGGGGGCGAAAACAAAGAGAGAACAATTCGGTAATTATTTATTTTCGCTGGAAAAGAAGACACACAAATCCATACCGAGGTCATGCAGGTCATGGTGAAGTACAGGGCCGTCACGTACATGCTTTTCCGTGACGGCCCATTAACCAATTCCGGCCCGGTGTCATTACTCCATATATACGAGTACGGCGACTGGGTGACATTCGCCAGCTTCCACAGCCAGCTGTATTGGATCTGGAAAAGGGATCGAAAAGAATTAACATCGCATAAAACTGTTGAGGATTTCAAAAGATTGGAATTGGTAAGTAAGGTTAAATAGGAGGTGTATTTCAACAAAAGTAATACTAAAACAATTAGATTACAATTACTAGATTTTGCCAACACCCAAAAGGGAAAAGCTTTTAAATAAATAAATAAATTATTTCATTAACAAATAATTAAAATTGATTTTTGTAACACCTTGAACTTGGCAATAAATATTATGAGTTAAATTCCTTATTGGTATGGAATTGGCTATTAAAGAATTACAGATTTTTATCGCTTTTTGCTTGTAGTTTGTGTTGGGTATTCCTTTTTGGATTTGATACTTTTTTTGATGATAGAATGCTGCCTCACCCCATTGTCCGCATCGCTGCGACCGATCGAATACCAGATGCAGGCCAGCCAGTGGGCCACCAGCATGTAGAAGCAGAGCAGCAGGATGAGCATGGCGGCTCCGTACTCGAGGTAGCGGTCCAGCTTTCGCACCACTCGCCCCAACCGCAGCAGGCGGACGACCTTGAGGGCACTGAACAGGGAACCGATGCCGTCCTCGTCCCGGTCGAACGCATTGAAGACGTCGTAGGGCAGGCAGCTGAGCAGGTCGATGATGAACCACGATTTCAGGTAGTTCATCCGGATGACCTTCGGATCGCTGACCACCTCGCCGCCAGGACCCACGAACGTTGTATGGAAGTTTAAAACTAGCCAAAAGATTTATTAATATACTATATTAAATTAATATATGGATTTTGGTTTAGCTTACCAATATCTATAAAGAATATAACATCGACTATTGAATCGACCACGAGCAGGGAAACATCCTCTGAGGTTTTATTTTTAAACGCTACATTGTATGGCACCTGTGCAAAAGAAAGTAATCGATAAATATTTTATTTTAATTAATTTAATTTCACATTTTAAGTGCAATAATTAAATATTTTTTTATAATATATTAATAAATCCTAATTATATTTTTTATCTTTAAATGAAATGGAAAGTAATGACAACGGTGCGTATGTTTAATAAACTGCCTTTTAAATTACTCATACGACCAGTAGTCCAGTAATGACAACGGTGCGTATGATTAATAAACTGTCTTTTAAATTACTCATACGACCAGTAGTCCAGACTTGTTTTGAAACCTAGTTTATTTTATGAGTCAAAACCACACAAGCCTGCATAAATATGCCAAATTTTATGTTCTTCTCTATGGCAACAGTTGGTTTTCAAGAAAATGCGAGTATCCATGTTTTTTTGTTTATTTTTAACTAAGAGAAGGAGAACCTCGGGGAAAGTAAAATGTGCCCGCCGTGACTTGTGCGAAACGAATGATCTGTCAGTCTATGAGCTCCAGGTGGAGCTCCTCCGGCTCTCCATTGCCGCGGCAACAGTTGGGGATTGCCGCCCCATTTGCTGCTGTCTTAACTGTTGCCCCAAGTGGCAGTTACAAGCCTCTTAACGTGGCTCGTCTTGTCCTGGTCGGAGGTTGGATTACAAGCCACGAATGCCGCTGCTTATGTCCTGTCAAGCCCTGTCTCCTCCCCAACCTCCCGCCCCCCGCCGACTGAGCATATTAATTTAAGCACATAAAACATAAGCCGCCCTTTTTCGAAGGGGAAGGAGGAGAGAAGGGGGGAATAAATGAAAGGAGGAAGGAAGGAGGGAAGGAGGAGGAGAAGAACTCGCCGTCTGAGGAGCCACTTGGTCATGTAAATGTGTGCACTTGTCTGTCTGCCAGCATCCCATGCTTTGTCTCGCTGGAGACCGACATTAATGTCTGGCGAAGGGTCGTTATCTGAACTCTTCACTTGAGCTCGAGCCCCTTCCGATCCGATTTGAGGGCTTTGCCTAATTAGGGGCCCTAGCGAGTGCCCACTGTACACAAACACAAACACCTTTGATTGAGTGAAAGTGATAAGTCAGGGGGAAGAGTACCTATAAATAAATAATGGAGGTGTCTAAAGTACAACTTTAGGTAGCTTAAATTTGTAATTTGAAAGTATACAAAGTTAAATTACATCCCTAAATTTTCCAATTTAATAAATTTTTATAAATTAGTTACTATTAATTAACCTTTATATATAATATGTAGAAAGGTAAATTGGATACTGTATTTCTAATTATAAAAGAACTTCACTTATTTCAAGTTATCAATTTTTCGTTAAAGTTCTTGTCAACTTGCAGTAACAAAAAAAATACTTTACTTTGTCCTTAACTTCAACTTGCACAGCTCAAAAATCCCTTGTTACCTGGCTAAAATATCACTTAACTTTTGTGCCATTTTATTTGCAATTTGTAGCGTAGAAAAGTCAAAGACAAAGTTTTGATTTGTCGCTAGCTATACATTTATCTCAAAGTTGCGACAGCCACAATCTCCTTGAAGAACAACAAAACAGGGAAACAAAATAGAGAAACACACGGCGACAAACAACTAATGCCACAAAATGTCATTAAACAATAAGAAAACGAGTAGTGTGTGTGTATATATATATATATATGTGTGTGTGTGTGTGTGTGCAACATGGCAGCCGAAACAAGGACCTAACAAGGAATTGCAACTTTTTATTTTCAAATACACAGAACTTTGGATGGGCGAGAATCCAAAGCTCCCTCGATTCGGAACCCCAAAATCCAAACGTGTGCGGATGCCAAACTTTAAACTACTGCCGAACGCAATTTAAGCGAAAATGTTAACATCTTGTTGGAGGAAATAGACACATTTGCAGCAGACAGACGGCATCGGCTTATGAATGGGCATGGCAAGCGGCTTTGTGGCAATTTTATTGTGGATGTGAATGTGGATTTGGATGCGGCAGGTGGTATAATCGCTCATTCCTGGAAAAATCCACATCACCTGTCCCCCTGAAAGCCCGGTTTAAGTCATAAAATATTTGACAATCGTTGTCAGACATCATGTTTGGTGGTAAAGTACAAAATGAAAGCAGTTTGAATAGTTTAGGAACTTTAAATGAAAATTTGAGAGTATGTAACAGGAATATTTGAATTAAAATTGGCATTTGAATACCATTGGGTACTAAAAAGAAAGAGCAGAATTGTGAATGTGAATGAGAGCACTGGAGCAACAGGATTCAATTAAAACATGGCAACATGACAAAAAAATAAGAAACAGATTCAAATAAAATAAATTTCCCATTGAATTCAAACAAGATTTTCTGACTTAAATGTATTTAAGACTGGAGATTTATACCTGCATACTTAGATAAACATGTAATATTTTATTTTATTTTTATTTACAATAAATAACAGCTAAAAATACATTTTTTTGCATAGTTAGTTCTATGGACTTAAGTGAGACAGTTTTATAAAGATCTTAAATTTTCACTTAACCAGTTGACGAGTATTATACAAATCTTCAGTGGTAATTAATAGCACTCACCATGATGGCTGTATAAAATGTTAAACACAATATCACCCAGTCCCAAATTGCTTTAAATGCACAATAATGCAGGAGTATGTGTGGCGGCGTTTTGGGGGCTTCCTGTCGGTACTGTGGCATGATATCCGCGCTCAGCGACATCATCTAGTATACGAATATCGTGGGGATATATATTGGGAATACAGTATGGATATAACTGATGGCTAGGGACTCACATGCGCCAGGTTGGACTGCTTCGTGGGATCCTTTAGCGTGGGCAGATGGGCGCTGAATTGGCGACTTCGCGTCACCGATCTGGCCAACTTGGCGAACTTCGAGAGACCTAAAACTGGCAAAAATAGATTAACCGCTACGAGGTGGGCACACGCACACAAACACCGAGAAAACAGTGCATTCGAAGGATACATTTATAAACACAATGGAGTCACAGGATATGAGTAGTATTTTTTAAAAGTGTAGGCACATCGAATTGCGTTTCGTTTTGTTTTATTTTGTTTGGTTTCGGGTTTCGTTTTGTTGGTTTTTAATTTGTTCAAGCATATTTACAGGTGTGCGTGTGTGTGTGTTTGTGTGATTGTGGGTGCATGCGGGTGTGTGTGTTTAGACATGGAAAGAGAGAGTAGATAAGTAGAGTAGTAAGGTGGAAAGAGACAAAGAAGTGGGTGCAAAAACGATATGGAACACGGTTGCTTGCACTGATTTTAAAGTTAAACAAATCTGTTTTGTTCCCCCGGAGAGATTCTCTACTAATTAAATTAGTTTCACTATAGTTCAAAACGATGAGTTGAATGGTTGCATTGTTTACTTATAAAAGCACCATAGTACGAAAGTACAGTAACTAAAAGTGTTTACTTTTAAATGGTTAATATATATTTTTATTTTCAAAATAATTAAATATAGTTACGTGCCCTTAGGAAATATGCATTTATGTTAAAAACCTATGTTTCAGTTTACATTATGATTATATATTTATTTCTTTTAATCTAGTATTCATAACTTGAAACCTTTGATACAATTTTTTGAATCAAAGTAAGCCATAAGAAAACTGTCAATTAAAAAACTAATGACTGAGCTAGAGCACTGGGATTTTTTCAGTTCGGATCACTCCGCCGGTGAGAGCAGTTCGTAAAATCCGTGTGCTAAATTTTTTCAAAATTTTTTCTTCCAATTTTTTTTTTTTTCAAATTTTTGTTAACTATATTTTTTCACATCAAAGTGTTTTTTTTTTCGTAAAATTCGTGTGCTACATTTTTCCATATTTTTTTTTCCTTTTTTTTTAACATTTTTGTTAACTATATTTTTTTACATCAAAGTGTTTTTTTTCCTTAAATAACGTTGTGATTCTATTTTCATTATCAGTTAGAGAAGTGCTACCATTATTTCGTTCAGTGAAGTGTAAAAATTCTTCAGTTCACAAAATATAAAATGTTCGGCAAATTGTAAATTTGTGAAATCGTGTTCGCAATAACCGTGTTCCGATCGCGAGTGTGGTGTTAAAATATCGGAGCGCATTCTTACCTCCTTTGGTGTCCTCGCTGTCGATGGGCTGCTTGAGGGCGGTGATGTCCCGGAAGGTCAGCAGGAAGAGCACCACCAGGTCCCGTTCGTTGCGGATGGGGGCCACCTGGAGCAGCAGCCATAGCGGCGTTTCTGCGGAATTAATAACAATTATGGGTAAGTGCTGTCAGATATATCTATTCTACCAGTAAAAAAGGGTAAAAGGGGTTACACAGGGGCCACACTGAGAGTGCGCTGCACAAACCCGGGGATATAGTATAGATAATTCGCAGTCGCATTCGCATTCGGGTCACGACCATCCGACAGACTGAAGGGGAGAAGAGCAGACATTCCATTGGATTGCAATTATTGATATGGAACGCTGGATAATGGAGGCTGGGCTCTGAATGCTCGATGGATGTTGCAGCCAGACAATGGTCGGCATGGAAATCACCAGAATGCTGTGTACAGTGCACTCCATATGTGTGCAACAGCCGAAACTGTTTGCTCTTTGTCCGTCCGGATGAATAATTCAGCAATTGTCGCAGCAATCGATGGGTTTTGCAACCGAAAACGAAGCATTTAATTCGCACATTGAATTTGGAATGGTGAGAGTTTTTTATGTTTTTTACATACTCCATTTGCGCTTTTTTTTATTACAGTTTTCCTAAAAACTTATTTGGTTTTATTACCAGAATATTGATTATATTAGTTCTGAATCAAAGTAATTAATTTTAAATAGCTTAAATAGGCAATTCTCCTCGATTTATCTTTGCTGTCATCAACCGTGCTTTCCCGTAATAACCATTAAATTTTCGAGGGACAAGGACTCACTTCATTTTCCGATTATGTGCTTGTGTTTCGATGGCATAATTATTCACTAATTGCAGGCAAAATTTGCTACTTCCGTTTCCGGTGAATACTTATGCAATCGTATTTCTCCACCGGAATCGAAGCAAATCGATTGTATTAATTGGCTTTATCCATATGTGAGGTGACTGGTACCTGATGCCTTATTGTACAATCTTCTCGATTGCCAGGGGACACCTGTCAGTTGCTCGATTTGCCGCAAATTTAAGCTATTGTTCGGCAAGCCGCCCTTTCTCCTTGGCCCGAATCTAGTGGAAAGCCAAATATTTTGCCGACCAGTCGTAATTTCAATCTCGATTGGTCAGCCCAGATGTTGCACCTAGCCAATATTGCAATTGATTTATGTCCATTTAATGCCCCCAACCTCCGCCGCCGCCAACGAATCTCTGCAGGAATCCCTCTGACCGCACACACATGCAACAGGAAGTGGCAGCATGCCAAGACATCATTCGAGATTCGAACCGCGGGATTTGAGATGCGAGATTCGAGATGGAATCGGTATTGCCACTCGGAAAATTGCCTTGGCTTTCCCGCGCGCGATAATCCCCATTCATTCCACCCACCCGCTTTTGCTAACAAAGCACCCCGTACTTGAATTTTCCCCGCCACCACCACCACCTTCACCAAAAAATACCTTGGGTTTGTGCCTTGCCAAAGGCGAGGCCTTGCGAGAGGGCGCAGCCACATTGCAAATCTGAAAATTGATACTCGGAGGCGTTAATTCATGAGCTCGACACCCGGCGATCTGGCAATACTCGCTGGGGAGCTGTGGAACGACTCCATTCCACTTGATTTGTCCAGGATGAGCAGGGGTTTGGGGTTGTTGGGTAGTTGGTTGGTTGGTTGGGTTGGATGGTTGGAATTACAGGTGTCTGGTCGTTCTGGCAGCTTGATTGATGGGCCTCACTCAAAATTGCCGGCGAGCTGCCATCGCAGCCCCAATTTGTTGGCATTACGGGGTGGCAGGTGGTTAACGGAAAGGGGTTGCACACACACACACATACACACACACTAGCGAATATTTGGGGGCCTGGAGGGTTCTGTTTGGGAATGAATTATGAAAGGTTCGGAGTCAGGAATCCACGAAATGAACAGCTTACAATGGGCACAGCTCGAGCAGAAAGCCAAATACGATGGCGGTTGAAATATTCATTTGGGTACGTAAACAATTTTTAACATTCAAAGAAATTTTCAGCTAAAATCGATTATTAATATTTAATCACTAAACATTTGAATGCTTTTAATTTAGTTATTAGCTAGCAAACCTGAAAATATCTTCTAGCATAGCTATTTTTTCCACCCAAGCTGTAGCTTTATAAAAGGCAAATCGTAGGGTTGGGATTAAAGAACATTAAGCTTGGGGCTTTGATTTGGGTCCATCATCAGGCTGCGACTACTTGGCCATTAGGACGAGCTCTGTACAGGCAATTTAGCACACGCAGAAGTCAAACTTGGGACTACATGGGCTTTTCTTTTATCGGGATGCTGGGGGCGGGGATAAGGGGATAAGGGGTAGAAAAAAGGCATACTCACTGTTCTTCTTGTAGAGCAAAATCTCGAACTGATCCTGCTGCTGGTTCTCCAGCGTGTACTCCAGTCGTCCCACCGTCTCCTTGTCTGTCAGCTCGCCATACATGAAGCCGCATCTGCAGGATTCCCAAGGATTTCGATGGGGGATGGGGATGCGGATCCAGAAATAGAAAGAGATGCGGAGAGCACACGAGGTATTATTCTTGGTTAGCTTCAGGTTGGTTGCATGCCATACACACACATCCACATACACATACAAACAACAAACACACACACACACACAGACAAAAAGGGCACAACGGCAAACACATGCAGCGGAAAATGGGAAAACAGAAAGCGTTCCAATTCGAGGAAAACATGCCGAACAAAACAAGATTGATGCACCTGGGGCCCACCGGGTACAAAAAAAAAGAAAGTACGGCGGGGCTTCACTGCACCCAGCAAAAAGTATTAAACAAATATCAATTTAATGCACCGCTGCTCAACCGAACGGGTTACAAATTTCCCTTGGAAACGCCAGGTCAATACGTTTTACTTTCTAAAAGGTCAAGGAGTTTCGCGACTAGCTCAATACAAACCAAAAGTACTACATAAATTCGAGAAATATAAGCCAAATAAATATTTTGGAGCAGTGTTCTTTCTAAATTCCTAAAGTAAAGTGCCCTATTCAGCTATTTGAAATTCCCAACAAACTGGTAAAAGTTATGTGTGAAAACCCGTATCCGTTCCTTAGCATTTTCCTGGGGAAAAGTTAAATTTATGTTTCGTTCGTTTACCATTACAATTTTAATAATTAATAATTGAATTTGTGGGCCGAAACTTTTGGTGTTGGTTTAAATTGCGGTGGCGAGAGTCTGTGAAATCGGGACAGAGGAGCACTTGCAGTCCGAAACAAAAGTGTTGCATACTTTCAGGCCAGGCTCGATGACGTCAGCAGCGAGCGAAAAGAAACGAGAACGCAAACGAAGGAAAAGTGGGGGAAGGAGGTGGAAAAGGATGAGAGGGTGAGGGGAGGGGGGGAGGGTGGAAAACGGGAAAGGGGCAGTAGTTAATTTCTGTTGTTTTGCTTTATTCGTGCCCCGAACAAAAGTTCAACAAACTATGCTCGAGAGAATCGGCGACGTCACGGGTTCGGCTTTCCAAGTGTGAGTGAGTGTTTGTGTGTGTGTGAATGTGTGTTTTGTATACACTAAACGCACACATGGACAAAAACGAAATTGGGTTACAAAGCAAACAAAAAACAGGTCCTGGGTATGCTTACGCTCCCGGTTTGGGGGATATGGCCATAGATATATAGTAGATACGGATGCACAAAGTGTTTCTGCTCAAGGGTGGAGCACAGGAAAAGCACTCGAAATTCCTTTATTTTCTTGGGGGGAACCCAGAAACAGCAGCTAAGTCCCCAATTCAATCTACCATGTGCTGAAAAGCTGAAAGGAAATGCCTTTTCTAGTGATTTCAAAACACTTCGTGGAAGTGCAAAAAAGTATGCTACAGAATTTGTTCATTCGATTTTTTGTAAGGATATCTAAAGTAAAAGCACTCTAATGCAGAAAATCAACCAGCTTTTAAGTAATAACAATCATTCTTACTATTCTCTATTACAATCATTATTTGGCTGTACCCCTAGTCGTATACGTTATTTTATTTACTACAATTGTAATTCAATCGCAAACGTTTATTTCAAAGTTGTTCCTGGTGTTAAAAAAGATGCGTAAAGCAATTTGCATTGCACTAAACAAAATTGAATCGAAGCGAATGCCGAGTGAAAATCAAGCGATTCCACGACTGTTGTTGCAGCTTTCTTCCTCTGCCTTTACCTTTTTTTCTCTTGTTGCCTTTGGCCGTCATTCCTTATGTTTCTTTCTTTTTCTAGGTTCACACGCGACCAGAAAAAATGGAAACAAACAAAAACGACGACGGCGACAACAACAAAGTGGGTCACACCAACACGGATGATTGAGCGCCCGAAAGAGAGCGATAGATGCCCCCAGAGAGAGAGAGAGAGAGAGAGAGAGAGACAGAGAGAGACGGCATTCATGGAGGAGGAAGGAGTGAAGCGTATCGCTAGCTAAACGGTAGATTGGTATTAAAAACTGGTATTTTTTTCCCACTCGGGAATTCAACCGGTGATGCTGCAGGTGAGCTGAAAAGGGTTCCGTACCCCTATTCTTTTTTAGACCGCTTTTTTTTTTTTGGCCTGCAAATTACGAGCAATTCTCGGGAGAATCATTGGATACGCTGGCCTCTGGGTCCTCGCTTGTTGATTTATGAGCTTGGTTCGGTGGAGGAAGAGAGAAGGGGAAGGGAGGGGAAGGGGCTGATACAGAGGGGGATAGAAAGTTCATGACCATCGAAAGTCCTGGCCGAATTAAGGCAAACAAATGCAGTTAACACCCATCACTTTCCTCCTCCGCCAGCCATCTCCCTTCCTCTCTTTTTCTCTTTCTCTCCCTTTCTCTTTCTCGTTCTCCCCCCACATCAATTCACCAATGGTTTGCATAGAAAATTTGTTTGGTCAGGACCAGCGGCAGGCAATTTGCAACAGTGTTACGGGAAATGAAAACGAAAATGGTGGGCACAAAAGAAAAAAACTCGGAAAAGGGGGGCGAAAATAGGCCAATTTCCCGCGTAAAAATTAAACCAACTTTCCCGGGGGCATTCATTTTTGGGCAATTATCCTTGCAGGATATGAATATTCATTATGTATACATCAGTGATCAGTGAGCTGTTGCTTAATTTATTGATGGGCATGCTAATTGGAAACACTCTTTGATGTTAGTTTAATTTGATTTCTAAAAAATTAGCCCTGTTCGCTTTAGAATTTTATCTTTCTCCCGATTTGTTTGCATCTCTTTCATATTTTTCTCTTATGTCCCGTTTACTTTGCGGCAGTTCCCTTTCATTACACAAGATGAATAAACGGGAAAAAACCCTTTTCTTCATTTGCATTAAATTCGCTGAGCAGCAAAGTGCATTAAGTTCGACAATGGTTTTTTAATGGCCGGCGAAAAAAATACGCAAATTAATTGAAAAAGTACAAGCGGAAGGTTGTTGGGTTGAGGGAAGAAAAAGCTGGAACAATAAATGAACTTCACATTCAATGGCCGGTGTAAGCAGCTGCGGATAAGCCGTTAAGCAGATAAACACGGCAAAATGGTGGGTGGTGCCGGGAAAACCTGTGGAAAAGCAGGGGAAAACCTGGGGAAAGTTGAGGTAGGCCAGGTGCGTGAACAAGCTGTTAATGGTCGGAGCTTCGGGACGAGACAGGCAAGAAATCTCTTGCAATCTCGGGCAATCCTCTTAGCTGTCAAGGCTCCCAAAGGGAAGTGTCCAGAGTCTCCGGCCAGTCTGCCACGTCCCTCTGGCTGCCATTCCACCTTATTACCAGCAGTCTCACCTGTGCGATTATGCAGCTTACAGTTTGAGCAGCACTGCTCTAAAGCTAATATTTGCCTAAGAAATGAGCATGCAACTTTAACGTGTTCCAAAGTCTAACTCAAGGAAGTGTATGTGATGAAGAAAACACAAAGTGCATAGCTTAATATGGTGGGTAGTTAATAAGGGTTTAATTACAAAATAAATACAATCAAAGTAAAATATTGACAACCACATTGATAATAGAAAATTCCTTGTGTTCGTCGACATGAACATATTTATTTATAATCCACAAGGATTAGCGATTGAAGCACCAAATGTATAACGCAGAAAACACCAACACAGCGAGAAGAGAGCGAAGTAGTTGAAGTGAGAATAAATCGGCAATACGTACACATACCTGCACGACTTCTGCATGACCTCGGCCCGATTGTAGCCGCTGATCTTGCAGAAGGACTCATTGCAGTAGACGATCGGGAAATCGACGATTTGTGCGTTGGCCAGAAGGAACGAGCTGTCCGCTAAAAATAGAAATAAAAAAATTTTATTAATAATCAATCAAATACCTTCACACTATAAAAAAAGCCGAAATTGTCGCATTATAATCCTCAATATATAATAGAATAGAATGGTTACTGAATGGTTATGAGGTAACTCATCCATTTTCAATTTTTATACCCTTGCAGAGCAAAAGGGGTATTATAATTTCAGTCAGAAGTTTGCAACGCAGTGAAGGATACACCTCAGACCCCATAAAGTATATATATTCTTGATCAGCATCACGATCAGAATCCAAATACGTATGTACGTCTGTCCGTTTCTACGCAAACTAGTCTCTCAGTTTTAAAGCTATCTTGCTGAAACTTCACCAAAAGTTGTGTAGTTATCGTTGTTTTTCATCAGGCAAGCATGATGATGATGACTGCAAGGGTATATAAGCTTCAACTTGCCCAGGCTAACTTCCTTTCTTGTTTTTTAAAACTTTTGCTGTCAGTTAGTCCGTCAGTTTATCACAATATTTGAGCGTAATTGGAACATTTCAAATGTTGTCATTCATAATCAAAATCATTTTATTGACTGCAAACAACCCACTCAATTTGAGCAAATTTTTCTAATCGTCTGTCAGAGTTGTGACTGGTACAATTTATTCAGTGAACTCCCAATGCTCTTGGTACATAATTATTTGACTAAAAGTATTCCTTTATTTTTTATTTCCAAAATTGGAAAAGCTGGTATGCATCTTTATTATAGAGGTAGAAACATAACATATAATATAATATATAATATAATATATAATATAATATAATATATAATATAATATATAATATAATATATAATATAATATAACATATAATTTAATATAGCCATACATGTAAATCAATTTTCACAGTTTTATTACATACATTTTCGGTAAAACTTTTATCGAAATTTTTATTGATTTTGATTTTTTTGCAAGCTCGACTTTTCCAAGTTTTCGCATGGTCAAAAATCATCGATGTCGGGTATTTTCATTTGTTTCTAGATCTATAAAAAAGTTGCATACCGGCTTTTTCAAACAGGATCGCCTAGCAAATGCATAACAATTTTAGCTAACATGAAATGCTAAGTTTGAAACTCGGATATGATTATTTGGATTTTGTAGCCACCTTCTGACATTTCTGTGCACCTGGTATTTCGTTTCCGGAAAATGCCAATTTGGCTTTCCAAATGGACGAAATTACTCTTCTGTCCACCCAATTTTTGGTGACTACTCCTACGAACTTGCTTGTTTTCGGCCGAACCCTAAGAATTTGCGACGTTTCTGTTGGTCTTATGTCTAAAAAATTCCCCACACGCCTCTCACATTAAAACAATCAATAATTTTATTACTTAGTTTTTATTATCTTCAATATAGTTATATATTATGTATTATTATTTTATATAAATATATATTATTTTATATTATATTATTAATTATGAAAATGAAATGTTGCATTTTTTAAGAGGCTGCCGATTTTGGATTTCGGATTTTGTAGCCACTTTCTTGGCATTTCTGTTCGTCTGTTGCCTGAAGGGGTAAAACTTCCCTATTAAATTCTCGGGATTTGGTTGTATATGATCGAACTTTATGATTTGGGACATCAGGCAAACATATTCCATAGCAGGTTTGCAACTGGTAAATCAAAGTAAGCTGAAATTAATATGCATCTGCTAGGCGGTCCTGTTTGAAAAAGCCGATATGCAACTTTTTTATAGACCTAGATGGAATGAAAATACCCAACATCGATGATTTTTGACCATGCGAAAACTTGGAAAAGTCGAGCTTGCAAAAAAATCAAAATCCATAAAAATTTTGGAAAAAGTTTTTCCAAAAATGTATGTAATAAAACTGCGAAAATCGATATATACATGTATGGCTGTTTGAGAAAGTACCTAGTTATGTGCCCGGATAAACGGCATCACTTCTGGACGACTAATGGCGGTTGCTATTGCTGAGTTTGCAGCAGGCCGTGCGAATTCGAGTCCTCGGGAAGGCAGTTACATGTGTAAACCACGCGCTGGCATCGCATGGCAGGGACACGGACACGGATACGGACACGGACACGGATACGGACACGGACACGGACACGGACACGCAGACTTACGGACAAAAGGACGAAGGTACGGACATGGCATCGTACGGGTAACTGGCATCGACCTGCAGTGGCATTCCCGTCCCATCCACATTGTTGTTTTACTATTTATTTGCTGTTTGCCATTTGGCTTGTTTCGTGTTGTTTTTGGCCATACATTCGAATTACTTTCAGGTGATTTTATTAGTGGCAACGGAAATGCGCCCGACTGGCAGTTTAAATGAATGTATTGTTTGGCCAGTAACCTTTTTGTTATTCATAAGCTGTAAAAGATATTTGAACAATTCATTTTTGATTTTCCCGCTTGGATCAATATTTTCACTTCGATCAACAGGTTTGTTTCGTCTCCGATTTTTAAGAAGTTTTCGTTCATAACTAAAATACTTTAAAGCTCAGTAGATTCGCTGATTTACCCATCTGCCGAGTGGAAATCAGTTACCGTTACGTTTTATTGACATTATGTCGAGGGTTGTTGGCAGGGAAGCTCCTCGTAGCAGTATTTCTTGTATTTCTCTATGCAAATGTGGCATGCACGCCAGTCCCGTCCAGAGTTGCATGTCGCAGGTGCCAGACAGGATCGGGAAAATGGGGGGTGAATCAGCGGGAAAAGCAGGGGAGAAAATCAGGCGGGGAAAAGCGGGAGAAGAGCACACTAACCCACATTGACATGAACATGGCCAAGCCAATGAATATGTATAAAAATATTCGCATGCAATGCCTCAATGCTTGTCTTTGCTGTTGTTGGAAAATGGCAAATGCATATTTATGTGATACATTCTTACACACTCACACACATACTGGCACGCAAGTCCACACACACGCACACAAGCGAAGCACTTTTTTACGACTGCAGCAAGGACATCATCAACAAGAACAACAGCTAAAACAAAAACAACAACAGCGCTTGCTACTTTGTAGTGTCAACAGTTGCCGTGACTGAAACTGCAAGAAAAAAACTATAGAATGTGGGTGGCAACTATATGGGAGGGGGCGTGGCCCAAGCGGCTATCTCGTTACGCTCTGCATTTGACTATTGGTAGGTAGGAAAATAGTAGCACAGGACCAACCTCAACGTTTGTACGTTGCTTTTTGGATGGACCGCTTTGCAAACTGGGATTAACTAGAGAGAAAAAAACACAGAAATTTGCTAATGTTATAAAATAATATATTACAATTTTTAAGCGAAAGAAAAATATTATTGTCCATACGACACGTTATCCCCGTCTGTAAATTACATATATAGTGCTGTCTATTTTGGGAATTTTCAACAGTTAAAAATACATACATTATAATTATGTATATGTTATATATTTATATTAAATTTTGAATCATGTAATGCAATACGTATTAATTTGAATCTTAATTGGAATTTTAAAAGAACTAAAAAGAACAAAAGGCAGGTCCACTTATTGTTATATGGCTGAATCTCTGCAGTGGCATAAACCACGCGTGATTTTTTCATTATGTCAGCGTCGAAACATTTTTCTCCTGGCGTTGGTGGGTTGCGGGTGGCTTAGGGTGCTACAGGGTGGTGCTTTAGGGTGGCTTAGTGTGTCTTTTGGTGTGGCAAGGTATGGGTGCATGTGTGGGTGCGTGGCTGCATGGCTGCATGGCTGTTGCTCTGCGGCTGCGACACTTAATGGCATTCAAAGCTGGCGGACAAAGTTTTGCAATTTGCCTTGGCCATTTCTGTCCGGCAGCGATTTCCTTTTAAGCCGCGGATGGCTGCCATCTCGTCCCGGTTTTCACGGCTCTTGGCCAAGCGCATCCCCTCCCCCAGTAACCCGATTGCGGTGTTAAGAGAAAGAGAAGGAGGAGGAGTGGAAGAGGAAGAGAGAGCGGGATAGCGGGCAGAAAAGCCGATTGGGAGCAAGGTTTTCCCGGAACAATTTTCCCACAATGAGATCACAATGATTCTGTAAGCTATGTTCTTCTACGATGATGCGATGTCAGCGCAACAGATGTCCCTGAACATTTACCTATCTTTGATTTTCAATCAGGTATTCAGAAGATATTTGTGTGCTTTAAGAATGCAATTGATTCTGCTATGGGAAATTGTTGTATTTGGTAAAAATCGAATCTCTCTAAAAGTCTAATCAAAATAGAAAATCACTGGCTAGCGCAAACTAATAATGCACTCAACGTCACATTAAATAATAATATCGTAGGAAATGAATATTTCATTGCTGATTGACAGCAACATCTCATGGCCCAGCGTTATTCCTGATTGCCCAATTATTTATGAGCTCGATCAAGGATGATGTATTATAAATGTCAACATCAACCGCCGACGGTTGTCCCCCCAAAAAAAAAAGACAAGACAAGGAGAGAAGCAGGATGAACAGAGGGTAGAGGGTGACTTACGATTTAATTAATGATTTTTTGATTTTTATTTGAAAGCCAAACAATGAGAGGGAAAGGCAAAGAGGCACAAACAAAGGCCGGCAAAAAGTATCGAAAATTGGGCGAGGGAGATATCCGTGTATTGAGAATTCCCGGGTGTTTCGGGTGTTTTTGGGTGTTTTTGGGTGTTTGAAATTGGGATTAGCTTTCCGGGGCTGACAACTCAACCTGAAATGTCAACAAGCCGGGGTCCAGAAACAAAGGAATTTGGATTGGGATTCCGGCTACGGATTTTTGGGCCTCACTTTTCCCGCCAGGCGGTCCATGTTACCCGATGATTGATGAGGCGGCCACCCACTTCAGCCCCCTCCCCCTTCTCTTGGCCAATTAGCCGTGCAGCATTTACAGTTGTAAGCTGCAAACAAAAAAAAAAAGATCGAGGGGAGCCTTGTCGTTGATTGATTTGGATTTGTGCGGTCGACCGCAGTCCGAAAAAGAGTCCTCCTAAGTGGATTTGCTAGAGTCCTTGGCAGCGGAGGGGAGGAAAAGGGGGTGGGAAAGGAGGT